CTTGCCCGGCTCCAAGTCAATGGGGCAGTCGTAAGGGCGATGCGGAGGCAAGGAGTCAGCTTCCTGTTTAGAGAAAACAGACAGGAAGTCCTTGTACTCCGCAGGCACTTCGACAGTCGCAGTGCTCGGCTCGTCAGTGGGCAGGACATGGACCTGAAAGATGGTCAGGGGTTGCGTTCCATGCCTGCATGCATCCAGAGACTCGCGCATCGAGCGGTAATCAATGCTGCAGACGCGGAGAGGAGCGTCCGAGCTGAGAGGAGGGGCGTGGACAAGGTCAGAATAATGTTCGACGGTTACTTTATTCTGAACAATGTCCGAAGAACAAACAACAGGAGGAGGTACATCAAGGAGGGAAAGAGAACTGACAGCAGGAGAAGGGGTTTGGGAAGAGCGAAGGGGTTCGGGAGGAACAAGACAAGAAGGGGAAGACGAAGGTGGGAGCGTAGGAGAGGAGCTTAGATCAATCAAAGGAGTGGAATCATCAAGAAGGGGAGTGACATTGGAAGGAATTTTACAAGACGAAAGGGAAGAGGTGCATGGAGAGGGGTCGGAATCAACAGAAGGAGGGAGACAAAGAAGACCGCGAGACCAGACAATCTTGGGCTCGGCGGTGCGCAACCAAGGAAAGCCAAGGATAAGTGGTTGATGTGGAGACCTGATCACATCGAACCGAAGGCGTTGCGAGACGTCCCCGAGAATCACCTCGAGTGGAGCAGTCTCGCGGAGGATGGGGCCAGACGACAGCGGCTTACCATCCACGCCTTCCACTGCCAAGGGCGAAGCCTTGGAGCAGGTGGGGACAGAGTGTCGAGCAACAAAGTCCTCGTCGATAAAGTTGCCAGAGGCACCAGAATCGACAAGTCCTTCGCACGACAGAGAATCACCAGAAGGAAGACGAACAGCGACGGGAACAACCAACGAGCAACGACGAACAGACGAAACACAAGACTTTGGTTCGGTACCAGCTTCGGCACCAGGGTTGCGGCTAGCACAGACAGTTAACTTTGCCGAGGGTTGGCAGGACAGCTCAGGTATTTGCACCTGTGGATGAGGTGCAGTTCCCAGTGACACCAGAGGTGCCACGGGTACTATGCCAGAGCTGAGAGTGTCCGCCGGTCCAGAGGCAAGGCGAAGCTGTCCGCACATCACTGCTTCCCCAGTACTTACCAAAGGCACCTTACCAATGTCTTCACTTTCGGAAGGCGGTGGGCACGGCTCCGGTTCAAGGCCTTCACTTAGAACCGGGCCTGGTCGTTTCCCGAACTGAAGTCTTGCACTTCTCCATCCTCGTAAACGATGGTGCGGATGATCCTCGGGCCGGGAGGTCCAGGGGGCGGTCCGGTAGCTCTGGTAGATCCAAACTTGACGGGGCAGTTTCGTACCAAGTGGCCCTTCTTGCCACAGTACAGGCAGAGTCCAAAGCGGCGGCGGCGTTGTTTCTCCTCGGCGGTCAGGGGTCCAGAGACGGCAGAGTCCACTTGCATGGGCTCGGAAACAATGTAGGAGGGGTGCGGCGGAGCGAGGACGGGCGCGGGAGCGATGGCGGGAACGGCAGCGGAGGCGGAACCAAAGGCGAACTGGGAAGACCGGTAGCGGGCAGGCGTGCTTCGGCGCTCTTGACGGCGCTCGCGGATTCGTGCATCGAGCTCGTTACAAAGCTCGATGTACTCCTCCAGATCTCGTGGCAGAGGGCGAACTCGCGAAAGTTCGTCTCTGACATCATCCGACAAGCCAAGTCGGAAGAACGAGATCTTTGCACCGTCGTTCCAAGTCGTATCGGCGGCAATACGAAGGAACTCGGATGCATAGACTGCGCACGGGCGGTTGCCCTGAGACAGTGTGGTGATCACTGACTCGGCAGTCCTGGCCCGATCAGGGTCGTCAAACACTTTGGAAAAGCGTTCTAGGAAATCGCCAAAAGAGTTGAGTCGGGGATCACCCATCTCAAGCATCGGAGTCGCCCACTGGAGAGCCGGTCCAGTGAGCAGACTAATGACGAATCCGACCTTAATCGGGTCAGCAGGGAACCGGTGGGGCTGCATTCGTATATACAGTTTGCACTGATTTACGAATGCCCGGAACCCTTGCCGGTTACCGTCGTAACGGTCCGGCATCTGCACGCTGTACCCAGCGGCAGGAGCATCGCGAGCTGTCCGGAGCTCGGCGAGCTCGGCCTCCAAGGCACGGAGGCGGTCCACGAGGGCAGGATCCATGGCGGGACTGGGACTGGGACTGGGAAAAAAAAAAGCGAGGAGGTTCAAGAACAGGAGAGCGAAGAGGGCTCAGACACAAGTGTGCTTGAGGTTCGGACAGGACTAGGAAAGGGGCGGGGCTAGGAGCGGAAGATACCAAGCAGGTGGTATCAGTAGAAGAGAGTTCGAACAAAGTGTGAGGAGTGAACAAGCGCAAGGACGAAGACCAAGTGCTTGGTATGAGCTTTATTAGCTTTTAGCCCCGAACACCAAAGAACAAGTTTTGTTCGAACTGGTGTTCAACATAGGCTCAGACATGCAGGGCTATTTATAGACCGGGAGAAGGTCGAGGGGCAAAAGTGGGCGAGAAGGGTGGAGCATCACAGAGAAGCGAGAAGGGGGTGCGAGAGTGGCTGGTGTGCAAGCGAGAGAGGCTTGGCACAGCCCGGGGACATGTGCCGAGCGGTGGGGGAGGCAGGAAACCAGTAGACGCGGGTGGCAACGGCGCGTGCTCATGCATGGGGGCAAACAAACACGTGGGGACTCATGATTGGTGCGGAGGGCGAGAGCATGCGGGACAATCTCATTGGTCCGTTGTGATGCTGGTCATCACAAGTTGATCAAGATGAAGCCCCACGATTGATGGCTTTGCCTACACCAGATACAAAGGTCAGCTGTGGTTATAATCTGATTTTGAAACAGAGAGCGGGCGTACCTCTGATTGATATTGAAGCCATCAAAATGCAGCCCGAGAGCAACGTCGGTGGGCTGCTGGAACATTGAGCGACTACAAAGGTGCTGGTAATATTCGGCATCGAAAATGTCGCTCATGACGCCTGAAGATTCAGATTTGGTGAGTTCAGAGCACCATATAGCAATATAGTATTGGGAAATAATACGGGTGGAAAGTACCTGGTTCGCTCGCTCTGTTTGCTCTGTACATCATCAACTCTGCCATAGTTGGATTTCGGTAGAGTGTCTGAAGTATCTGAACAAAATCGAAATACTTGTAGGTCTGAATCGGCCTCAGTTGTGGTTGAATGCCGCCATTCAGAAGTTTTTCGTTCACCGTCGCATAAGCATCCTCTCCACAAAACGTGCATATTCGACTCTGGTTATCATTGATGTCGAATCCCATGCAGCTGTTTGGGCAGCAGGGAAGCCTCTGAAGATACTCGTTCCACTCGCAACAAATGATCTTTTGGATCTTGTACAGACTGGGTGCAGCTGGTAATGACAATCCTTGGAATTTGTTGCAATGATTAAGGACAGATTTGATGGCTTTGTCGGTAACATTGCACTCGGTCAACACCTTGACCAGCTGCGAATAGAAGGGCGGGATATCTGGGGGAAAGCCGCGGGTGAATACATCAATTCGGATGCTACATCGGATTGCTATCTGTCCTTTGAATTTGACTCACCATCTGATATGCGGGGCTCTTCGTCACCAGTTTCTTCATCATCTTCATTCATTTCAAGCAGTCGAAAGTGGCCGAGGAAGCTATCCGGATACTGTCCTGGAAGGTGAACCGTGGCATTTATATGAGTCAACCGGACTCTGAAGCAAGACCAGGAAGATTCGACGATACGATCAGGCTGGGTGACGTTGATATCTCACCCGAAATGTCATCGAATTCTCTCGGTGAGCTTGAAGTGGTGTCTTCTGAGTCTATCGAAGAGTCTTCAGAGTCTTCGTAGTACATGGACGCTTCTTCAGAGTCCCGCGATGCCCACATGCTTGGCGACCACGAAGGGCAGCGTTCAAATTGAGCTGGAGCAGGGCCTTCGTTGTCTTGGGTGCATTGCTGAATAGATGCTCCTGTTTGGATATCCATGCTCTCGTGCTCAAATGCGCGGGGTGAGCCTTTGGGCCAGGCCAAGGATGAAGAAACAAAGTCGGACAAATCGAGAGTGTATTGGTCATTTCGTAGTGAGCTCTGGCAGCGTCCAAGCACAGATCACTGATTATTGCTCAAGACTGAAACCGTGACGCACACAAAAATTTAGCGAGAATGTGATATCAGGTGCTCAGTCTTACCCAATGAAGGTCGCTGCGATGTTATCCCATGTGGTCGCAGTTCATCTACCACCAACACTGGGGGATGAAATGTCGGCGAAGTTCGCAAATTGGGGTTATTTTCGCATATGCTTGTAATAGGACGGTGAGGGAACGAAGAAAGATGGCCAGCTGTGTTTTCTTGAGGATCTTTGAGCGAGTACATGTGAACAGGGGGGACTCCAGGTGGAAAGCCATAGCGATAGAAGTGGTCGTAGTAGGTCGTTCTGGAGACAATCCTGAAGCCTTGCGAATCGGTGCTACACTTGCGACAACGACAGATGGATCTGTTCTTGGGAAGCCCATCGTGAGCCCTATTTATCGAGGATGGTACCCTGGTCGATGATATTGGATATGGAGTATGCCTTGGGTGATCGTGCCCAGATGGTTGAGCGGCTGAACTCATGATTAGAGTCGGATGAGAAGGTCGAGGGGAGAAAGGATCAAGAGGAGATTGACGAAGCAACTGGGGGCGGAAATGCCCGGTTTTTGTCCAAGTCCGAAGGCTCTGATGACCCATGAACACAGATGAGTCAGGAAAGCAGCCGGGGGTCATGGACAGTGAACGAGTCGCGGAAGACAGTGAAAAGCCGGGATGACTCGGATGCCATGTCACGTGAACGGAAGCAGCCCATTGGCCGAGGGCTCCACGGGATGTGGCAGTGCGGGTTCGGGGACACCCAGGGAGCCAGCAACCTGGACGAACAAGGAGAAATGCGGGTGACCCGAGCCCGTCGCGGTCGCTTCAGTGGCCAGACGCGACCCCCAAGGCAAAACAAAACGCGAGAAGACGTGTTTTTCCTTGTTATGCTGAGTCCGGTGGGGGATTTGCGAGGGAAGTATTGGCCAACGCGTAATTTACACGTCAGCTTTTTTTTCATAGTGCAAGGGGGTGTGGGTGTTGGGTTGAATGCGATGCGTTGGGGGGGTTGGATGATGGTGAGTGCTGAATGTGTTGGGAGGGCGAGTGCTGAATGTGCCGATGTTGAGCGTTGGATGGGATGTAGAATGCGATGCCAGGACGATATCGGGCCAAGTGAGGACAGCACTACGGCTCCTGCCATCTCCCCGCACCAACAAAGAGATCGCTCGGCATGCAGCCACATGCAGATGCATTGTTTTGGTCGGCGCCGGCTCGGTTGGGGACATGGCGTTGAGGATCGCCTCCTGTCAGCCCAGCCAGCCCAGCCAGCCAGCCCGGCCCGCAAAGGGGCGAAAGATGAGATGCATGTGGGATCAACAACAGCAACCTACCAACGCCGTGGGAGGCCGAGGTCGCAGTCGCGACCAGAGTCGATGTTGCTGTTGGCACCGGGACAGCCGCCGAAACAGCAGCGGCAGCATCGGCCGCCACCGACGAGCGGGTTTTCTTGCTCACTTTGCTGACCACAGCGCCGCCCATCTCGTCGTTCTTTCTCTTGGACTGCATGGTGATTGTCGAGTCGTGTGCGGATGGCAGTTGTGGGGGTTGAGCAGGTTAGGATCACGATCGGCGAGGTCGTCGATATTGGCAGGTGCGATGCCGGGGCTGGAGTCGAGAGGGTGGGAGGTCTGGCGATCGCAGTCGAGATATCCAAGGAAGCGACGGGAAGCCTGTTCGCGCTCGGGGACCTATTCTGCCATCAGCTATCTGGTGCGGCTCCGGTATCGGATCGATGGGCGTGGATGCAGCAACTATCTGATGCAACGGCGGTCCTGTCGATCGGCCATGATCCGCTGTCCTGCGACCATGGCCGATCGACAGGGACTCCCGCGGACTGACCCTTTGATCGTCATCCTCAACTCTGACCCGCGCAAATACTGGTCCTCTACACCCTGCGACGCTTATCCGATCCATCTGCCTCCCCATCGCCTCCTCTCAGCGCCTACCGGATGTTGATGCGTTTGTGCGGATGGATGATGTCGACGGCAAGCGCTGGGCGGGACGGTGATCTGTGTCGGCCGTCCGTCACGTGCACACGCGTCCCGGCTTTGTGCTGGCGATCTGATCTGGCCCGCTGTGTCCTCCTGCGCTTGCCTGTATCGCTTCCGCAAGCTCATCCAGAGCGAGCCCCGCCCCGCAGAGACCCATCCAGAGCAACCGACGGACATGATTGCTGCACGCATATCGCTGCGCTTGGCTCGCCCCTATGCCCTTGCCGTAGGGCGACAGCAGCGGGCCATCCACCAGTGCCGCACCCTGCTTCACGGCCATCCCGCTTCGCTCAAGGACCTCGATCGGCTGCTGGTCAAGGACGGAGCAACCCAGACGATCCGGGGCATTGCAAAAGAGCCTGAGACCGTCTTGGCCAAGCACATCAAGGACACCATCAAGGTACAGTGCTGGAACGCCGTGGATCTGAAACTGGAGCTGCATCAGGACCAGCACCCGCAATCCAGGAACTCACAAGGTCGTCTCGTTCTTCGCTCCGCTACCCGTCGAATCGTCCACATGCTCGACTGCAGATAGCAGGGCCTCTATCTGTCGGCCAGTACATCCGCCAGGCCCTGACCCATCCCCTCGGCGGCTACTACATGAAAGGCGATGTCTTTGGTGTCCAGGGCGACTTTACGACGTCTCCAGAGATCAGCCAAATGTTTGGCGAGGTGCGTATTGGGGCATTGTCGGTCGGTCCGGTGGCGATCGGTCCGGTGGCGATCGGTCCAGTGTCGATCGGATACAGCATATCGATTTTGATCTCTTTGGCTGATGATTGCTGCTGACTGTCGCCGAGCACCCTTGCAATCGACCCACGGGCTCAAAGCAGGATACCTCAACTAAACGCAGCATCTCGCTTGGCGGATCAACCGCAACGATCGCGACAGCTCGTGGGTGTTTGGTTCATCACTCAGTATCAGGCCTTGAATGGCCCGGACAAGATCCAGCTTGTCGAGCTTGGTCCCGGCCGTGGAACGCTCATGTCGGATATCCTGAGAGTAAGCACCCTGCGCGGACCAGAGCAACATTGCTTCGACCCAACCCAACCCAGCTCAACCCAACCCAACTCAACTGAGCCTGGTCGAACAGCTCGCCCATATGCGCGGATGCAACCACTCCACTCCACTCCATTCTCATTCTCTCCTTCCCCTTCCTGTCGTACCATCCCAGACACTCGAGACATTCCCGTTTCTCCATAACAAGATCGAGGCCATCCACCTCGTCGAGGCATCGCCGCACCTGAAGCGTGTCCAGGCCAAAGCTCTCACAGGCCAGACCATGGAATCCAGCGACTTCAAGAGCCTCAAGACCCCGAGCGGCGTTGAAGTTTTCTGGCATGAGAACTTTGAAAACGTGCCAGGCGGTAAGCTCGGGGCAGTCTCCGGAATAGCCCATCCCATCTGAGACACCGACTGAGCGCCCGTACTTTCCTCCCTGCAGGCCGATGCTCCATGTTTATCGCCCACGAGTTCTTCGATGCGATGCCAATCTACAAATTCGAGGTAATGCGGACGACGACCTGTCGATAATTGGCCCACCAGCACGGATCCAACGACCCGACGACCATGATCTCTGGACCACGACACAGTCTAACCAGAAGCGAACCTCATTCTCAGATGACCGAGCACGGATGGAGAGAAATCATGGTCGACATTGATGAAAGCGATAGCAGGTGGGCAGCGGGGGTTGACATGCCACCTCGTCCAGCTTGTGTGCCCCTGTTTCAGGTCAAGTCGCTCGGTTGAGACGCAGGATGCCTCTCTGAGTGTACTGCTCGTGGGTCGAATGGAGGACTGCATTTGACCATCTCGCTGAGGGTGTAGCAACCGGATCGACGACGGCGTCTGACTCAAGCTATCTGACGGCCGTGGCCGCCAGCCCGTATCATTTGCGCTTCATCCGCGCTCCTTCCAACACCAAGGCCGCCGCCACGATGATCCAGGGCGAGCGGTATGCGAACTACAAGCAGGGCGAGCGCATCGAGATCGCCCCCGAGTCATGGGGCTTCGCCAAGCAGATCGGAGAGCGCATCAAAGCCGATGGAGGTGCAGCCCTGGTCGTTGACTACGGCCGCAACCACATCCTGGGGGACAGTCTGCGGGTAAGTCGTCCTCAGGCATCAACGCGCGGCAGCCGCAGTTCCGCAGTTGGCATTCTGCTCGGTTGGCCTGCACTGCCGAGACGGACCAAGAGGCGCTGCCCGACTGCGTGTTAATTCCAATCGATTCCCAGGGGATCCGCAAGCACAAGTTCACACACGTTTTTGAGCAGCCGGGTGACTGTGATTTGAGTGCCGATGTGGACTTTTCATTCGTGGCCGACGCCGTCCAGGCTTCGGGCAGCCACGCACACGGACCGATCACCCAGGGCACCTTCCTGCGGGCCATGGGCATTGGCACTCGCCTGCAGGAGCTGCTCAAGGTGGCCCAGACACAGGACAAGCGCAAGGAGATGGTTCAGTCGTTCGAGCGGCTTGTTGGGCCGCTGGGAATGGGTCGGGTCTACAAGTTCCTGGCGATCACCGGCTCGAGCGAGGCGCCGTATCCGTTCCTGGGTGTCGAGGATCCCGAGCTGGACACTGGCGCTGGCGAGGACGGCCCGACGCCGTCGCTGAAGCAATAAACGGACCGCAATCGCTGGACTTTGGCTCAGGACATGCTGGCGGGTGGCTGCGTGTGGCGGCGGATCACTCATGCGACATGTCGCCCAGAACTCTGTGGCGAGACGTTGACACGTCTGCGGCGGAGCACACATCCGCAGGACCGGCGGACCGGCGGACAGGATCGACAGCATCGGCAACAACGGCAGCATCGGCAGTATTGGCAGCATCGGCAGCATCGGCACTGCCATCAACTTCAACACCAACAGCAGCAGCACCATTAACATCAACACCAACAGCAGCACATGCCGTGTCTCGCGTGCGCAGCCACAAGCTGCTATTTCCGGCTGCGAGCGAGGACGGCTCGCCGAGGCGAGAGCATCTCGCCGCCCACAGTCTGTGTGCAGCCTGCGAGCTGTGCCGCCCGGCGAGGCCGCGGCGACATAAATAGACGCCCGCCCCTTTTTTTGCGCCTCTCTCCAACGTGGCCTCAGTCGATTTGGTCGGGCGTGCATCCATCCTTCGCACCAGCGTCCTGCTCCTGGGCCCATATCCCCGTCGCTGCATCGGCCTGCCTGTCCCGTCGCCAGTGTCTCCGTCTCCTGCCACGATCACCGTCGAATCGATCCAACCCCGGCGCATATCTGCATCATCATCGCTGCCACGGATCATCGCAGTCCCGTCACCCACTTCCCGCCTGTCTCCTGTATCCGATCGACCCTTCCTGTCCCTTCAACCCAATCCGGCCCGCACACCATGACCTCTCGCAGCGGGCTATCCACCCCGCCGGATCTGGACCTGTGGCACGCCGTCGACGCCCAGAAGGAGTGGAGGGATGCTGAAATGCAAAAGACCTGGGATCAGAAGGCTAAGGGTACGATCAGCCTCATCTGGACTGGCAGCGCCGACTGCAGAATTCCTCATCTCCAGGGCGTCCACTCCTCGCATCTCTTGTCCGACTGCTTGCATGTGTGGCCCTGGGGGCTCCGTTGATGTGCTCTGGCAGATGCCACCACAGGCTCTTCCCTCTCAGACATCTGGGATGCCACGTCTCGATTCACGCACTGTCCAATCGCTCGGCCTGGTGTCGCCCAACCCACTCGTTCCCACACCTGCTGGCGTCTCTTGAGTGCATTTGCATCCTTGGACGCTTTGATCCGCTTAATTCCGTCGCCATAGTCGTGTCCCATACCGAATGCCTGCGTCTCTCTAACCGCACCGTCTCCCTTTGTACACGGCTCGGCCTCGTCCTTCCGGACCCATTCCCCCCTCATCCAGAGCTCATATCGGCACCGCCCGCCCCAGTCCCATGGGACATTGTCGACATCGATGAGTCTCAGCCCGTGCTGCTCGAGCCCCTGACCATCAAGCCCGAGCTCGATCTGTCGTCGTTTTCCGACCCCATCGGCTTCACTCTCGACGATGTGCCCGACCACGACGGCGCCAACGCCAACGCCAACCCGCCACACCATCCCCTGAGTCTGCTTGAGCCTGCCAGCGAGTTCAGCGACCTGCATGAGCAGCAAGAATTCCAACCCGACGACAAGCTGCCCGCCGTCCGTGTCGAGGAAGATGATGATGTCGTCACTCTGGCCTCAGGAGCCAACACGCAGTCGTCGTCCCTGACCGACCTCGATGTCCCTGGCATCTCCGTGACTTCCCAAGACATCGCTGATGGTGCACAGCCAGAGCCTTCTGGAGCAGAGCCGATAGCATCCAGCTCGTCTGCCTCTGCACCGATACCGATACCAACTTCCGCTTCAACATCGTCCTCAGCTCACCCTTCGGCTAGCCCCAGCGATTCGTCCGAGCGCCCAGCTTCTCAGCCCAAGGACAAAAAGCCCAACCTGCTAGCAGGGGTCCTGAAAAAGGACGGCGCTCCTGCTCCCCACCATGGCCACTCTCACCAGCGCGTCCACTCTGAGCCCCACAACTTGAACCTGCCTGCCACCCTTGCTGCCGCATTCGGATATCTGTCAAAGTCCAGCACCGTTGCCGCGGCCATGGTGCGCACCGCCAGCCAGAACTCGCTCGTTCAGATGGGTGTCAACGCCACGGCTCCGTCCGCGCCGTCGCAATCGACCGCTCTGGTTGTCTCGAACAAACCCCTGCCCGACCCCGTCGTCGACCAGTTGGACGACGAGACCGACGACCTGTCCTCGACCATCACGCTCTACCAGGGATTCCGGGCCGTCTACCCCAAGATGGCGACGGCCCAGGGGCAGCAGAGTGTGCGTGGCCGCCCCGCCCCCGCCGGATCGCGGTTGATGCTCGAAAACGGCCCAGCAAGCGACAGCCCAGCAGCTGGAGGCGAATTGCAGGTCTCGAAACGCAAGTCCGTCAACCTAACCCGGGAAAACTCGATCCTCTCCCGGCTACCCAACAAGGCGCGCAACCATGCCGGTAAGTGCGGCTCGGACCCCTTCGTGGTCAATGTCCTGCTGCCCAAACTCAATGCCCGAATCCAGCAGGGAAATGCGTGTGCTGATCTGGGGAGTGTGTGCGGCTGCTCGGCGCATAGTAACTGGTTCATTTCTCCTCAGCTGCCATCACCAACATTGCTCGGATCTTCACGGAGCTCCTCAATGAGCGCGACCAGGTCCTCCAGGAAAGCGAGCGGCTCACGGCGCAGACGGTATGATTCTCGCCTTGCCGATTCGATTCGATTCGATTCGATTCGATTCGATTCGCACTGGTGCATCCGGTTTACGTGCTCTTGGCTGACCCGCATGTCCGTCCCTCAGTCCGTTATCACCGAGGAGCTGCGCCAGATCGAGGATTTGATGACCGAGCTCGTCAGGCGCAAAGGCGAGCTCGAGGAGCGTCTTCAGCACGTGTCAGAGCGGGAAGAAGTCGTCGAGTCCCTGCGTATGTTGTGCTCCGTCCTGCTGCCCTTGACCGCGCCATCTCTTTCTTGTGCCAGTCGTTGTGCCTATCTGCGATTCTCGCACTTCACCGCAATTGCATCGACGTGACAGATTCCTGGCTTTAACACTCCATTGGTCTTGTACCAGTTGGTGAGCTCGATGAGCGCATCAGCTCCATCGGCGAGGAAACCTCTCAGTTTGAACGCAAGCTGAGATCTATCAAGGGCGACCACGCGCCTGCAGCCGCTCGCCACCAGATCGCTGCTCCCTCGCCGACCCCCTCCAACACATGTCTCAAGGTGGGCCACCCAAATCCTGCTCATAGGCTCGGCCCATTGATATCGTGTTCCGACTGCATCACAACTAACCACGATGCCATGTGCGCCCACATGTCTAGACCCTCTACGGCCACACCGACTCCATCATCACTCTCGACTTTGACACACCGCAAGGCACCCTCGCCACGGGTTCGTCGGACAAAACTATTCGCATCTGGGACCTGAGCAGCCATCGATGCTCGGCGCTGCTGGACGGACATCTCGGCATCGTGCGCACTCTCCAGATCAGCGACGGCGTGCTGCTGTCGGGCTCGACAGACCACACCATCAAACACTGGGACCTCACGCGACTGGACCCTCTGCCACTAAGCCCTGGCAAGTCGGACTCGGGTGCCATCGCGGCAGCCTCGGAGCCGCACTCGCGGCCGCTGCATGACGAGGTCTGCGCCCGCACCTTCCAGGGACACACTGCCGGAGTGACATGCCTCAAGTTTGACTCGACGTGGCTCTTGAGTGGCAGCTTGGACAAGACCCTCCGCCAGTGGGACATGACCACTGGCCAAGAGATCACCGTGCTTAGGACCGAGAAGTGGGTTGCCAGCGAGGCGCCGGTGTCGCCCGTGCTACGCGACAACCCCTTCCTGGATGACGACGACCTGCTGGATCGCCAGCCGAACGGGACCCGGATCCAGGACGTTGGCGGCTCGGTGCACTCGCTCGAGTTCATCCAACACGCCCTCGTCTCGGGCTTCGCCGACGGCATTGTGCGATTGTGGGATCTGCGCACCGGACAGTGCCATCGCGAGCTCAACGGGCATGTCGGCGGCGTGAACCACGTGCGATTCGACTCGTCCTTTGTCATCAGCGCTGGTGCTGACCGGTTTGTGAAGGTGAGTTTGCGGAGCACAGCAACCCGACTGGGTTCGGATGCGTGCGGGTCGACGGGGGCCACCAACCCGAGCAGTGGCATCTCGCATGGGCTTGCTAAAACTGCGCTAGGGCCGGTTCGTGCATATGCCCTTTGCATCCCAACTCACGCTGGTCACTCGACGCCTTATTTCGACGTTTCCTGTTCGCCGCGGTCGCCCTGGGCGGTCTCACTCGTGACTGTGCCTTGATATAGATATGGGATCTGAGAACCGGTCAGATTGTTGAACAATTCCGACTGCAACACAGTGTCTCTGAGTTTTCCTGCGACTCCAAGCGGATCGCTATCGCAGGTGCCAAGGAAGTAACGGTGAGTCTGCCGTTTCCACCGCGGGTGCGATTGGCCTGGCGTCCCTGTCGCCCAACATCCTTGGCTTGGCGTGGCGACTTGCTCGGTCGACTGGTACCTCGCTTCTGCCCCCGGTCGTTGCGATATCCATCGCATCGTGCTCGACATCGTGTAATGTAAGCTCGCTGCTCATGCTTACGTTGCCTCCGTGATTGCCCCCCCCCGCAGATCTACAACCGCGCCACGCTCCAATATTATGCCCTGGACGGCCACTCCAAGCCAACCAACTGCGTCAAGCTCTTTGACGAGACCCTGGTGACGGGTGGCATGGACCATACGACCAAGTTATGGAAGCTATAGACTTGAAAACTCCGTTTTTTGCGCACTCTCCATTGTCACCCTCGAGCCCTCGCTTCTCTCGCCACCTTTGCACAACTCCTCGCTCTTCACCACCCCCCCCCACCATCGATCGCCTCTCCTCCCCCATGTCCTCACTGCTGTATTTTCGTTTGAACTCGCCTCCTTCCTTACTCATGTCGACGCTCTTTACCCTGCTCCCTCGCCGCCTTTGTCCTCCGCACCTTCCACCACTTTCACGCTCGCCGCACATCGAAGCGGCCCTCCCCATCGCGCTGCAGGGGGATTGCGTGGCTTTTTTTTCGGACTCCTTGTAAAAATGAAATCGAAAAAAAGAAAGAAAGAGTAAAGCCCGGAGCCAATATCCACACCGCGATATCGCCGCCTTGCTCTCCGCCTCCACGACGCTGCGGAACCTGCCGCTCCCTCGACAAGATCCGGCACCCATGGCCCACGATCCACTGTACCAATCTGTGTCTCGCTATACGATTCATATTTCGAGTGTAAAGTACAGTCGTGTGCAAGGCAGCTCGCTGGTGGGGTCAGCCTATTTGTTGCTTGTGATAAACAGCTTGCTGAGCGAGTCCTTCTTCCCCTTCCCTTGCGAGGTTTTGAGCCGGGTGAGGGGCGACCCTGATGGAGTCTTGTTGAGCTCGAAGCTGTGCAGGTTGCTGGCGATCATGCGAGTGTCCGTTGCGGCGATGACGCATGTGGCTACACCGTCCACCTCGTCGGTCATGCTCTTGTCGGCCTCAAAGCCGTGGTAGTCCTTGACCAACTCGAGCGTGGTGCAGCTGACGTTGACTTTGTCGAGCGGGCAGCGTTCCTGGACCTGAATGGAGGCGGATGCACAGATTGGTTGTCTATCAGCACAAGAATTGGTCGCGCAAGGGCTGCCAGCGTACATTCAACAAATGTCTGTCACTTACCCGCTCGGCGAATGTAACTGCGTGACCGAGGAGAGGAGAGGAGAGGAGATGAGAGGGTCCATACCACAGAGAACCATGACAATGTGGCAGTGTACCAATAAGTATCGTCGCTGGGATCGATATGCCTCCCCCCAGGCTGTCTCTCTCAGAGCTACTCGTGCCGCTGGTTTGTTACCTGTGTCGCCCATGATGTCGTATCGGAAATTCCTGGAGCCACCCATGATAGCGCCGTAGCCCGGACCTGAGGGACGCCGTTTGCATATGAGTCAACCGCCTCGCTGCTTCCGCACACCGTCCCATATCCAGCAATGTCCTGGCCGGACTTGCCTGTGTGAACGCCTATGCGCATCGACAGCGGCTTCTTGACCACATTGACCACAAAGTCGGACTTGTTGAGATGGTTTGCCACATACGACTGCATCTGGAGGGCAACCACACAGACAGATATGGCTCCCTCCTTCGGATCCGAAAACGTCGATAGTGTCGAGCAAGCCACGTATGCGTCACCTGTTGCAATTGAGGCATTTGCATTTGCGTTCACGTTTTCGTTTTACGTTTGTGGTGATATTGGGAAGCTGGTTAGTGTCCACGCCCGACTGAGGGCCCTCCCACCGATCGGCAACTTTTGCCGTCGCTGTCGTCATCAGCACGACACCAAAGCTGGGGGCTTACCAATGGTCATGATCTTTTCCACGTTGTAGTCCTCTGTTAGCCGGTCAAAGTACGTGAACAGCGTGTTGAGCATCTTGACAATCTTGAGGGGCTCGAGGTCGCTCGACATCGCAGTGAAGCTGTGGAATATCGTGCCGTGTATCGCCGTCAGTGATTTGCGCACCGGAGATGCTCAGGCAAGCATATCTTCGCAGTGAACACCAAGAGCACTAAGAGCACTAAGAGCACCAAAGAGCACCAAAGAGGGCCCAGCCAGCTACACCCAGCAGGGCCGTACCCAGCGACATCCATATGCAGCACCGTGATGGCCGGAAAGTTGTCAAAGACGATTGCATCTGGGTCCGCCAGCATCTTGAGCGACACGCGCTCTGGCAGGATCGTATTGAGCACGACCGAGGACTTGACGGCTTCCTTCTCGAGCATCTCGGTCTGGGTTTCGAGCATCAGGTCCAGCAGATACTCGGCGCGGAGCGAGTGCTCGGTCATATGAAACGTTGTGATCCAGATCAGGGTGGCGCCGATGAAAGCTAGGTTTTCGGTCCAGTTACTACCGCCGCGCTCCGCAAAGTTGATGATGATGATGAAGGGTGCGACGGCGGCGACGACACTGAACTTGTAGAGGAATATCATGCCGTCGATGCGCATGATGTACATGGTTGTGATGGATCCGATGACGCACGTTTCGTAGAACGGAATATCCCACATCCCGTCCCAGACCAATGATACAGTCACCGTCATGACGAACATGGTTGCAGCTGATATCCCAAACAGAATCATCCGGGTCCGAAACAGGCCGCGACTAGACCTTGTCTCGTCTTCGTCGCCCTCGAACATCACGATTCCAGTCAGAAGCATCTGAATGCCGAGACTGAGGATGAACAGGATGAGGACCGTATAGAACTGCCCGAGGGAGGTGAAGATGACGCCGCTGTGGATTTGCGAGGAGCTGAATATCGAAAGTGCCATCAGCACGATCTCGCAGAGCAATCCAATGATGGTGCTGACCATAAACTGGCGCGATGTCCCACGACAGTAGTCTTCACGAAAGGCTCGCTCGAGTGCGCGGTCTCGGAAAACGAGCGTATAGGGCTTGACCTCGTCGTAGATCTCGGAGAGATAGAGCGAGTACACCTCTTCTGCATCGCCCGAGAGATCAATGCCGTTGCACAGCTTGACGATGACATCCGAGATGGCGCCTCTGACTTTGTCGGCGTTCTCCTTCTCATCATCCACTCGTTCAAACTTCTTCTCGTGCGTCTGGTTGTTGATCTTGATGATGGTGGTATCCGCATCCGACGCGCGGCGCTGTGTGTTGATATCGCTCTCCATGAGCGAGCCATAGAGTGTTTTTCGCCGGTCCCGGGAAGTGAAAGAGGTCACAGCAACGGGCTGCACTTGTGGCGTAGTAGCAGTGGTCTGTGGGAATGTTGGCGACGACGGTGATGGAGTCGAGCATTGCGATGCCAGTGACCGAGCTATCAGGTCGTCAGAGTCCGATGCGATACATTCATCTCCCAAACTCTGTTCCTCGTGCTCTGGCGACTCCTCGATAGGTGGGTGGTCGGTCACCAGCGGTGGAACATATCGTATCGGCGATGTCATCAGGTTTCTTGAAAACGACTCTGCTCGAGTTTGAATCGCCAGCGCGCGCTTCTGGGAAGGAATTGGTGGAAGGGGCGGCTGTGCAGCAGGGAGCGGGGCCACTCGGACTGATCGTCGAGAGCGACCACCCGTCGATTTTCGACCCACGGTCCCAGAGTCCGAGAAGCCGACTTTGGTGCCGCTTCGAGACCTGGGACGATCCTCGCCGAGGTTTTCCTTGCTGCCGGTCACGGTGTACACGGCGTCCATATCAATGTCACTCAGGATCTCTTCTGCCTCATCGTGCTCCCGCTGGGCTTCTGGGGTGAGTCCTTGTATCGAATAGATGGTGACTATTCCCTTGCCTTTTACGGCGCGCTCCCCGAGCGAAATGCCCCGGAATCCTGGCCAACGACGGAGCGGTGAATGAGATATCTGTATGGTTCCCACCACCACCACCACCACCGGGCTCTCCTACACCTCAATTCAGACGATAGCACTGCTTACTGTCGTTGACTGTCGACCAGACTTTCTCCGTGACAATGATCTGTCCGCCTTTAGCCTGTGCAAGCATTCTGTCGAGCAGCACAATTGTTTAGTGACACCGATCGTATCCTATGACGGCCACAGAGGAAACGGAATTGGCTACAGATACCTACCGACTCGCTGTTCGGTCCCGTGGTTTGGAGCACAGAGTTGCAAGTTCCGTTCGAGTTAGAACCCCCAATCTTTCGGGGTCACGCTGTTCGCCGCTTTGACATACGTACCTGTGTTTACAACATCTCCATAGACCTTGGTAAACAAGTATAACGAGAACATTCGTCAGTTTGAGTGGTCGTCTACTGCCTGACTCGCGATCAGTCAGCCTCAGCGAACACGCGTCTAGCCTGTCTTGCGATGCCAGCTGGTGTGCTTGATGCACATGCTCGATATTTTCAGCGCAGATTATTGACCTTCTTGACATGCATACTAGACACAACGCGCTGGGTTGCTGCGGTTGATGTGTCGGTGGGATGGACACCGCCGCATTACGTACCTCATACCAAAACTTTTTCTTTCCCACAATTCCAGCAACAATTGGACCTGCACACGTCACATTGAGTGTCTTGTCTTCATCTGCGGCCCATACGGCGCGGGACAAAGCACAGGGGCAAGTACTCACCCATCTCAATGCCAAAGGCGACATTCAGATTCACAGTCCGGCTCTCTGTCTCAGTTTCAAACTGATATGGCTGCGCGAAAATGTTGCGCAGTGTCAGCGCCATGTCGACCATCCGCCGAATTCTACAGTTTACTCCATCGAGGCCGCCGACGAGGAGGATCTTGCTTTGTATCGTCTATAGAACCAAGATCAGCGTAGCGTGTGAGGCGACTCGAACTCATCGGACTGCAGTTCACGAAATCCAATCTCTGTTCGTGCCCTCGCGGATGTCTCTGTGTGATCTTTGCGGCCAATGTCGCTGCTCCGGCGATGGACTTGTTATTCCGCAACGGCATTCCCCAACGCAATCGCCCGTTCACAACGAGGCATCAGGGGCTACACTCACCTTGATCTTCTCAATGTAGATATAGCGTTGCATAACTGCGTCCATGGTCTCGAAAACGCTGTTCAATAAAATGACAGCGTCTTTGATCGAACCCAGATCATGCATGATCTGCTTGAAGTTCTTGAGATCGCCAAACATGATCGAGGCTGTTATGGAGCACGATGAGTCCTCGGTCCGCTGCCTTGTTGACCCTCCTGTGATATCTCAGCCAGCTTTGCTCGAGACACTTACACGACTTTATTCGCTCAGCGATCAAGTCAAAGTTGTCGGTTCCAATGTCTCGCAGTCGAGTGACAATCGTTTGAGGTAGTGACATGGCAAGGATATGGTCTGTCTTGTCTCGCTCTTGCTGCAACAGCTTGAGACGCTCTTGCACAAAGCGCCCTTTGATATACCTGGATGTGACGGTATCGCTGGTATGTTAGGTGGGGTGCCAAAGCAGATGGGGCAGCAGCATATCCAAGGCAAATGAAACCGCTGTGGGCTTCGCTCAGTCCTGCCTTACCTCATACGTTTGTCCATATCTCCACTGCGTATGTAGCCACACCCCATGGTAACTGCTAAAACCACTGGCAAGGCATACATGATCACGCCAGAATAGCTGTTGGCGTTATAGATGAACACACATTTGACAACAGCGATGCTGCAAACCACCACGATGGCACACACGGACTCGACAAAGGTTGCTGAGATCCCTGAGGTGAGCGAAACATAGAGAACATGGATGGCGACGGTGGGGCCGACAACGTCGCTGGGGCCTCTGCCCAGACAAAAGTCAAGGGCGAGCGTCCAAGCCAGAGAGAGCTAGAAGGGCAGAACCGGCAGCCAGGACCGGCAGCCAGGACCGCACCAGTCAGACCGAGACCAAGGGTTGTGTTCCCACGATGCAGCCAAGGCCCCGCGGCGACAGCGAGTGCATGGAAACATGACCAGACGTATTTTTCTGCAGCGGATTGCCTGGCGGCCTCCGAAACTCCCCGCCCGTCTCCGGCTAGCTTACCAAAAGCATCCGTGTAAACATCCTGGAGCCCGTTGTGGCGTACCACAAGCGCGCAAAGAGGATTCCCTGGTCGTAGTGTGCAATGGTCATCCACATGGTCAAGATTGCCACCAGGATCATCCAGGTGTAAAACCGATAGTCCATAGTGATGTTTAGGCCGTTCATGAAGATCAGATACGGATACACCACAAGACAGTAGAAGAAAAAGATCTGTGGCGTCCCCAATTGCAGCTTCACGAGTCGGTTGGGAGCAAGCATGGTGCTTTCGTAGTGCTCCTCGATGCGTCGCGAGCGAAATCGCAGCGTGAGCGGGTCGATGATTTTCTTTATCGTCTCTTGATTGATGTTTGTGAAGGTTTCCTCCATCGCCGCTTCCTCCCGCGCGATGTTGGCCAGGTCCATGCCGCTGCCCTGCATGTAATGGTGGTCCTTGGGAAGCGCCGCGACGCTGTATATCACGTCCTGCGCCAGCTTGATGCGATCCTGGAACGTAACAATCTTCATGTTGTGCTGGTGGAATGGCGAGGGTGTGGCGGTGATAGCGGTAACGGCAGAATACGGTAGGCAGGCGACCCGGGGCTATCGGCGGCTCCGACACGTCTGTTGGCGAGCAGGGCCTGGATCGGAGGATTTGGACTTGAGAGGGGTATCTCACGAAACAGGGTGCTGAATCTGACGCGAGAGCTGCGCTTGCTCCGTCAGGCTGCTTTGTCGGTGCTGCAGCGGCTCAGATTGCAGGTATCGTAGCGGGCGAGGGCAGGGGTGGTGCGCCGGTGATGGATACCGCAGGCGGGAACGAGGGCACGCAGGCGACAGACCGGCGAGGGGCCGTTTCAGGGACACACGGCCTTTCCTCTGAGGCCAGAGCGCCGCCTGCATCCTCACTGGCCGAATTGCAGTCGCAGACTCGACCACTGGGGAGTGCTGGCCCGCGGGGCTGGTGATTGCACCCACGGTCTCGCACAGGGGGACTGTGCGCCCCAATCAGGGCGGCGCCGTCACGTGGGTGCATCGCCACGGCGGCTGGAGTGTGGCTGGAGTGTGGCTGGAGTGTGGCTGGAGTGTGGCTGGAGTGTGGCTGGAGTGTGGGTCCGATGGATGGAGCCGGGGGCACGATTCGATCGCCGCCGCTGCTGCTGCACGACCGATCCTGGCCAATCCAACACCAATCGCCAGCAGAGGACCTGGCCACCCCAGCAGCATGCCGACCAAGGAAATCATCACGCTGCAGATCGGCCACAGCGCCAACTTTGTCGGAACCCACTTTTGGAACCAGCAGGTAGCGACAGCTCCTCTACATCGAAGCTCACCCGTGGCAGATCGTTTGCCTGCGACTCGCTGACCGCCGCTTCGACCACAGGAGGCGCTGTTTGGGGACGATGGAGATCAAGAGCCGGAACTCAGCCACGACGTGCTCTTCCGTCAAGGCAAATCAAGCCATGTATGTTGTCCGCATATTTTACCGTCAATCGGTCTTGCTGGGCTTTCTTGGCAATTAACGAAACTGCTTCCCTGCCGCCATGTTGCTGACAGGGCGACGAGACATACACCCCACGCCTCCTGGCGCTGGATCTGAAGGGTACGGACTTTGTGCGCTCCTTTGCCGGGCTTTGCATTTCGCCGGCTGCAGCTCCTTGACCTGCGCCTCGTATCCTCGTGACAGGTAGCCTCGGCTCTCTCAAGCTCATGAACGAAATCTATGAACGGGACACAAGGTCCGACTCGTGGTAAGCCGCCGCCACTCAGCAAATCCCGAGTGCATTGGGGCCAAAGCCGAGGCAGCCGCAGCAGTTGAAGTTGAATACAGCAAGGATGAGGCTATATGAGCAACGGCGAAATCGGCAACGCGGACCAAGTCCCAACCTGACCTTCCCTGCTGTCGCTTCACAGGGCCAACGGAGTCGATCGCCACGAGTCCGACCTGCATCCAAAGAACGCCTTCCTCCAGCATCTTGATGAGGCGCAGCTCCCAGCACCAGAGCAGCCACCTGTCCAAAGCTATGCCAAAAACTTGGACCAAACCGTCCGCGTCTGGTCCGACTTCAATCGCATGTTCTACCACCCAAAGTCGATTGTGCAACTCCCCCAATACACGCACGGCAGCGAGGAGCAGCCCTTTGCCCTCTTCAGTCAAGGGATGGAGGTCATGGCTGATGCCGATACTGTAAGCAGCGTCGTTCGGTTGCCTGCACTGGTGGAGCATGGTAGCAGGAACATCCACAGCAACATTGGCTGTTTGAGTGCTAATTGATGTCGCACTGCCTGATCGATATTCAGTACGACGACGTCATCGATGAGCGCCTGAGGTTTTTCATGGAAGAGTGCGATGCGCTGCAGGTAAGAACAGTCGTGGAGAGCATCATCTGTGGCTAGATTGGGTGCCGCGGCTGAAACTGATGGACTTTGGCTTGTCGTTTAGGGCATCAACGTTATTGCTGATGTCGGCGATGGCTTCGGTGGTATTGCTGCCTCGATCACCAGTACGCTCCGCGACGACCACCAGAAACTCGCCATCACGACATTTGGAGTCGACCGACCGCTGCCTCCGAGTGCGACGCTGGTATGTTGTATTTGCATGTGCCGATCACCCGCGGGGCACTTCTCGTCGGGTGTGTCCCAACGGTGCTGAGCGACAGCGATATGACAGCATTATAGCCTTGTGTGGCTGCAGTGAAATACTCGGTCAATAACATGCGGGATGGAGGTGCGGGTCAGTCGATGACCCATGCACGCGGATCCCATCCGATTATGGTGTCAATCCGTTGGAGGTCAGTGCTAACGTTAGATGTTATCGCGGTCATGCTTCACAGAAGTCCGTCTGGGCCCACAATGTCAACTCGGCGATCGCCTTGCAGAAGCTGAGTGAAAACTCCTCGCTCTTTGTTCCGTTGAAGGCCGCCACACCGGCGACCCTGGACCCATTAGGCTGGTCCCGATACCAGCGGCCCAATGTGAGTCCGCCTGGCCCTGGTGGTTGCTCCCGAATCCACCGATCTAACCATGCCACGTTCCCCTCCGGACCAATCGACACAGCTCAACCTGCCATACCATTGGAGCGCTGAAATTGCAGCTGCAATCGATACTATCACCATTCCGTACCGGTACGAGGATGAACTGTCTCAAGCTCGGCACCGTCGGATCGCTGCCGAACTTGGGCGAATGGCTGACATTCTTTCGTGATTAACCAATGCGAATGATTATTCATGGATCGCAAAGACTCAAGAAACAGTCGCTGGCAATGTACGACTCCGTATCTGTGATGAATGCCCGCGGCAATTTGCATCTTGCAGCGCTGTCGATGGCTATGCCGTGCCCAATGCCGGCCGACGATCCTCTTGCCACACTCTCTCGCCCTCTGAAGATCGACGAGCGAATCCCTTGGATGCGCGATCTCTCCACAGGCGCCAATTTCGACCAGGTTTGTTCTTTGGCTGCTCCGTCGTTGTTTCTAGGCTTGTTCCAGTGCCCTGGGTGCTGACGCTCTTTGTTTCTTCTGGACAGTGCGCTCATGAGACGGCCCAAGTGAGCGTGCTGAGGGGATCTGTACCAGGCGTTGCTAAAGCTTCGCTGGTGGCAGCATTTGATGCGTTCGCATCTTCGTTCCCGGTTCCCATCGGCGCCAGCCAGAGCTTTGTCGTCGACACTGCCCTCCGGCTGGGTGAAACATTTCCTCAATTCTTCTCAGGACTTGGTGACCAAGGACAGATTCAGGACCCATCGTGAGTTGACATGCCAGGCATATTGAGATTTTGAGCCCGTGACATTCGCACCATTGATATTCTTACCCTTCAATCTATAGCAGTGCAGAAGGTGCAACGGAGGTGTCTCAGCTCCCGGTTCTGGCCCGATTGAGAGCAACGCCCCGCTTAAGAGGTACTGTTCTTGCCAAGGCCGACGCCCTGAGAAGTGCCAAGGTTGCCTCGATGCAAGGCGGCGGCGTGGGCTCCGTCGGCATCCAGTTCGAGAAGGGCGACTTTGGAATGGATCGCGAAATGCTTCAAGAATGCGAAGAGCAACTCCGTGAAATCTGCGACGCCTACGCCGAGCTTGCATAGGGCCCAGCAGCGCATCGATCAGTGATGCTGTGAGACCCTGCCTGTTCGCGATATCCGCATCGCTGTGTTTGGCCAGCTACCGGTGCATCCATCCGACATGATGCTGAGCGGGCTGAATAGCGCTGTTGCTGTTGCTCCTTGCGACTCTCGGCAATCAGCAGCACCATCTGTGCTGAACCATGTCGACTCTCCAGGATCTTGAATACACATCTCTGTCCAGTGTACTCAAGGACACCGTTTCCTGTGTATTCCGATACACCCCGAGAGCCGATGGGCGCTGAGCTGCCCGACCGTCGATGTGGCTCCAATCGGGCTTGCGGTGGCCGTCTGCCAGTCCCGCTGGGGCGATGGGCACGTTTTGCAACTCCGCCTTTTTTTTTTCTGCTCACCAGCCAAGCCAAGCCCAGCCAGCCAGCCCAGCCCAGCCCAGCCCAGCAATCCCCGCTCCGGATTTATGCCGCCCCTCGACTCCCGGCGCTTCGATTGCCACTCATCCGACCCTGTGTTGCGTCCGTAAAGCCCACTCTCCGCTGCCTACTCGCTCGAGCAAACATGGCCCCCGACAAGAAGAAGATCAAGACTGAACACACCAAGGAGCCCGAGGTCGAAGTGGCCGAGCTCCCCGATCCGGACGAGGATGATGAAGAAGAAGAGGACGACGATCTCGACAATGTACTCTCTCTCGAAGATCAGGAAGCCATCAGCGAGCTCTTGGAGCTTGAGGAGCAGTTCTCCGTAAGCATACTGCTCGCGTATCGCCTCCCATCGCCCTTGCCTGCTCGGATCACGTATCGCACTCCTGAGCGACGATCCGTCCACCCCTGGCTGTTCAGAAAGATCGGGTCGATCCAACGTATGGGATCAAGTAGATTTCTTCGTATATTTGGCCGTATCTATCTGACGTGCTGTCTTACCGATCTGATCTCTACGGCTCCACTCCCTCTCCCGGCCAGTCGCGCGAAGACGAGCTGCGAAAGGAGCTCGAGAAAATCGAGGCCAAGTACAACGCTGCCAACAACAATCTCTACAAGCAGCGCGACCAAATCGCATCCAAGATCAAGGGCTTTTGGTGAGCATGACGGACCTTTACGGAGCTGCGAGAAGACAGGCTGCGTCATGGTGTCCCGTTGATGTGCTCCCGAGGCACGATCGTGGAGATGGAGCCCGATTGTTCGCGTGGGGCCCACAGTCCGGCCGGGGAATCTGGTGCGATCGCCAAGTAGCTTTCGAGGTGCATTTGGTGATATGTACTGCCTGGAGTTGGCCGTACAATCCTGGCGATCGAAGACGAGGGCAAGCGATGTACTGATAACGATGCTCGCGCGACAGGGGCAAAGCTCTGCTCACGATCTTCGGGTCCTCCAGCGAGGATGAGGCAAACCTCATCATCGACCACCTGGCTGGAGTCTCAGTTACCTTCGATAAAGAACATCCCCGAGCCTTCAAGGCAGTCTTGGTGAGCCGCGGTTTGTCGTGCTATGCGTGGATGTGAAGTTGTCGAGCATGTGGCTGATGGATCGAATCTGCTCCACCACGCTTTCCACCTGTCGATCCCAACAGAAATTTTCGGCAAACGAGGTAACCATCGCGATGCACAATCATCCTGGAATGCAGCATCGGCCGGCAATGCGCCTGTCCCACGCTGCAATGGATAGTCGCAATCGATGGAGGACGCCGCGCATGTCGTGAATAGACACTGAGCTCTCGCCTCTTCCTAGTACTTTAGCAACACAGCGTTGAACTATGAGCTCAAGTTCAAGGACGACGAGCCCATCATCGGTATGTGATGTCCAGCAGGCACCGGAGCGTGATCACATTGGTGATGGCGAGCTGATCAGGACCTGACCACCACCGTGAATCCCACCCGCTTGACCAACACAGTCCCCGCCAAAATCAACTGGAAGCCCGGAAAGGTGAGCAAGAAAGCGTCTCTCTTGTTGGCCTGGACATGTCACCGATCCATGTGATCAGACGCACGCTTGCTGACTGCTCGATCCAATCGAAACAGAACCTCACCCATCCTGCCGAGAACGATCAGGCGAGCAAAAAGCGCGACCACGACGGCGAGCACAAGCACGACATCGTTGGCGGGGATGTCGGTCTCTTTTCCTGGCTCCAAGATGACGACGTATGCTGTAACATTGAGCAGGCCCAGGCCTTGGCTCATGACTACTACAAGGACGCCTTGAAGGTCTTCTTGGGCCTTGGCGAATACGCAGACGAATTCGGCGAAGACGATGACGGTGATGATGACGGTGATGATGACGAGGACGAGGGCGAAGATGAAGATGAGGATGGCGAGGATGACGAGTAGATTGCTGCCCATCCGGACAACGAGCCTTTCCTTGCTGCAAATCGCACCACAATTCTTGCTTCTGTCTCTATCCTGGTGTGAGCCCTGCCTCGAGCAGCCCCCATTCTGCTGCCTCGCCTCACGCGCCCAGTCTTTTGTTGGCTCGCCTCCCCCCGTTGTAGCCATTGCCAGACGCCGATGGATGGGAGACCAGCTCTTTGCTCTGTGGCCTGCGCCCGACCTTTTGATCCTCCAATACAGGCCCGTGAGCAGCATCCGTGTGGCCGGGGACCCTCCTGCAAGCCCACCCCCTCTCAGCGGGACGGGAGCACCGAGTGCACGAGGCTATCCTCAGCGTGCTCTGGTCTATCCAATACCGCCTGTCCCCTTGGGTTGACGGGCGGAGGGTGCTTCTCGGCCCTTCCGGGCGCACTCAGGATCAGGTCCGATGCAGCCAGCCGCGCCAGCCAGCCGCGCCAGCCAAGCGCCCTTGTCCTCCCTTGCCCCTCCGACGCACCTGCCTTTTCCGGGCGCTGCGCACGTCCATCCAGCCGCCGCCCCAATCCCCAACGCATTTTCTCCCTGCGCCTTTGCTGGTATCTCCCAGCCTTCGTCTGACTCGATCTGCCTTGGTCTGCCTCGATCTCCCCAGCCGCCTCGAATCGCTTCCTTCCGCCATGGCCGACATCGACACCGCTTGCATCAACACCATCCGCTGCCTGGCCCCGGATGTCGTCCAGAAGGCCAACGCCGGCCATCCCGGTGCCCCCATGGGCTGCGCCCCCATGGCCCACATCCTCTTCTCCCGGTTCATCCGCGGCTCTCCCGCCCACCCCAAATGGGTAAGTGCCCGTCGTTCGATCGCCCGCTGCACTGGATCCGTCCAGAAGACTGCTGCCTCGAGCTGCTCGGGCGCCCCTGGCTCCCCGATCGGTCCGCTCATCCGTAGCCATCCTGAGGATCCGCGCACTGCCCGATGGGCCGACAACCGCAATCCTGATGCCGACGCAAGACTGACCCCTGGCCATCTGTCGTTCGTCCCGATTCCAGATCAACCGCGACCGTTTTGTCCTCTCCAACGGCCACGCTTGTGCCCTGCAGTACATTCTCCTCCACCTCACCGGCTACAACATCTCTCTCGATGATCTGAAGAGCTTCCGCCAGCTCCACTCCAAGTAAGCACTTGCGGCGCTTGCCCACGACAGCACTCCATCATTGTGGCTTGCTGGTTGGGAGCGACCGCACAGCATCTAATTTTGCCGTCCCACACTGCACAGGACCCCTGGTCACCCCGAGACCAATCACGGTGTCGACGGCATTGAGGTTACCACCGGCCCGCTCGGCCAGGGCGTTTCCAGCGCCGTCGGTCTTGCCATGGCTGAGGCCCATCTTGCCGCCACCTTCAACCGCCCCGGCTTCGAGCTGATCAACAACTACACCTACTGCATCCTTGGTGACGGCTGTCTCCAGGAGGGTGTCCAGGCTGAGGCTGTTGCTCTCGCTGGGTAAGCTCTGCTCTGATGCCCGCTGTCGATTCCTGGATTTCAGGGCATTGGTCCTGCAATCAGGCGCTGTTCTCGCGCTGCGAGAGATGGTTGGGCCATGAATCCAAGGGCTGCGGCTCTTGCCAAACCAGAGCACTTGACGATCCTAGGCTAACACGCATGCCCGCTGCTTGGTCCTCAGCCACCTCCAGCTTGGCAAGCTGATCTGCCTCTACGACGACAACCACATCACCATCGACGGTGACACTGCCTTGGGCTTCACCGAGGATGTTTGCAAGCGCTTCGAGGCCTACGGTTGGCACACCCAGGTCATCACCGATGGTGACCACGATATCGAGGGCATCGCCAGAGCCATCGAGATCGCTCAGGCCGTCGCCGACAAGCCCTCCCTGATCAAGATCCGGTGAGTCGCGGCTACATCGCCCTCGCTACATCTTGCAATCTGGATCGCCTGCATCGATCTGCAAGTTCCGCCGCCGCCTTTGAGCTGCGAGCCCACCGTCTGCCTCTACTGCATCCCTTGACAAGTGGGAGTGCACTGTCGCCGAACTGACACTTGCATCAACTCCGCTCATCAATGTCCCTGCAGCACCACTATCGGATATGGCTCCAAGAACCAGGGCGAGGAGAAGGTCCATGGCTCCCCTCTGGGTGAGGCCGACATTCTCAATGTCAAGGCCAAGTTTGGCTTCCCCACCGACAAGAAGTTCTATATTCCTGATGAGGTGGGTGTCTCTGCTGTTGCGGCATCTTGTTGCTTTCAACCAGCCCCCTCCTGCTTCTGAGCCCTCGCGCAACACACATCCTTTCTGCGGCTCACCAATCGATTGGCTTTGCTTTGCAGGTCTACGGCTTCTACAAGAACTTCTCCCTCCGCGGCCAGCAGCTCTACGCCCAGTGGACCGAGACCTTTGCCACCTACGGCCAGACCCACCCCGAGCTGGTGCGTGCATGCTCAAGCATAACGTGCCATGGCCGTCGCCGTCGCTGTTATCGTGGCCATTCCGCCCTCTGTGCTCGGCCTGCTCACAATGCTCTGTATCTCGATGCATTCGTGCTTTGCCACACATTCAGCATGCCGAGCTGAGCCGTCGTCTTGCCGGCGAGCTCCCTGCTGGATGGAAGGATGCCCTCCCCAAGTACACCAGCGCAAGTGCCACCCTGGCCACTCGGTATGTTCACAGTTCGATTCGTCCTGTCCGATCGCGCCACTCCCACTCGATGGTGGCCGATCCTGCTCGATTGGGCGCAACGCTGACGATCCAACTTGCTTCCAGCAAAACCTCCGAGGCTGTCTTCAACGCCATCGCTGAGCGCATCCCCGAAATTATCGGCGGCTCTGCCGATCTCACTGGCTCCAACAACTGCTGGTGGAAGACCGCCAAGGACTTCCAGCCCGTATGTGCACATTGCTCGCTTGCTTGACCCTGCTCTCACACGCCCACTGCACTGGCTCTGCTGTGGCTATGTCTGTGTCTGTGTCTGCCTGTGTACATTGCTGACGAAAGTACCAACACTCTCGTATCTCGTGCAGCCCGCCACCGGTCTCGGCACCTATGCCGGTCGATACATCCGCTTCGGTGTTCGCGAGCACGGAATGGCTGCTATTTGCAACGGCCTCCACGCCTACGGCGGTCTGATTCCGTTCGGCGCTACTTTCTTCAACTTCATCGGGTGAGCATCGAGATCGACATAGCGTCGTCTGTCGCCACTGGGCATGCATATCCTGTGGTGGATGTCACTGACGCCACGGCCGATCCGATATCCGCCTCTGACTTGCCGCGCGGTGTCAACTCTGTATTCTGTGTCGTGTTTGATTAGCTACGCCCTTGGTGCCGTGCGTCTGTCCTCGCTATCCAAGCACCAGGTCCTGTACGTCATGACCCACGACTCGATCGGCCTTGGCGAGGACGGCCCTACCCACCAGCCCATCGAAACCCTCGCCGAGCTCCGCGCTCTGCCCAACACCCTGGTCATCCGTCCTGCCGATGGCCACGAGGTATGAAGCTCGTTTGTGACTCGAGTTGACGAACCAGGCACTACGACCTCGCAGACTCGATAGGCGCTTGGCAACCCTCGGCAGCATCCAGTCGAACTGACCTTTGCCGGCCGTGTCTCCAGACCAACGGCGCCTACATTGCCGCCCTCGAGAACCGCACTGGCCCGACTGTTCTGGTCCTCACTCGTCAGAACCTGCCCCACTTTGACACCTCCTCGGCCGAGGGCGTCCTCAAGGGTGCCTACGTTCTCCAGGACGTGGCCAGCCCTCAGGTCATCCTGGTTGCCACTGGCTCCGAGGTCTCGCTCGCCGTCAACACCGCCAAGGAGCTCGCCAACTCTGGTGTCCATGTGAGTGCCATCGCATTGTATCCACACAGCTCGTCGCTTTTGGCCGTTCCTGTGCCCGTTCCTCACCTGCTGCTCTCCAACAGGCCCGCGTCGTCTCTTTCCCCTCCTGGGAGCTCTTCGAGGCCCAGTCGCAGGAGTACAAGGACTCGGTCTTCCCCGAGGGCATCCCTGTGCTGAGCATTGAGGCCCTGAGCACCTTTGGCTGGGACCGCTACGCCCACGCCTCGGTTGGTGTCAACAGCTTTGGTATCTCTGCCCCCGCCAGCCAGATCTACAAGACCTTTGGTCTTGTTCCCGATGTCATCGCCGAGAAGGCCAAGCGCCTCATCAGCTACTACAGCGACCGCAAGCCCGAGTGGAAGCTGCGCAAGCCCTTCTAAGTGGCTCGCCTGCGGCCACCACCACCCAGTCGAAAGCCCTGCAGTCGCCATCGATCCGTAACCCCCCCCCCAGAAGTTCAATGTTAACAAAGCTGACTGGATCTGCGATGATGGATGTGTGGCCGTGCCGGGCCTGCTGGACAGTCCTGTGGACAGTCCTGATGGGCAGTCCTGTGGGCAGCAGGAGTGCGTGCTTCGAATTGTAGGGCGATGGTGGCGAGCCAAGTACACCAAAGGCAGCCGAGCGTTGGCATCATGCAATGTGCGTTGTTGGGTCGAGACGAAAGCCCGTGGCCATGAACCCACCGGGCATCCGGACACACCAGGCATCTGCGTCAGGCGCCGCGCACTGGTCTTCCAGGGTCTGTGCGTGGCAGCCTTCGTTTTGCACAGGAACAAAGCGCAGGCCACGTGCGCGAGCAACAAGAAACCGGGAGACATCAGTCGCGTCACGTGTGTCGCCTCACATCTGGTCCTGGTGAGCGTTCGCATTCGCGCTCCACACAACCCCCGACTTGCACAGTCCATCGCCGAGCAGCCCTGGTCGCCCTACTCTGCCCGTCTGACTCTGGGCAAATGAACACCAAATCAGCTAAGCGGCTGGGCATACTGGACCCAGATGCCTCCGCACTACCGCCGCCACCGCGGGTACAACTGGAGCAGTCCAACGCTGAGGTTCGGCCAGCTCAGCGCAAGACCTTTGCCAAAAACCATCCCAAACTGCGGCTCAAGGAGTCAACGAGGAAGGCAAGCCCGATCGGATACTCAGAAGCAAGGGGAGGTCATCCAGCCAGACCCCGGATGAAACCCGCAAAGACGGATGGGCTCCATCAAGCAGGATCATCTGGCAGCCTGTCCCGATTCACCGAGGAGTCGCCGATCGATAGCCCGCCTCGGGTTCTCCATGAGCAGATATCGAACGCTCGCCTGCTCGATCGAGGAATCCTCCCGTTTTTCAAACCCATATCCGCTTCACCCCCCTCAAGCCACAAGTTGCCGCATGAGGTCCGCCGACAGTCGCTTGAAAGCAGATCGCCTGTCGGGTCCTATCGTCCGCCTCATCCCAACCGCCGCAGCCGCCAGGATCATATCTTGGCCCCATCAGGCGCAGGTGCAGGTGCCGGAAGCTCGACAGGAAGAGCCATTCATGTCACACAGATATGTGATACCGATTCCAGTGACGAGCAAGGGCCGAATGCCATCCGTAGCGGCAGCGATTCATCTCGAACAGCCCGAGTGCCTCGTCAGGCAAGCCCCTCGAGCGGAAAGCGAGACGGCGCATTCGGCCATTCAAAGAATGCGAGCACCCAGCAGCGGTTCAGGACTCCAGAAAAGGGAATAGATCTCGCAGATACATCCGATGACGAGGTTGCAAAGATCACTCCTGTGCGGCACACCGACAGCCGCGAGAACAACCCGGCCAGGAAGCCCATAGGCAGCAAGGTGACAGACGACCGCTGCAAGGCAAGGGAGAGTCTCGATAGCGACGATGATGAGTTTTCTCGACTGACTCCGAAAGCAAAGTCCTGCGATCGTAATCGTGGATCCAAGCCGAGTCTTGTCCCAAACGCAAATGCAGATACGGTGCGCGAGCAGCGGTCCGGTTTGGACCCAAGACCAGGATCTCGCCAGGTTCCAAAGCCTGAGACAATGCCCAGGCCGGCCCCAAGGCCCAGCCCCTTGCCCCAACTGGACGACACCAGCAGCTCCTCTGACGAGGCGCTTACCAAAAAGCGGGTGGTGCGAGAATCGTCAAGCACTCGGCCGCTTCAACCAACGAAGCGAGTGCGCGGAAAAGCACCATCAAGTACCCCAGAGCCTCACGCCCCCAAATCGAAGCCATTGTCGAACTCATCGGCCGCGCCTGCCCTAAGCATCCGCGATACACCACAGTCATCGGCTCGCCCAAAATACACGACCGCGATCGCAATTCAAGATACCCCTGAAGTCGGCGATGTTCAGATTGTTACCAACAACTCAGCTTCCTCTCCAGAACACACGCCCACACACCCGAGAGCATCCAAAACAGGCGCTGTCCGTGCAACTTTCGGTAAGAACATATCGCCAACGACTGCGTCTGCTGGCGATCTGGAGGAACATGCCTCGACAGCAGCTGGAGCGGCCGTTGAAATTGTGGACAGCAGCGACTTTTCCGACGGCGACTCCCTGGACTCTGGCTATGACAAGGCCCTCAGGTGTCCAAGTTGCCAGAGACACCTGTCCGACAGCCTCTCTGCCAAAGCCATGGATCTGTACAGTCACCTCCTGTCGCTCACGCCGGGATCGGAGCAGTATTACATGCAGGGATTCGAGTTTTGTCGGCGCCACAAGGCCGAGGAGACCACCATTCCGGAGGGTATCAGGAGAGGATATCCAACGAGCATTGACTTTAAGCGTATCAAGATGCGGGTTCGGGGTCTGCTGTCCGAGATCAAGGGCATTGTTTCTAATCCAGAAACGAGCTACTTTCGCACCCTGGCGATGCAGGCATACAGCTCCCTCGGCAAGCGGCATGCACAAGGTGGGCCGCACCGTTTGACGAACCGAGTGCACCGAGCACAATGTACTGCCGGCTGACGATTGACCGTCTGCCTCGGATCGATGCCGATGGCCGTTGAGTCATGGCATCGCGGAGTGCCGTCTATCGCTATGGAGAATGAGAGGGCTTGTTGTTCAGCCAGGCCGCTCGTCATACCCCCAGCAACTAAGGAGCCTCTGCCCATCCCATCCCATCGATGCCCCAGGCGTCGAATACAAACTAAGACATAGCCAGCAACTCAAATGTGGCTATTATGGAATGGTAAGAGTATGGACTCAGTAAAATTGCTCGCCAACATCCCCCATGGAGCTTGGACGATGGCGCTAACGCCTGCTTGAACCTCGTCACGACCAGCTCGGGACAAGCATCATCTTCAAAACACTGATCGAGCTCTTGACTCGCGGAGAGAAGCCGATCCTGAAGTACAGAACAACAAAGCCCCAGACCGTTTTCGAGTTCATCCAAGACGTACTTGTACCCGAAGTCGCGAGCCGTCTTATACTCCAGGACTGTCAGAGCGAAGCCAGCCGGATTGGCGATGTGACAAACTTGGCAGAAGCCCGCCAAGTGATGCAGGAGAGCTCCGAGTTTGGCTGGGCGCTCCACGGCGACTGGAGCGACGAAGAAAGCAGCGACTAGGGACTAGGGGGAACTCGCCTCACCTCGTCTCGGAGCGACGAAGCGTCGGCTGAATCGTCTTCGCTAACCCTGCTGTCCAGCGGGCTTGCATGCAGGGCTATCCGGGACTCACTTCCCATCCGTTGTTCATCCACTGTCCATTCGTGTTCATCTGTCCCATCGTCACTGTATGCACAATGCAGCCTTCACCGACCGAGAGGTGGCACCCTGTTTTGAATCCGCATCACCTTGGCTGAATCGCAATACATATACGGCCTATTGTCATTGACCCACCCATTCGTACCATCCCATGCCCATGGAGCTATTTGCAAGAGTTTTGAGCGACTGTCGATTGGGAATACAAACGAGTGTACATAGCCTGAAGTGCATGACCAATAACGGATAGCATTTGAGCATATTGGAAATTGCCCTGAACGACACCAACGACACAAACGACACGGGTGATGCACAAGAAAATAACCAACGCCGTTTCGATAAACGATGGAAAGGGTGGCTCGGTTTGCGGGCCGCTCTTATTGGAGGATCGCTTTGGACCGCCATATTTCAAAGTCTATCTCGGACAGATTGCCACAGCCCCGGAAGTCTCTCACCAACAGACTTGTTGATCGAAACACAGGCCTCAAGACCTCCCTGCGGCGAGTCCAAAATAAACGCACATCCATCGAGTTCGATTCGGACTGGTCCGGCATAGACTGGCTTGGATCCAAAGTCGGGCTTGAGTAAGCCCATGCCGGACCAGGAGCTTACGATAAAGTCCTTTCCGATCTGAATGGAAAGTACAATACGTTCTTGCCTGGGCTGGGTATCGAGATAGTTGACGGTGTCTCGCATGAACTCAGCGCTCGTTCTCTCGATACCCTGTCGAACCCGCCTTGCTGCTTGGGCGATCTTGTCTTGGTCCAGCCCGATCCACTCTTGGCGATGCTCCATGATGGCAGTGAACACGGCGTTACCAAAGTAGTTGGGAGGCAGACCAAGCTTCGCTCGGCCGTTGATGGCGTTGCTGGAACGGAAGCTATACTGAGGATCGCGGGCGGCACCGACAACCATAGTCACAAGGCCGATGAAAGAGTCCATTGTGCTGGCAAAGTGGCCGGCCGGCTGGTCTGGGGGATTGGTCCAGTTCTTGAGCTTGACCAGCTCCTCGGGAGACAAGTAGAGCGAGACGCTGGTCGTCGAAGGTGGGCCAGAAGAAGACCTTGCCTTGGCTTGGAGGGCCTCGATTGGAACAGGCACAGTGAAATATTCGGGGTGAGCCCTGGCCGGAGGGCCGGTGCTGAAGAGGAGACTGCGATCGTGGCAGGGCATCAGCTTTGATTGACCACGGAAAGCACGGCCCCACGACTCCATCAGCTGGAACATGGAATCTCCGTCGAGGACACTGTGGTGCGCCGACAGCCCGATAGAGAGGGCGCCGTGAGCGAGCTTGGAGACCTTGACTGCGAAAATGCGCTCGTCGCGCAGGGGCAGGAGATTGAGCGGTCGCTCCTGGGCAAGAGCGATGTGGTCCTCGGGTCGGTCAACAAAGAGCAGCAAGGGCTTGAGCTCCGGGTCGATCAGCACAGAGGCAGAGCCGTTGTCTGCGCCGTGCTGGACTCGGCCAAAGAGGATGGGATAGTCCTCCATCACAGACCAGAACGACTCTTCCAGGAGCGACTGGGGATACTCGCCGGGCGGGTAGATGTACACCAGCGCAAACAGAAAGACGTGCGCAACGGTGTCCATGGGCGTGAGCCTTACAACGGTGCCGTCCGTGTTGCTGTCGTCAGCCGCGGCTGCTGGTGCTGGTGCTGCTGATGCTGCTGTTGGGGATGTCGAAGCGGGCATTTCGGGCTCCAGCGTCTCAATCGTCGAGGGGGGTGGGCGAGAGGAGCAGGGAGGCCAGGGGTCTGTTGTGGATGTCTTGCAGACCCACACACGGCAGTGGCGCAGTGGCCATGGAGGGACGGCGTGCGCCACCCGCCCCTGGCTTGGCAGGCACCGCATTGCCGAAGCATCAGGCGACATTGCAGTCCATCGCAGTCCATCGCAGTCCATCGCAGTGCATCGCTCTGCCAACGACTTTGTGGATAGTGGCGTATCGTCATCTCGATGGACGGTCGTTGGATGTTGCCTGTGCTGTTGATCCGGCGAAGCACAGTGCAGCGCTGTGCTGGCGACACGTCGTTCCAGACCAGACCCCTGTTGCGATGCGGACATCGACATACAAACGACTCGCAAGCAGTTTATTTCCACGAGCAGGCGGTAGGCGCCAGGCATCAAGGCATCTCTGCGACAAATCCAGCCATCGCTTTCGGCAGCTGCCGAGTGCTGGCGATCTGTGATCCCTGGTGGCTGTGCTGATGAAGACCGGTGCGACGAGATCTATGCGACGGCCTTGCCCTTGAGGTCGGCCGGCTCGTCGTCGTGAAGTGGCTCGAACTCAGGAACTTCTGGAATCTCCCACTTGCCCTCTGCAGCGTTGGCTGGGATAGGATCAAAGTTGCAGAGCCGATTGTGGATATTCGGCCGATGGCGAAAGGCCGCAGGATAGACAGAGGCATGAATGCCAGCAGCGAAACGAGGATGAGAGTTGCATCAGGCGCAGTGCTGTTGTGCACCACCCTCGATGCCATCGATGCACCCAGCGGCGGGATCGTGGACAGGTGGATGGGTTGGTGGATTCGGAAACAGGAGATCTGGGGCTCGAGATGCTAAAGCATTCAAAGGGACAGGGGCAGCACGTCTCACCTTCGTTCGAGATCCAGAACGTCGCAAAGAGAACCGACTCGTTCTTGAGGCCGAGTTGATCGAGCATGCTGCCGTCCTCGAGAGGGGTGTAGACGTTTGTCTGTGAGTTGTGGATCGAAAACCGAACATCGCGAGGGTCCGTTTTCTCGAGGAGCAGAGCCGCAAACCGGGTCTTGACGGCCACGACCGAGTCCGACGGGTTCGCTTCAAGGAACCAGGTCGTTCTATGGCGCTTGATTCGGATATATATTGTTGGGCTCTGCGGCGGCAGGCACCGAGCCAGGTTCGGCCGTAGGTGGAAAATGGCAATCATACGATGAGAATATGGGCGGGCAGGCCGGACCGATCGGCGAGGCTGCAGAGATATCCTATGGGGCAGGCTATCGCTGAAGGCGAAATCATCAGGATAAGCAGGTGGCGGAGCTGCAGCCAGCTCATACCATGGTGTGCGGACAGCGAGGCGGCGATCAGGACGATCCAGAAGGAAGATCTGCGACGAGGCCAAGCGGGACTGCGGGGTCGCGGCAATAGAGCGCTCTCAAAACGAAGCGGGACATCCCGCTCTGAGCCAGGACAGTTGTTGCTTGCTGGAACCTGAATACATCCACCCACTCGTTGCATTCACGGCCAAGCAGTATGTCCAAGGAGACCGAGGCCGTCATCGCCGTTGGCAATGCTTCATGGCGTCAAGGCAAGGGCTATGCATCCAGTCACAGGAGATAGCGATTGTGAGACCGGAGAGCGTCCCAATGTCTTCACTCGGAGGTGATTTGCTGAATTGCATGTGGTTCTGTTGGATTCATTCTCATCACACACTGCGCTGACATGCGGAATCAGTGGGGGTGTCCCGATTCCTCATGAGCAAAGTGTATTGTGTGCGGGAATAGACAGCCCCCCTCATAGAACGCGGCCAGAGTAGCAAGCATGCCAATGAATACCAGCGAATGCCGAGGATGCCGAGGATGCCAAAGATGCCGATGGATGCCGATGGATGCCGAGGATGCTGATTGATGGTGACCGCCGGGGACGGCACACAACGCCGGATCGGCCACACCGAGTACATAATCCGATGGCAATCCGGCGGCTGTCCTTCGATTCTGGTGCTGCCGACATCGCATTGCTTCCCAGTGGCATCGCAATAGCAACGACTGATTGGCTTCGATCACTGCTGATTGCATCCATGCCCTCCGTCAAGCCCGTCGGCGCCATCGCGGTTGCTGAGAGCCGCTTTCCTCTCGGTCTGGACCGGATGTTTTCGGCTCTCCCAGAACCACAAGGTCCCCCCCCGTCTGCCCCCTGTCCTGGAGATCCAGACGGCCGTCTCGAATGAACAGCTTCGGGCAGCGATGGGTTCTAGCTGTCGCCTGGACCTGCCTCGGCATCGCTTCGTGGCTCGCCCAGGCGGCCAGCATAGCCCCCACGAGCACCATCAAGATCGGACTGATCTTTCCTTATAACTCGACCAATCCATACATTCAACGGTGGATCGGAGGTGAGCAAATGTCGCGCCAGCAGATCGTGGTGGCATCCCCAGCACTGCTGCTCGAGATTTCCGACGCGAGTCTCACCTCACATCGTCACAATACCGATGCCGGATCGCAATCAGTTATGGAGGTAGGCTCACGGCATCGTTACGGTGCACCTGGACAAGCACAGCACCCATTCCACGAGCGCGAGTACGCCGTTTGACCCTTGCCAAACTCCTCCATCGACCCGCTTGGACGGGCTGCAGGGCGCCGCCAGAACAGCCGAGTCGCATATCAATGTCGCTGCCAACCGCTCTGTGGTCCAACTGATAACGGGATCGAGTGGCTCAGGCGAAGGCTTCACAGCCGTGTGAGTTTGGCCTCCGGACTCGAATTGCTCGAATTGCTCGAAGCAGCTTCATTCCGACTGACTGCGATTGAAGTCTGCAGCTGCTGTACGAAAGACCAACCCCGAGCGCTCATACAGATCGACCATTCTTCCAACTAGGATCGCTCTCTCGTATCTGTATTACTCTGGCGCCACAGCCCTGATCGGCGACATCCTTCCGCTGGTATAGTGAGCAGTAGAGCACTTTGTACCAATGCTCGCTCGGTAACTCACACTTGTTTCACCACCCAGACGACCACGATTGAGGCAGGATACACCAACGCTTTTGAGGCAGGCATCTCAACTCTCTGCAGGCTGCATATTGGCTTGTCTCGACAGCATCTTCGACAACATTTCTGACGGAATGAGTTTGCAGCTGCCGCAGGTTTCCGTATTCCCCCTGGTGGATGTGCTCGACAACAAAGCGGCGTATCCAGTAAGTCCCAGACATGGCAGCGGCGCCATCTTGGGTGGGATCGATCGACACCGCTGATAGATCGAGTCCGCTCGGATTGGGTCGAGCCTGATGGCACCACAATTCGATTGGCTGACCTGGCAAACCCAACGGATCTGTGCTCAGTTTTATTGGCGAGCGACAGCCGGTAGTCAAGCGATTGCAAGTGCCTTGACAGGTAAGGTCCCTGCCGAACTCAGCACAGCACCCGATAACAACAGCATATGCAGGAGTGACTGACATGGTTACCTCATACTCGATCGGATTTGCATTTCCGCAGCATATGCCACCATGCAAAACTGGACATCAGTAACTGTCATATCCGGCCCTGACGTTGGCTCCCGATCGTTGCTTTCGGATATATATCTGAAGTAAGATACTGCAGTCTGTTCAGGATGAACACGCTCCGAGATCAGCTGTGCTAATAGAAGTAACTGGCGCGCATTTTCCTTTGAAGAATGAAGACCGTTGGGATAGGCATCGATTCCTTCAACATCTTCACTGACACGAGTCTCCCACCGGAGCAGGTATTTGGTATGTCACTGGGATGAGCAGAGCGGATACGGGGGGGACAGCGATGCACCGTAATAGCCCAGAATACACTGAAGTGGCCTTGGTTGGGCACTCAAGTACCGAGCCTGTATTATTCAAGGAAAGTCACCCGGACTTTGAACTCAACCGTCTCGACGTCTGGCCATCACAGCCAATACACTCGATCAAGCTCCAGTCAGCCTCGAGAGCGTCTATGAGGGCGTGGAGTTTGTGAAGAAGCGCTCCAACATTGTCATCCTCAGCATCACCGACCCCGCGGTTGTAATGTTGTTCCTGAAGATCTCATGGTAAATTGCTTAGACTGCAGTCATGCCACGATTTATGCCATGCTGAAATCTATGCAACCTCAGCTAACTGGCACTGAAATGCCAATAACGCACAGGTACGAGTACGGTCTTCTCGGGAGCCCGTACGTGTGGATGGGTCCGGAACTGGCCGGGGATGTCTCCCAGACCAAGGGTAAGCCAGACTTTTCTTGGCATCTGCTGTCGAGCCATGCAGACGATCGCTCTGACGAGCACGATCAGCATCCCGCGATCGACTGGCCCGTTGCTAATGTCTTTGAGTCACAGGCATCTTGGGCGATCTGTTCAACATCCAAGATTTCCAGGGATACATCCAGTTCTCAGAGTCCACTTTATTCAAGGATGCCACGGGGGGCTTTGTGGACCTCAACGGACGTCCCCTGCCAGTCAACATTTCCTTCACCGACACTCAGCTCGATGATAGGGAAACAATGTATTCTTATGCAATGTGAGGATTGCTCGTTCGCCAAGGTGAACTGCTATCCCAGGAGAGTGTCGACGAAGGCCTGACTCGTGATTTTCGACTGATTCGCCATCGAAATTCGATCAACTGGCAACCGATTGGCTGCAGGGCTACCTATGATTCCGTCAATGTGCTCGTTAAGGGAATCCAGCAGGTATGCATCGCTTGGCTGGAGCAGCCCAGGCATCCCTCCTCGAGGGGCTTCCATGTTCACCACTCGATATCGGGCACTGGGTAACACAATCAACTCGATCTCCAGAGCATGATCTCCCCGACCCCGTTGCAGACGCTCATCGCGGATCCAATCCATTTTGCTCGGGGGCTTGACTATACCGTGTTCAAAAACACGGGATATATCGGGGCCGCAGGTCCATTCATTCTCAACAACAACGGCGAGCCTCAGTTCTCGTAGGTTTTAGCTGCGCAGCGATGATCATGTCTCGGTGGTAGCAGCATCGCAGCGGACGACATATAGCTCACCAAATCATGTGTTATCATCACAGAATCATCAAATTTCGCTCGTTTGTAAGTGAAACCACTGTGAATACCTTAGTTCCGGAGATATCCAATCTACCGAGCCACCATTATCCGCCCACCCTTCGTTGCAACCGCTTGGATGGGAGCAGGCTGGCGGAGTCGGCCGCCCTGAAGAGTAACGAGCTGCAGTCACATGGGAATCCGGCTCACTTGGTGCTGTTGAGCCGAACAGATCTTGATACAATTTGAGAGCGCTGACTTTGCCTGAATTCACATAAACCCACCCAGATCAGGCAGCTCAACAGAACATCGACCCTGGCTTACTACAACACTACGCAGCAGAAAGTCACTGTGATGCGTGGCACTGGGTTTATAGGATACTCCGGAAGCGGCAAAGTAAGCGAGGGTGGCCGGTGAGCGACGTTCCTTGGGTTGGTCTCGTGATTGCACTATTTGTGTCTGACCTGTGCTGACTGTGATGCATCAATATCAGCCACCGACATCAAGATGCGGTAGGTGGTCAAACTTGATGCGAGTGTACCAGACATATGCACCACAAGGCCATCGGCTGACATTGGTTTGACTGTCAGACAACTGTCCGATCGGAACGATCCTGGTCGGTGGTGTCTGCATGGAATGTGGATTCAATGGTATGTTCAGAAAGCGGCTGGTGGCCTCGGCTGCAGTTTCGAGTCTGTGCATCACCGGTTGATATCCTGCAGGCCAATGCCTCGCCACTAACGTTTGCCGTTGCTCTGGCACCTTGAACCCGCTGAAACTTGCAGAACCTCAGAGCAGCTCGACAGGACACTCCCAGTACTACAACATGTCCAGCGGGACTTGCGTTGGCCCGTGCCCATACGGTAGGGTACAATCGTCGCTTCGCGTGGATCACAGCGTAAAATCCGCCGCCCGATTGGCTGTTTCTCGGTCTTGACACCAATCGATATCCTACTGCAGGAGGGCGATGCGTCGATTCGTCTACAACGCCTCTACCGCAAGCTGACTATTTCCGGTTTGTCAACACTCACTACTATCGAGTATGGTTTTTGGAATGCCCAGAGGTCGGCGTGTGCTGTCCGGGAGGTGAGTGCCCATGAACGGCTGCAGTCGATGCAGGTCGGCCGCGCGTGTGTCTGTGTTGTTTGACGCCGGTGTCGAATTGCCTCTCGTGACTGCTGCAGGAAACTGCACCGAGTCGTCGCTTTGTGCGCCCACCATGACCGGCACCTACTGTTCAAGTTGTCGTCTCAACAACACATACAAATGGAACGGGGCTTGTGTGCCCTGCGACAGCTCAAACTGGGACATTGCTCCCATAATCAACCTGATCCTCGCCTACTCCGGAGTGGCTATCTTGATTTATCTGAAGCCCAAGAGCGCAAACACGTTTATTTCTGATATGGTACCTGCCATCCGCAGCGGTGCCAAGCCCAGGGGTGGTCGTGCGTGTGCGCTTTGGACGCTTTAGCATGGTAGCTTCATTCGCTAACCCTACCTGTCTGCTCATTTGGCGGTATGGCAGATCATGTTCTATCAAATTGCTACGATTATGTACTCTGACATGAGGACGGTGGCCGGGACCATGTAAGCACAACTGCACAGATAAATCCTGAGGGTGGCCCAATTGTCCATTTGAGTGTCGTGTGAGCGTCGCAACCAACCTTGTTTGTGTAAGCGTCGTCGTTGTCGGTACAGCTTCTGGAGCCTCTGTTGATGCGATAATGATCATATGCACTGGTCGAAATCACACAATTAATGCAAATGCTGGTTTGCCCAGAGTCAACATTGTTGGATTCAATCTGCAGCTTGGATCAAAATCATCCAAATGTGTCCTGCCGCTGGGCCCGCTCTCCAAATCGATATTCGATGCGTACTTCCAGCCGGCCATCATCATTGTCTCGTATGGCATGATCACGTTGTTTGCGTACATGTTCCGGCGGATCAAGGAGCGCAACGTGGTGATCAAGCTGTGGTTTGAGAAGCTTGTGCCGCAGTGGCTCCAGAACTGGAATTTTTCGATCCAGGCCATGATTGCAGCCGTGGACATTATGATGTACGTCGAGAGGCCGCTGATCAATTCGAGTGAGTATATTTGCTCGCACTGGTTCAGCCGCGGCGACTATGCTGCTGCACGAGACGGTGGGATTGCTGTTGGTGCGCATTGCTCTTGACGCTGACTCGTGCATTCGTAGGCCTTAGCTTCAACGACTGCATCAAAGTGCCGCTCAAGAACCAGTACTTGCTGCGATCAAATCCTGCTGTCGAGTGCTTTTCAACAACCCAATTCAACACAGGTGAGTTGATCCGCCCCACCAGCGGGTCTCTTCACCAATAGCGAAACGAAATACGCAACCTCGGCTAGGTATTTTTGATGGTGGCACTCGTCGTCGTCTCAACGTTTCTGACGCTTTGATGTTCTGCTGACTCGACACAGTGTTGATCCTGAGTTCCTTTGTCGCTGCATTTTTGAGCATTGGGATTCCGATCCTCGTCATGGTTGCGCTCTATCTACGCAAAGTACCGAGTATGGCTTGCGTGTCACTGCTGCTGATCAAAGTCGGAGCCCTCGAATCTCAGTGGAGGGGTGGCACTGCGACGATGGCGACGATGGCGACGATGGCTGCTTCACAGGGATGGAAGCGGCAACAGAGACTCACGCTCACGTTCGCGTTCTGTTCCAGAAATGAGGCCCTATCTGATCTGGACCCGTCCGTGGCTCCACATTCTGTTTCGGTCATACAAGAAAAAATATCACTGGGTGTTTTTCTTTGATCAAGCCGAAAAGCCCATTCTGCTGTTGATGATGTTCTTCATCAGCCACAGTGAGTATTTTGGGCACAACAGGCTGGGCAGGCGCTCTGCATGTCGCCACAGCATGTGCATCCCATGGAGCTTGCGATAGTCACGGCAATGCAGCAGTTCGATCGGATGAGTGATTACGGGCAACTGTCTCCGAGCAGCGAGGCTTTTACTGATTCAAGTGGCAATCTCCAGCCGGCATTCAGTCGATTTGCATGATGCTGTTTATCTTTATTTCGGCGACCTTTCGCCACATTATGCAGGTAGGCTCTAAGGGAGTGACTCGTGATTGCTTCCGGACACTCGCATGCGCTTTTAGGTGGATTGCGGCACCACGTCGCGTGCACTGATTGTGATCAATTCCTCGCGACACAGCCATACATATCCACGCTCGATAACTACGGAAAGTCCATGTGCGAGCTCAGTCTCACGGGAATCGTCTGCCTGCGGATGTTGCGACTCATTGCAATCAAGTCGTCGGCACGTAGTGGCTTCCTGTGGAGCAAGAGCGACGTGGCCGGAAACAAGTGGTGGACCCTCGACATGATCCTTCTGGTGATTCCTCTCACTCTTGCCCCAATCAAGATCTGGGTGATGTTCAAGTCGGCAGCCCGGAATCCGACGCTCCAGCGGGCCTCCAAGAATGTCTTCAAGGCTCTCTCGGCCACCACTATGAACCTGACCCTGAGCCGAGCCGACAGCGCAAAGCAGTCGTCGCGGCTGGAAGGCAAGCTCGACACACTACCTCGTTCGGCGAGCATGGCCATCAGTAGCAAGCACTCCAGCCTCGAAGCACTCGATAACCGAAGCTCCCAGCTCCTGGTTGCCGAGGACGGCAAGTCAGGCACAAGCCACAGCCACTTCCTTCTTCCACTAAGCGCACACAGGAAGAAGCAGCTTGGATCGTCACTAAGCGATTCCGTGCCTTCGTCGTCAATGCCGAACCCGCCGGGCAGATAGTGCGGCGTCCTCATGATGCCATTCTTTTGATGTCATCCTTATGACAACATACTCCAGATATGCTATCGTGCCTGCTTACAATAAACACCGGAACTGCATGTGCAAGTGCGAATGCGTGGTATTTCAGCAATATAGCAGCAGACTGCACTTCCCCCCCCCCAAGAGTGGATCGGGGGGCTACAAACTACAGAAAGGAGAATACCAAGTGCCTGTCATTCTATGGGTTTGAGCTGTTCCAAGGAGAGGGCTCTTCGTCGTCGGCAAAGAAGAACTCGCCCTCATCGGCCGCGGTAGTGGCACCCGCCGTGCTGGGCTTTCGAATATCCTTGCTTGAGCCGGCCGTTTTGATATCCGGATGCGAGGCGTACGTCGAGTCGCGATGCGATTGCTTGCGCTGGAATGGAGGCGCTGTCTTCACGACGCTGCGGCGACTGGTTGAGAGCCGAGTGGCCTGTGTCGCCGGCGGACCAGCAACATCGGGAGGGGTTGCGGCGACGTTCACAAGCGATGCTCGTTGGGAGGCTGCGGTCGAGTTCACTCTGGACGACTCTGAAACTGAGTCGATAGCATCGGGCTCTAGGGAAATGAGGAACTGGCTTCCGATGACAGAGTCACCGCCATAGAGCTCCTGTCTGCTTGAGGCTGTGTCGTCAACCAGATCGGTGGCGATTGATGTGTTTGACTGGAAGGTGATTTCGGCTGGGAGATTCGGCTCACTTTCGACTGGGTGGGTGTCCAAAGCACAGGTTTCGTCGCCTGGCTCCATCGTGGCGTCCGGCTGGGCACTGCCGCCGATCTGGGACGCCTCCGTTGGGATACCATCAGAAGTTGGCGAGGCGTCGGTCATGATAATGCCCGGGAGGTCAGCTGATAGCACTGGGTCTGTTGGAGAGCTTTCGGGCGAGACCTCGACAAAGGACGCTATTGGTGCCAAAATCTGGATCTTGGGCATTGTCTTGGCCCCGTAGATGTTGCTTTCGGCGATTCGTTGGGCCTGCAGCAGCCGAAGCTGCTCCCGGCGCTCACGGGCCCTCCGCTCTCGCTCCTCCTGCTCCTGTCTCCGCTGCTCCTCCAGCCTGAGGATGGTCTGGAAGTTGATTCCGTGGATGTAGCACTGGCAGCCCTGGTCTCTGGCGTTGCGGGGCCGCGGGAAAAAGTCCGAGGTGAACTCCAAGGCCATGCGCTGCTTCTGGAGTATTCGGGCAAGGTGGATCGGATCGGTGAGGTGCATGATGGCGTCGATCTTGACGTCCCAGCTCTTGATCATCTTCTTCTTGCGCTTCATAAAGACATCGAGCTCGGCCTGGCTCTGCTTCTGCAGGGTCTCGATCTTGGATTTAAACTCATCCTCCATGTGGCGCAGCTCTCGGTCCATGATGGCGTCCTCGTCCTCCTCCTCGATGGGGGTTTCGATCGACTTGGCGGACTCGGATTTGCTGGACGTGGACGAAACAAGCGAGGAGCGAGCAGAGAAGCTTTGATCAGCCCCCAGGTCATCGCTCTCCACAAGCCGGACCCCAAAGCCGCGCATGGCCTGCCGAAGGATCGTCTTTTCGGCATCTTTCCAAATGGTTGCGCTCCGCGTCTTTTCGGGGTTGGAGTCGGACACCAGCAGCTCGTCCAAAAATACAACTCGGGAGCCCCCCAGCTTTTCTCGAACGGCTTGTTTCATCCGGGCACGCTCCTTGACCCTCTGGAAATAATCCATCTGGCTGGCGAGCTCGATATCGGTGCTGCCTTCGGCATTCTCGGCCACGGTGCTTAGGGGTCCTGGTTGCGGAGTAACGCTGGTCTCGAGGCTGGACGGTGTGGTGGGCTTGACAGGTGGGCAAATGACATCAAGGATCTCCTCGATGTTGCTCTTCCGGGTGCGCAAGTCGTGCAGCTTGTATTCAAGCCCGTCAAAGATTTGCTTGTAAAATGCGGTGATCTGGTCGACCTTGAACTTTTCGTGCATTTCCGAGGATTTACTCTGCGGTTGTTTTGGAAAGCGTGCGAGTTATTGAGTGGCGCTGTGCGAAAGCGCGGACCATGGTTGCTGCATGGTTGCTGCATGGTTGCTGCATGGTCGCTGCCCGGTTGACGTCCGGTCTGACTAAACAGATATCCCGCTCCCGTGGCTTGACTCACAGCAATGACATGTTGCAAATATCAATCTCGTACCAGTAGAGCCACATCGGCAACGCCCTTCTTCTTCAGCAAAAGGAAGGCTCTTGCGGCAGCATACTCGAGACGATGCATCTCGTGCTCCATCAGAATGAGATTCCTGTTGGCGCGGTCGATGGCGAGATCCATGTCCTTTTTCTTGGAGGCGTGCTCCTTTATCTTGGACTGTATCTGCTGTTCGTTGTAGGACTAAGGGAGGGGCGGTAAGATGGAGATGCAAATGCGTTGGGAGCTGGTGCGTGGCTGCCGGCAAGAGGGGATCTCTGTCGGTCGAGAGTGTGCCGAACCTGATACTGCGAGTAGAGTTTGTCGACACCCTCTGCAAGACTCTTATGGCACTGCTTTCGCACGCTGCGGATCTTGCGGCGATGCTCGTTCTCGAGGACGGCCAGCTTGGACCGGACGGTCTGCTCGAGGATGCGAAAGTTTTCTTTGAGACGCTCATTGCAGTGGACGGCCAGCATCCGGGTGGTGATGTCGAGTTCCTAAGGGCGCGGGCAGCCCAAGAAGCAGCCACAAGAAGCAACCACGAGAATCAGCCACGAGACGCAACCGCAAGAAGAGCCACATGGCCGGTAGTTGTGTTTAGATACACTGATGGATACAGTTTGGCATGCACCACAGCGGTCCAGCCCACAAATGCCACGGACAGCAGAATGGGGTGCCGTCGTTGGAGCCCTGTGAGAACAGATCCGGCCGAGTACCTCGTGGAACTTTGCGGCCATCTTTTCGACGAGCTTCAGATCGAGAATGTCGTCGTCGACCTGGGTGGCGCTGTCGATGAAGGACCTGCCCATGCGGATGTACTCCTCGCGCTCGTCCAGAAGCTCCTCCCACACACGGCCGAGCAGGCTGAGGTTCTCGACCTTGCGGGCCTCTGCGATTCCAGCCAGGCGGCGTGCAAAGACTTTGGCCCGGGCCATGGAGGTGAAGTTGCCAGCCATCGGCTTGGGCGTGGGAAGCAGGTCGGATAGACGGGAAAATGCAGACATGTTGCTTGCACGATGATGGAAGGATGCACGGTTGCCTGGCTGGCGAGTTTGAGTGTGGATGAGGAAGGACAGCGACGGGCAATGATGGACAGCAAAAGGCAGGGTATCGACGGGGTTGAAGCCGGACGAAGGAGCCGGCATCCCACGGATGCGTATGAGTGTGGGGAAGTTTGGGGAGGGAGCCGCTTCCCTCGACATCAGGCTGCTTCGCAATCAGAGGTATGCCCATATGTCAAGGACCCCCGATTGCAGTGGCCAGCCAAGAGGGAGCGAGCACTGAACTGGATGATGGCTGCCGGTGCAAGCTGCATGGCATGCAAGGCATGCATGGCATTCAAGGCATGCATGGCATTCAAGGCACTCCCAGGATGAATGCTTGCGACAGGATGCGTCCAGGGCGGATACCCGTTGCCGCTGCCTTGTCTGCACCAGCAAGGCGACCCCACGCGAGTCTGGAATCGGCAGGCGCCGGTTTCTTTTTTGGGGTTGTTGGCAACAAGGCCCATTGCTCCGGGCCCACAGCCACAGTCTGTGTGGTGTTGAAGTTGCAGCAGACCTTCTGCTGGACATTGCAGCGTTACGAGATCGTCGCCGATAAATGCACTATTTTCATCTGAGGATGTGCGGTTGGAGAGCGTCGCTCGATCGAACTGCCCCGCTGTGCTTGCGCAATCGTCGTGCTATTCCGGTCTCGCACTTGTGCTGGGTTGTGCTTCGTTGTCTGCTTGTGCTGCTTGTGCTGCTTGTGCTGGTGTCTGCTTGTGTCTGCTTGTGTTGCTTTCTGCTGCCCGGCACTTTCCGGCTGCACTCCTGGCTTGGTTGGCGATGCGACTTGCTGGCCCTCGTCGGTCGTCTCTGCTCGCATCCGATTCACCCAATTCATCCTGAGCGCCGTCGGCCTCCGCCAGACTTCCTCCTCTGCGACCCAGTGCAGCCCGCAGCCCAGCTCGCAGCCCAGCTCGCAGCCCAGCCGCTCAGTAGCCCCCCTCTGTGTGTCTGCAGTGGCAGTCCCGTTTCTTCCCCCACCCGGCCTGCCCTTGCTGTCACCCGCGACCAGGATCGCCTCTTGCATTGGCATCCCAGGCACCAAGGCTCCAAGGCAAGAACGCACTTCTTTCGTCCTGGGTCATCTTGGGTCATCCGTCGAGCTGCCCATCTTCCTGTCGGACCATCGCTCCGTCCTCTCCTCGGGACACCGATCCGGTACTCCCCACAGAAGGGCGTCCGTGGCAGCCGCAGAATCCTCATCGAAAGTAGCATACTGTCTCTCCAACGCCGCCCGCCAAAGCCAAAGCCAAAGTCAAAGCCAGTTTCCTCGCTGCTGTCTGCAAACCTCTTGTTCCAGGGCACCGTCGGCGTCTCGCATTCCACCTGCGCCTTCTCTCTCGCTCCTGCCATCATCGTCCGGGCCTGTGCCTCCACGTTCGTTGGCCGCAGCGGCTGTGGCTCTCATCCCCCCCCAAGCCAAAAACAGAAAATATGGGCAACCACCATTCCAAGCCGGGCAGCCCCGCCTCTGGCTCAAAGTCGTCGGCAATGCCAAAGAAACACTCGTCAAGCCAGCAGCCGTCCAGCAGCCCAAGCGCTGCCAAGTACAAGCACCTGGTTGTCCACAGCAGCGGCGGCATCCTCCCGCTGACGCTGCAATCCAGCCAAGTGCGTAAGCGTAGTTTGCAGACGGACTGGAGAAGCTCGGGATGGACATGGTGGGGTTTTGGGCGGCTGGCAAGGACAAGCTGTGCTCCGCAATGATTGCTCGACCTACCGTGATGATTGCTCGACTCGATGTGATGATTGCTTGGCCTACCGTGATGATTGCTTGGCCTGCGTGGCTCTGGGATATCTGGCATGTTGAGGCAGCGCCCTTCCTCGACACCCGGTGATATGCTTGGCCTGTGCGATACGGGCATGCCCCTGGCGGAGCAGCGGTCATCGTGGATCTGCCAAGCGCTCATCGGCCGGATGCAGCGGCTTCTGGACGATCGTGTGGGTTCCGTTTGCTCGCTTCTGATCCCCCCCCCTCTTCCCCTGTGTCTGCAGGAGCCGTCCAAGAACAGCAACAGCAGCAGCAACAGCAACAGCAACAGCAGCAGCGGCAGCGGCGCTGAGACTAGGCCCGAGGCCGGCCCCGACCCGCTGCAGTTGCCGGCCCTGCAGCAGATCACCCCACTGTCGAACTCGGTGCTTGCGCCGCTCACGACCGAGTGCTCGCGCTTTTACATGCCGTCTCTGTACGATCTCGGCAGCAGCAGCAAGCCCCAGAGTCCGCCAGCGCAGGCGAGCGAATGTATGTATAGCGGCCGTCGGAAGCATCGGGGGCATCGGGGGCATCGAGGGATGTGCGCAAGTCAGATCGGCGATGCAATGGCGATGCAATGGCGATGCAATGGCGATGCGATGGCTTGGGCTGTCCCATTCCATCTCGCCGTTTGTACATTTGATTGTTTGCACATCCCACCCATCGACCCCTCCCGTATGCACCAACCTCGTCCTCAACACCATCTCCCCCCCCCGTCCACTGCACCGGCATTCCGCTCCCATCGCACCCATCCCGCCGTGCGCATCGCTGCCAACGTGCGGCGGGTCACACGGTGGTGTGCCGCTCCTGTCCGGGGGCGGCCTGCTCGCCGCTGTTCGCTCGGCCGCACATAGAGGCTGTCGCCTGCCGCTCGTCCTCCCCATCGCCTGTCTGTCTGCGCCGTCTTGCATCGTCTCTTTTATCGCCCCGCTCCGGCTCCGTCCTGCTCGATTTTACTTTGCCTCGCTTCTCACCCCGCCTTCGGCTCTGCCCCCTTGCAGTCCAGCCCTGTCCCGACCAGGCTTCCCTGTCCTGTCCCGTCCCTGCCGCTGGACCACAACAGTCCCTCGAATCTGCCGCCTCCGCAGAAGCCTCGACCCCATCTGCTCCTGCTGCCTCGTCTGCAGCAACAGCCTCCCTTGGACCCGCAACCTCCCACGACAGCGTTGTCTCGGTCGACTCCATCACCTCGTCGATCGAGCTTGTCTCCGCTGTGCCTGAGCCTGTTTCTGCATCTTCACCGATACCGCCTGCTCCCCTCCAAGCGCCGCCGTCCTTCCTGGATTTTGTTAGCAGCTTGACCGGCTTCCGCCCCCCGAACCCCCCGGAGCCATCGGAGCCGTCAGAACCGTCAGAACCCCTGGAGCCTTCGCGGAATTCATCATCCACAGAACGCCCATTTGCCCCTGCACAAGCCTTGATGTCCGCAACCATCACCGAGAATGTCCTGGCACACTATGCGAGCCCCGGTATCTCGCCCACAAGCTCCCCCGAGCCGTCAAAACCGTCGACCGGTATGCAGCTCGCCCCCGGTGCCGATGGTCTGCCGATGGCCGTGTTATATTTCATTGGCATCGCATTTCACGCTTTTGCACTCACACTTTAACGCTTTGCATCCAAATTTGCTTGACCCCAGGATACGACGACGTCCCAAAGCCAAAGACGCCTCCGCCGACACCCCCGTTTCCCGACCAGCCTCTTGCCACCAATCGCCAGACGCCTTCGCGCCTGTACTTCACCGTCGTCGGCAGCGACGTTGACAACTACACCTCCGAGAGCACCGACAGCGACGAGGACGCCACCACCAACAGCGCCAAGCTCGAGTATTACGCCGAGGCAGCCCGCCAGGCGGCCCTCGAAACCACCCAGTGGTTTTCAAGCTCGGACCGCAAAGACAGCAGCGCCAGTACCCGCAGTGGCTCGTCCATCTCCTCGTCGATTCCTGTCCGACCCATGTCAGTAGACCAGGCTCCACATGAGCGGCTTCGTCCGCGCGGCTCCCTCGCCAGCCGCCGGTCGTCGTCGGTCGGCTCCAACCGTGGCCTGCAGCCGCCGCGCCTCAACCTCAGCAACGTCAAAGCCCAAGGCGCCAAGGAGGACAGCCCCAACTCGGGCAGTAGCAGCAAGCCTGGCACCCGCCTTTCCCGACTGGGCGCACAGCTCCACCTGGATCAACTGCCCATCTGGCTGGAGACTCTGTGTGCCATGGATCCATCCGAGTGCGCCAAGCGCCTCCGCTCCAACTTTCGCGATCTGGAGGAGTATCAGTCCGAAAACCTCAGGTCCGACTCGAAGCGCTTTCTCTCGGGCATCTCGAGCGAGCGTGAGAACCTTCGCCGCAACCGGTACAACGACATTGTCCCCTTCGACTGCAATCGGGTCGTGCTCAAGACGCTCTCGAACGGATCCGACTACATCAACGCCTCGCCCATCACGCTCCGCCACTCGGGCCAAGTTGGCTACATTGCCACCCAGGGCCCGCTCGCCCAGACCTTTGGCGAGTTCTGGCAGATGGTTTGGGAGCAGCACTCACGCGTCGTGGTCATGCTCACCAAGGAGGAGGAGCGCGGCCGCATCAAGTGCCACAAGTACTGGCCCGACTCGGTTGGCCGGCCTCGCAAGTACGAACTCGGCATGGGCGTGCTCTCGGTCGAGCTGTTGGAGGAACGGCTGGTATCGATGCCGCTGTTCCCGGACGTGACCCCGACCACGGCCAAGGACGACGGCGACAGCCTGAGGAGCGCCGGTGCCCTCAGCCTCGAGTCGCCCGAGCACTCGACCGTCCAGCGCGACTTTCGCCTGTCGCTCGTCCAGAACGGCCAAGAGTCCGAACGACGGGTGACCCAGCTCCACTTTACCGGCTGGCCGGACCGCAAGCGCAGCCATTCGAACGTTGTGCTGGCGCTCATCGAGCAGGCCAACTCCCTGCAGAGCAGCTACGCTGGCGAGGCCGCTCCGGGTCCGATTGTGGTGCACTGCAGCGCCGGCTGCGGCCGCACCGGGGCGTACATCTGCATCGACAGCGTTCTGCGCCAGCTGCGGCGGCTGCCGCAGTCCCTGCGCAGAGAGCAAGCCGACGACGCCATCTTTCGGACCGTCAAGCGCCTGCGGGACGAGCGCATCGGCATGGTCCAGACCTTTGACCAGTTTGCGTTCTGCTACGAAGCCGTCGTCACACAGCTGGGATACTGGCAGAAGGGATACGACCGCCCCAACGATAACGATGCCGACGACGGCCTGGCGCTGGACAGCCAACTCGCCGAGCCGGCGCCCACCACGCCGCGCCCCAGGCTGGTGATTGCCGCCGACCAAGCCAGCAGCGACGACTCTGCAGGCGACGCCCACGAAGACCTGGCCGCCAGCAAGAAGACGGGCAAGTTCAAGGGCAAGGCGCGGCTGGTGACCGTCAGCCCCGACGAGGTTGTGATGCCGCAACCACGATTCAAGGCCCGTCTGCTGCGCGAGATGCCCGACTCGCCGCTGGAGCTGTCGACACCGTCGACGCCGAGCGGCGAAGAGCGGTCGTTCTCGTGGGACCAGGTGCAGATCGTCTCACGCAGCCATGAGGAGTAGACGGCCAGGACCATGTTCGCAAGCACCTCCATCGCGGTTGCAGTTGAAGTTGAAGTTGAAGTTGAAGTTGTACTTGTACTTGTCGCCGCCCCCTGACTATTCTTTCCCCTGATCGTTCCCACTCATCATCCTCGCCATTTGGCCACTCCTTCATCGATTCATTTCATTCTTCTCTCACATGGCTCTCCGAGCATTCGACGGCGGCATGTCCGTTGGTCCTCCGGCCTGTTTGTGCTCTACTCTGTTCTGCTCTGCTCTGCCCTGCACTGCTCTGCCCATCCCTGCTGCGTGTCTGTCTCCCCTCCCCTTAGAAGTCCACACATGTCGTTTCCTTTTCCTAGAGTGGTGCACCAACGCAGCCCGTTTTCCCTTCGAGATCCGCCCCAGTGCACAAAAACCATTTTTTCTTGCAAAATGAGACAAGACAACACCGCCCCTGTCTTTGAGCCAGGCCTTCTGAATAATGAATATACAAACGTCCCTTCACTTCACTCACCGCTCTCGGAAACCCTTTCCCCCCTCCCCTCCGAACAATGTCACGACTGAGTCTGGTTTTTGTTGCACTGGCAGCGGAGCAGCGTTCCTCCGATCCGGCGACAGCGGAAAGTAGCAGCGATAGCCACGCTCCCACACCGTCTTCCTCAGAGGGCACCGACACTCGCCGCCTGTGCATGGTGATTTGATCTTCGCATAGAATGAGACCTCGACAGGGTGGATCATTTTTGCCATATCAAGGTCAATTAATATGCGGTTGCCGTTGCCGCTGCCGTTGCCGCTGCGGCTGCGGATTTGATGTGGGTGGGCGGTGAAGGTGGAGGTGGTGGTGGAAGGAATGGGGGGGGGATATGCGACATTATGGGTTGCGAGAAGGGCTCGGCTCACGATGCGATGGATCAATGGGGCTTGTGGGAGACGCAGCGGCCACACCCAGAAGCCATTGTCCGAGTCGCTCTGATGGGCACAGCGGGGGATCGCGAGTGGGCGAGGAGTGAGGCGAGCAGATCAAGATATGGAGGGAACAGATCAAGAACGGGGCGAATGGATCAGGAAGCCAAAGAAATTCGTCGGTCACCGGACCAGCGCGGTCCATATGCCCCAAAGAGGCAGGATGAAATGCATTCGGCACATTGACACACTTGGGCAATGTTGGTCGGCCGTCTGGGCTCGGCCAACGGTGACGTGGCCAGATCGATCGGCGACGACGGTCGCAGACAGCTCCAGCTCGATGGCCACATCCGGCGCAATGGCCATTTGCAGCCCCACGAACCGATTCGGCGCAGCGCAGCGACCGAACACCTATTCCGGTTTGTGCATCCACTCGATAGGCTCATAGTGCTACTCGGGTCGAATTGATATTAACCATTGAGGGCTGATAGTGTAGTGGTAGCATACTTGCTTTGGGTGCAAGTGGTCGCGGGTTCAAACCCCGCTCGGCCCCCAGCGATGTGTTTTTTCTTGCCCTGCCCAAATTCACTCAACTTCACTCCAACTCCCAGCTCTGCTTTTGCCATCCGCCTCCACTTGCCCTCGCGAGTTTGCTGTGCTGCAAACCGTCCCCGTGTCCAGCGTGCCCACCAACAAAAAGCCAGCTCGGCCGTGCCCAGACAGCGTCCCGTGGCCGGTCCCTTTCTCTTTTTCCTTTGACTCCAGGCTCACACAGACGCGTGCGGCGCCACATGAAAAAAGAAAGGCTTCTGTCCCCGTTACTTGCTTGGTTGGGTGTCCACCGCTGATTTCCTGGGCATCCAATCCGAGCATCCACGGACGAGCAGCCAAGCCCCAGCACTCGATACCCAGATGCTCCAATATGTCCAGCGCTTGAATGTCGAGTGGTGAATGCCGGGTGGTGAATGCCCGGCGGTGAATGCCCGGTGGTGAATGCCCTAATACCCCAATACCCCAATACCCCAATACTTCAATACCCCAATGCCTCAATACTCCAATAATCCGATACTTCGTTGCTTCAATCTGCCCAGGTCTCAAGACCGCCCCGACAGGTCTTCCCCATGTCTGCTGAGCAGCCTTCCCCCCGGGTATGGTCTCTGCCCGCGCTCGGCCCCCCTGCTTGGCTACTTGTCCTGCCCGGGCAATCGCACGCATGCTCCATGAGCCCCCAGTGGGCCTTGGTGCACCCAACAAGGCCGGCTTCCCCCGCTCCTTCTGCAGCGCAAGCGCAAATCCGAGCACGAAATGGACACCCGCCGGCACTCTTCGACTTTTGCGAGCTGCCCTCGGGACTGCCCGTCTTCGCTGTCTGCTCGTCTCGACTGCTTGGCCCGACGCCCTCCAGTCGTCCGCCAGCTCGCTCTCCCCACACTCTTCGTGGTGGTGGTGGTTCTTTGCAGAGGTACGCTGTGGCTGCTGTATGCAGAAAGTCACAGCCTCGTCTGCAGCACCGTCCTCCGTCCTCCAGCCATTCGCCGCGATCGTCTCCTGTTTGCCGATGGGAAGAGACCCACCACTGGCTGTCCGTGGCCCGGAAAGGCGGCTGCTGGCTGGTCCACAGGACGAAACTTGTGGTTGCCGGGTGCTGCTGAGGGGCCAAAGCTCCCTCCGGCGTGTCTTTCCGCTTTACCGCCAAACCCGCCCTGACTCTTGCCGTCATCCTGTCCCAGATCGGCGCTATGAACTAAGATCCAAGCGACCTGCCGCCCGCCTCGTCTTGTCTGCCGTCTTGTTCCTCCCATCAGCGCCAATATCGTCAACGCCAAATATCACCAACGTCGGCTCTTCGCAATGTCTGGTGAGCCGACCTCCCTCCTTCCCCCCCATGCCGCCATCTGTCTCCCCGCCTCTCAGGAACATGGATTCCATCTGCTCGTCTCCGATAATGCATTTCCGCAGCGGGAAGGGGCCCCTGGGCATAGTGCCTTCCCAGCCTCCCCCTCTCCCTTTGTCCGTGAATATCGCCGCTGAAGACCTGGCCGCTGACCATGCCGCACAATGCCCCGACTCTGTCAATCGCACCGTTTGTCCTTGGCCCGCCTTTCCGATGCGCCATGCGCATCGGCTCTCTCGGATGCGTGGAATCATAACCAAACTTGCACTGTGATGTCGTCGATGACCTCTCCAGCCCACGACAGTACCGACTGCACCATCATTCGACCATGGCTCGCTCGCAGCGACTGCTGCTCCTCGTCTGCGGTGGAGTGCGTCCAAAACCGAATCGTTGGGCTGTGAGTCTCCTTGCCCTTTGCTCCGCCATGGCTACTTGATACATGGGCCGCCGTCACTTGTCCGGACACGATGCCTGCCATGTCGGCCAGACGACTAATAGCAACGATGGGTTTGGATGATCTGCTCTGCTCTGCTCTGCTCTTGATCGGACTTTGGCCATCCCGCCGACCTCTTCTCGACTCCCAGATATCTGTCGAGCTCACAGCTGAGTGGGTCGATACCTGCGTCTATTGCAAAGCTTCAGAACTTGCAAGTCCTGTGAGTATTTGCACACCAACCGGGGGACGCTCGCCTCTGGATGGACTCACGGTGCCGATATATGCCCAAGCCGCATCCGCATATCGACATTGGCATGTGGGGCGGCACTTGCGAAGGTGTCGATGGCGCTGCTACTGGCATATTCCCCCCTATCTGCTGACAATGGCCGCCCCTTCTTCGACACCAAACTCACGGCTGCCTCGATCTCCAGCGATCTTTCCAACAACCGGCTCGTCGGAGCGATCCCCGCCGAAATTGGCGCGCTGCCGTCCCTCAAAACCATGTATGCCTGATTATCTGTCTATCTGTCTATCTGTCTATCTGCCTGTCTGTCTCCCGCGTCTGCTTCGAGTCTCCCACCCCCCTATCGTATTCGCCGCGAGATCCATAGATTGCTCCGGCTGCACCAGTCATTCATGGGGCTGAAGAGTCTCAAGTTGACATTGTTCTTGCTTGCTTGCCTCTCCATAGAAACCTCTCCAACAACAACATTAACGGGACCATCCCAGCCGAGATTGGCCGCCTTACCCGCCTCGAGAACATGTGGGTTGCACCGCCATGCTCCAGAGTAAAACCCCTGGACAAGACCGCCGATTCATTTGCCGTTGCTAATGCGGCCATCATTCGCTCTGCTCACAGCAATTTGCAGAGCAATCAGCTCTGGGGCCGAGTCGACCTAGACTGGTGGAATCTGACGGCCCTGCAGCAAGTGTGAGTAGTCCTGCCGCACCCACGCCCATGCTTGGCCGGTGGCATTCGCTGGGCTGCTGGGCGTTATCGCTGATGTTCTCCAATCCTGGCTCGGGCGGTGTCCTTGTTACCCGTTCGCTGACTCGGCCAAACCCTGCTCCCTCCCGCAATCGCAATCGCAATCGCAATCGCAATCGCAATCGCAATCGCAATCGGGCAGAAACCTTGACGACAACTCTCTCTGGGGAACGGTGCGCCTCAGACAGTGCTCATCCAACGAGACCCACGAACAAGCCGGCCTTGTGTGGAACTTTGGAGGACTGGACTGTTTCCAGACGACTGTCGCAAACCCAGCCGTCCTGCCCTCCACCACCTCTGTCGCCCCGGCCCTGATGGGCTCCCCGACGGTAGCAGCCAGCTCCACCAACCCGGCTCCTTCGGGCCTGTTCTCGGACCCATACGGCGGACCCATGATCGCCCTGTGGATCCTGGCTGGAGTTGCCCTGATCTCCGTGGTCGTCTCGGTCGTTCATGTCTGGCGGAGACGACGCCTTCGCAAGCACCAGCTCGGAGAAGGCAAGCCAGAGGATCCCGAGCAAGCCCGGCAGACAAACTCGCTCGAGTCCCTGCCCACCCAGCCGAGCCTATCGTTGCAAAACCCATCACCGTCCCCGTCGCCATCGTCATCACTGGTGCCGTCGCCGCCGGCCGTTTCTCTGCCACCACCTTCATCCCTCCAGCCGTCTCCGTCGCCGCCACTGTCGTTCCTGCCGTCCCATCGATCGTCGCTGTCGTTCCTGCCATCCCATCGATCGTCGTACTCAGCCCGGAGTATCACTGCCCGTGACGGCGCTCACGGCACCCACGGATCTGCCGGTCTGCTCAAATCCAGCTTTGAAAACTCCAAGCGGATTCGATCGATGGAGCAGCTGATTCTTCAAAAGTGCCTCAACCAGCTCGAGCTCTACCACCAGCCCAACGATTCGGGTGAAAACCTGGCGCGGCTCTCGGTCCAGAGCGGCGTCAGCTCCATTCCGAACCGAAGCATCCGGAACTCGGCCTACAGCGACCGCAAGCTCAACTTTTACCAGGCCATCGAGGCTCACGCCGGGAACGAGTCTGAGCTGGATCTGGAAGTCGGCGACTTGGTGATCCTGACGCAGTTTCTGGACAGCACGCGTGCCGAGGTATGTGGCTGGCGTGGGAATCCTGGTTCTTGAGAGCATCACGAACGGATGGGCCAAGACACTGCAGACGCATGGATCGTTTGCACAGTGGGCGGATCGTCTCTGGATGCAACTGCCCACTCACTCTGCCTCCATTGTCCTCCTCAGGCCATCAAGGAGAGCACCGGGGCGCTCGGTGTCGTGTACATCACCAAGATCCTCCCAACCACCCGCTCCATACCATAGTCCGCTTATCCCCCTCCCTGCTTCTAGACCTATAGCGTTCGCACTGGGCGCAGCCTCCGTATCATCGAGACCATATTCTCAACCTGCCTTCCTCCACCTCTCCGTCGAACCATCACCTTCCACCCTGTGGCTCAGCAGCACGTCCCGTTATTCTAATTCGACACTACCCTATCCCTTCGATTCCCCCCCCCCTTGATCTCGGGTTCGGCACGGCTTCTTTGCCTGCTGTGCATATTTGGTTGATCCAAACATGATGCAGTCGCAAGTACGGATGTCGCTTCCTCAGCCCCTTCCCCTCCCCCCCTCCTTTCCCTCATTCCTGCCAAGCCTGCAACACAGTGCATCCACCGAGACTCACACCGATACCTCTTGTGCCATCCTTTAATGACTCGCTTGGCAAAACCCGAATACCTCATTACCGCCCCGCCCCCTCCATTCCTCTCCCTTGCTATGCCTTTGGTCCCTATCCATCTCATCCGTGCGCGTCGTCCTCTTAGCGCCGGCAATCCTCGCTTTTTCCTGCCCCGCACACCACCCATCTCTCCTGCCCAGTATTTGTCGGAAGCAACAGAAAGATCACGATCTATTCGGTGAAACATGCGCTTTCTCGCCTTGGTCACCCCTCCCCGCTGCGGCTGGCTGTGTCTCGTCAAAGATGTGCTCTACGCTCGTTGTCGTCGCTGCCGTCGCTGCCGTCGCTGCCATGAGGGCCCGGATGCACATCTGGCCATCGATCTGGTCGTCGATTTGGATCGGCAATCGGTGCCATCAAACTTGGTCGTGTCTTGCCTCGCCGCCGCCAGGGCCAGTCATGCCTTCTGCACAAGGTTTCGCTTGACTTGCCCAAGCGCCTCTTCCAGGAGCAGCTGCTCCGAGTGGGTCAGTTGCGACGAGCTCGACTCTGTCGTCTTGATCCATTCGCGGTCCCAAGGCAGCGAGGTGGTTGGTGAAAGCCGGCAGAGCGCCCACCGGATCCGCACCAAGTCAGCCGAGACGAACGAGTCGAATCGCTCGCCGACATAGACGACCACGGCGTCGAGGAGCTTTGCGGTGTCGAGCGGCGGCTGGACCTGGGCCAGCGAGACGAGCGTCGTGGCAAGCAGAGGATGGTGCTGGCGAGGGTCGAGCGGGATCGACTTGGGCGAGCTCGGATGGATCTTGGTGGCATTGCTGAGGACGACGGCCCACCGTCGGGCGGCACTGGCAAAGAGCCCGGACGAGTGTAAATCGTGGACGATAGCGAACTGGAGGGTCGACGTGGCCGTTTCATAGTCCAGCCGGTCCCAGAGCCGAGTCCATGCTGGGATGGAGCAGGCGAGCAGTTCGTGCGAGGGTTTGAGACCAGCCCGGTCCAGGGACAGAACCAGAGCCGTAAGGCCGCTGGCCTCGATCAGCTCTCGATCGAATCCAGAGCGATGCACAAGCGAGTCTGCAATCCGGGCAAACACACCGCAGCACACAGGACGCAGCTCCTCATCGTCCAGCAAGCGGCCCGCCCACAGAGTCTTGCTCCAGTCCAGCAGCTCCTGCGCAGAGAAGGTTTCGATGTGGCGGCACATGAGGTTGGACCAGATCACAACCTGCTTGCTGTCGAGGTGGCGGCCTTGGAGCGCTGCATCAAACGACCGCACCAGATCAGCGGGCGGCAGCAACTGTCTCTGAGCATCGATCCGGCGGAATGCCAGCGCACGGAGCTCCTCGGAGAGTTTGGCCTCTAACTGCAGCCCTGAAAAGTTGAGGTGGGTAAAGGCCCAGAAGATCTTGGTTAGGCTCGAGATGCTGAGGGCCGACGGGCTGGACATTTGCGATGGTGATGTTGACGATGGAGGTGTTGACGATGTTGACGATGATGACGATGATGACGATGATAGTGGCGATGATGACGATGGAACAGAGGCACCAGACAGTTCGTGGGATGTCTGAGACTGCGACGGCGACGACGACGGGACCGCGTTGGTCCTGAGCTTTTCCAGCACCTGGAGGGCGATGGACGACGTCAGAGGCGAGTTTGGCAGATGGAGCAGCGCAAGCGCTTCGGCCACATCCGCGAGCTGTTGGTCAGACCAAGTGTCGATAGGCGATGGTGACGACGGCTCCAGCGACGCCTGCAGAATGGCGAGCAGGTTGGCGTTGAGACAGCCATCATGGGCAAGCTTGCGAAAGGCGCCGATCTGCTGGCTGAGAGTAAGCTGGTCGGGATGGCGCCGGTCCAGCTCGGCAGAGAGGAGAAAGATGCGGTCGGCCAGGGTCTGGGCGGGCGTGTTGTATCGGGCAATGTGGTCGAGGAGATCGGGGGTGGCGAGCTTCTTGAGATTCCAGTCCCGCTCGATCCGATAGAGCCGTCGTTGGTTCCAGAGCACCGGAGATGGAGCTGCACGATCGGCGACCGAAGCGGAACGCAGCCGAGGAACCGAGGGAAGGTCAGACGACAGCCAGGGCCTGGGATGCGGGCACGGCAGGATATGCCGATGCGGACGAGCGACGCTCTTGGACAGAGAGGCCATGGCGGCGACGGTTGGGCAGCGACGAGATCGAGGCAGAGCGGTGTGGACGGATGGCGACCGATGACTGCCGACAAGGCCTGCGGGATGTGCACGACGAGACGCAGTCCAGCGATGCGATCGACCGGGAGGGTTACCAATCCAGACTGTTGACCATCAACCGGATGGCTGGCGACTATCAACCGGATGACTGGCGACTATCAACCGGATGACTGGCGACTATCAACCGGATGACTGGCGACTATCAACCGGATGACTGGCGACTATCAACCGGATGACTGGCGACTATCAACCGGATGACTGGCGACTATCAACCGGATGGCTGGCGACTATCACCTTTGTCGACTATCATCTCTGTCGATCATCATCTTTGTCGACTATCATCTCTGTCGATACATCATCTTTGTCGACTATCATCTCTGTCGGTACATCTCACCGTCTCCCGCAGCGGCTCGCTGGCGGGTCCTGGTCGTGGTGACTCGTGTGGGTCCGTCATGCCAGCTCATCGCCGGGATGTGGGGGGAGGCACCCGGACGAGCCCACAGGAGCGAGCAGCCGTTTGTTGATCCCCAGCGGATGAGCACATGTCCCGCTCGGCCGCGAGCGAGTGGTGTTGTTGGCGGTGTTGTTATTGCCACTGCCGTTGTCGGCAATGTTGTTAATACTGTTGGTCATGTTGCAATCGCTGCGCTGTATTGCGATCCAGCCCGTTGATCTCACCAAGCCAAGCACAAGTTGCATCCCGAGTCAACATCCGGGTTGACATTCCCCGAGTCGACACCCGTCCAGGCCCATCGACGATGCTCACATGCCCCACGTTGTTGTTGGTCTCATGCCCACCGACAGCACCACACCACCGCCGCCCTCGTCCGCAACCGCATCTCGGCGTCGCTCCGAACCCACCAGCACCCCCGCGCTCACAGTGACTCATCCTGGCTGGCGTCATGACCCCGCCAAGTCATGTTCCCGTCGGCCCTGGAGTATAAAAGACCCGGCCCTGGTCGCGGCCTTCTTCCTTCCCCAGCCTGCCTCGCAAAGCCTGCCTCGCAAACCACTTTCGGTCATCTCCAGCCACCCGTCTTTTGTTCTTTGCACCCTTTCCCGCTCCTCTTTCATCCTCAGCCACCTCGCATCATGGCCACCGGTATTGAAGTCGAAAACGTCCCCGTCTCCCACGCCCCCCGCACGATCCTCATCGCCGTCGATGACTCTGAGCACGGCGTCCGCGCCCTCGAGCATGCCTTCACTCATGTCCTCAACGACGGCGACGAGGTCGTTGTCGTCACCGTTTTGAAGGCCGCCGCCGCCATCTCGTACTCGGGCGTCACCGGAACCCCCTCCGGTCTGGGTAAGTCGTTTCGCCTTGCTTGTTTGCCGTGCAACTGGCGTCGCCCCGTTTGGACCAGCATCCAGCCAACTGATCTGCTGCTTGCTCGCCTTGACCGACAGATGCCTCTGACTACGAGAACCAGAAGCTTGTAAGTTGAACATCTCTGCGTGCTGTCTCCGCCACCGCCCTAGTCATGCCCACACACATTCTCTGCATTTGCTTCTCACACTCACTCGTCCCATATTCACTTCAGCTGCAAAACACCATCCGCGAAGTTGTCGAGAAGGTTGCTGCCAAGTATACCAAGCGCGTCCACGTCAAGGTCGAGTCGTTCATTGGCGATCCTCGACAGATCATTGTCCTCCGCGCCGACGAAGTCAAGGCCAGCCTCATCGTTGTCGGCAGCCACGGCCGATCTGGCCTGAAGAGGTATGTCCAGTCCGCTTCCTGCCGCAGTCGGCTCCCCTGTCGATGCTGGTTGTGGATATGCACTGACGCCGCTCCATTTGTCTCCCCCGACCTTTGCTCCACAGCCTCCTGCTTGGCAGTGTCTCTGCCTACGTCGTCCAGCACGCCCACACCCCTGTCCTGGTCGTCCGCCCCATTGCCTAAACCGCCGAGCCGGCTATCGCAATTGACCTGTATATTTCTGCCGACAAGCCCTCACCATCATTGTTTGCAACCTCCAACACATCGTCGTATCTCTTTGGCTCTATACTCTTGCTTCATTGTTTTGCTGCTCTCTCGTTCCGCTTTGTATCAGTTATGCCGTCTGTCATCCCCCCCACCATTGCACTTGTATCCCACTGCATTGGCTATTCTGTGCTGCTCAAGTGCAGATCCTCTCTCTTTTTGGTCTCGCTCGGCTTGCTGCTGCATGAGAGCCCCCTGCCAGCACAGCACCACCAACCCTCCTCAATACAAGCCGTTCTATACACAATTCCCACAAAATGGCAGTGCACCCGGGTGTCATGGTTGAGAGTGTAGTCTCATTGAGTTATCACTGTTGTTTTGGTTGTGGTGAGCCCGAGCACCTTCCGATCCAGCCTGCCCCGGCCTCGTCGTTCTTGGCCAGGTGCATCTCATGTGGACCGATCCCACTCTCGACTATCGAGTCCCGAGCATGTCCTTGTGCACACCATGATATGCATGAAAGCGGTTCTCGGCAAGCCTTGTCAGAACAGTGGGATGGTTCACGCCACGGCCCCTGGTCACCCACCCCAGCCGCCCACAGCCAATCAGGTTCCCTGTCCCGCCATGGCCACAAAACATGTGTCCGTCGTCACACCACTTTTTTTGCTCCCCCGATGGCGCAACCGCCGTTGTTCATGACGCTCTTCCGGCATCCATCGCCCATATCAACCAGTGCTCCGCCCTGGACTATCGTCTTCCAGCGCCGCCATCGCATGGATGCTTCCTCCGTCAACCCAGGATATCCTCTAGAATTGATTCCAGGCTATTGTCCCCAGCCGCCCCCGTTTTCTCCCTCTGGCCCCACAATCAACCGTCCCCGTCGAGAAATCCTTTCGTCCTGCCGTACTCGAGCTGCACATCTGCTCGTTCCGCCGATTCGATACCTACAGAACCACACCATATTCACGAGCTCCGGACATCTTGCTCTCCAGTGTCTCGATCACCAGTGCCAACTCTCGGCTGAATCTCACGTTTCTGTCCGAACAGCTTCGACACTGTCTCGTGGGCGCCATTGCTGTTCTGCCGAACCTTCCTCCTGCCAGACCCAAGCGTCCGAAACCCGCTGGCTGTCGCCTCCGTCCCTTGCCTGATTCCGGATCATCGGCACGCTGGCGCCCCTCGTCTTTAAAAGCAGTGCCGCCGCCCAACTCCATCCCATTGCCCTCTGTTGTGGCCATCTCAAGCCCCTCCGCGAGATTCAATGCCTCATCCGTCCACCGCCCGTTTGCACGAGCCCTCGCCCTTTGCCCGGCTTCCGACCGAAGTCCTCAAGCTGATTCTGCACCAGCTTTCCGACCCGAGCCTGTTTTCGTGTCTGCTCGTGTCCAGACGGCTCTCGGCCCTCGCCAGGGAGGAGCTGTGGCGAGCCCCACCACTCTCTGCATTTGAATCCGTGATTGGTAAGCTTGTCGCATCCAATGCAATTCGTTCGGAGACCGATCGCCGTCCAGTCCCTCGTCGACCTATGGGCACTCGCAGTCCACTCGATACAGATGCAGCCCCGAGCATTGCCCGAGTCAGACCCGCGGGGATTACTTCGGCGCATAACCCCGGAGTTTCAGCATCCGAATCGCCCCTGCTCTCAAGCCAACACGACTCTCTGTGTCCTGCTGAAGCTCCCACAACCACGGACGCTGTGTCGATCCGGTCGTCGGTACCATCGCCCTCGTCGCTCCGGCATCGTCAAATGGATTCGCTCGGACACACGCTCCAGCCACTGCTGCAAGTCGGACGACTCGTGCGCTCGATATCTGTTTGCCACCGTGATATGACCAAGGCCACCCCGGCAGTGCTGTGGCTCATCCTGTGGGCCTGTCCTCATCTTCGGTCCCTCAGTCTCGATGCTGGACACGACCATGTCTCCAACAGACCCTTGATAAGCTCGGCGTTCCTTCTGCAATCGGTGTCGTTTGCGTCCAGTCTCCGATCTCTCAGTCTCGGTACATGCGACTTGCAGGACCAAACCCTGGCCGAGCTGGCTCGACTGTGCGGACCTACACTCTCCCAATTAGCTTTAACGGACTGCAGCGCCATTACCGAGCCCGCGCTGGTCAACTTCATCTCACAGACGCCTGGTCTCAAAGCTGTCGAGTTGGGCTCGTTCCAGTCCTACCTCGGCACATTCTCGAACCGCCTGCTGGCCGGCGAAGCCCTCGTCATGGCTCTGGCCGATCTCTCCCATCTCGAGCGTCTTTCGATCGGGCACGGCATCTGCTCGGTCCACAAGTCCTGGATGGTCGGCCTCTCGCCAAAGTTCTTTCCCTCGCTACGCTCGCTCATCTTTGCCGCCTCCCACGATACGGCATCTCCCGAGGCAATGTGTGTGTGGATATCTCACTTGAGGAGTCTCTCTGAGCTATCGCTGGCCGGCGATTTCATCAACGAAGCCGTGGTCGAACAGAGCGTCCTGGCAACAGGACGGACACTGAAGGCGCTGCATCTTATCCAAGCAAGCCAGATGACCATCCGAGCACTCCACCTCATTGCCGAGCACTGCCCCATGGTGCGGTCCCTGCAGTACACCCTGCCCCGGTCCAATCCCAGGCTCTCTGTCTCGCCGGGCTGGTACGATGGCGCCGTCGCAGACCTGCTCGACAAGTGTCTGCTGCTCGAGTCGCTCGCCCTGAACACTGGCCGATACGTCAAGTTCCACGACTCAAGCCTGGAGCAGATCATGCCCCGTGCCATGTGTCTCCGCGATCTGAAACTCAGCACCGGGCAGTTCCAGATCTCGGACGAGTTTCTGAGCCGATGCGAGGATCGGGGTCTGTTGTTTCCGAGTCTACAGGCCCTGAGCTTTTCACTCATCGACGAGCAGGGCTGCTTTCCGCCGCCACAGCGCATCGTGCGCTTCGTGGAGCTGTGCTGTCCGGTCCTGAAGGCCTTTGACTGTGGGAACATTTCGATCTGGCGGGAGGTCACGCAGGCACTACCGACCATCAGACATCTGTCGTGGTGACGCGAGCGACCCTGCAATCCAACTGGCGAATGTGCTTGGCGGGCCGCATCCTTTCCATGGCTCTGCGGTCTGCATATTCGGCATCCGTGATCACTTTCAATTGCTATTCCACACCACTTTGTCGACTTCCTCGCACGCACCGCCACATATCACCTCCCTGCTTTCCAATCCGCCACTTCCAGCACAAGCACTCTCTCTCCATATGTATACTCACTCTCCGAAACGACCTCTATTGTAGTCTTGGACGAATACGTGCGGACGCGAATAAACAATGCAACGACATCCGCCCAGGACACTTTTTGCTGTATCTTGGGGATACAGACCCAATACGGTGGGTGTACAGTCAATCCAGAAACACATCACAGAATGGTCATGGCCAGTGTGTGATGTTTTGAGTGATAACATATTTGTCCAACGACCGAGACCTGTTTTGTATTGTATTGGTCGCAAGTGACTGCTTGACGCTGAAACAGCGCTCTCGTTTCGATTGCAATCGACGACAGGCTTGAAGCCTGATTGTCTGTATCAGCCCAACAAGCCTGGGGATCATGGTTCCCACCTGTGAGCCAAGCAGCCTGGCCCAGGCGGTGCTGCTCCGACGCTTGTCAGAGCCCATGTCTATGCCTCACCCAATCACTCACGCTGGAGCCGTCCTGGAGCCAAGAGACGTGAGTCTTTGCCACGTCTTTTGCTCGCTCGCTCCTGCCGACCGCTCCTGCCCTGTTTCTGCATCTCTGTCGCTCCCGAGCCACGATTCCCTCTGCATCCGCTTCGGCTCGCTGATCTCCCTGATCGACCTCGACACCGCGTTCCCACGGACGCCAGCCACGATCCCACGAGCTTCTTTGCTGCTCCATCGACACGATCTCAATTTCGATCCCGATTTCGATCTCGATTTCGGCATCGGCTTCGGCCTCGATATCCAGACGCATCTCCGCCCTCCACTGCCGTCGGTGGGAACTACTGTCCGCGACCAACTCTTCACCGTCAAGCCCTTCTTACTTGGCTGTGCCATTCCACTTTGAGAGTGTGCCATTCCACTTTGAGAGGCGTCCGCATCTATCACACGAAACCAAGGCGGGCCGGGGTGATCTGAGAGCCAAGACGGACCGAGACACCCTCGCTACTGCAACTCCCCGTCGCGATCCAGGCCAGACGATGAGACTATGAGCTTTATTATCGTAAAATACGGTGGTGCGTATCGATGCGGCGCTTGGGCAGCCAGTCTGTCCAGTTGAGGAGCTTTCATTTTGTATTGCGTCAAATTCGGCCGCACTGTGCTGCAACATAGTCCATGTCCACGACGCTATGCGATGACGGTCGCTGTGGACGCAACGCGGGTGGGTCTGAAACATGCGGTAGCATGCGAACAAGCACACGCTATCCGCTAACCTTCCCAATTGTCTTCCACAGCTAATGAAGAAAAGATTCTGAACCCGAATTGTCTATGCTCTGTCCTGCTGAACCACATCAAAAAGGCACCCGCCATTCTGAGCGCTCTGGGGCTACAGCACCCCTTTTCCGAGCCCGTCGATCTAGCCTTGGAGACCGGAGAGGTCATTGATCTGCTTAACAAGCCCCGGGAATACGCCAAGCGCTTCGTAGAGCCGAGGGGCGTCTATGTGCTGGTCAAAGTCGTGTCAGGTATGGCTCTCGAAGGCGAGAGACGGGACGGAACGGGACGGGGAAGAGGCTCACGCTGGGAGCTGCAGAGAGGAAAGGGCCCAGGGGAAGGCGCCTGCTCTGAGAATGTTCGCGTTGAGTGAGATGGCCGAGGCTGGGAAGCAGCAGCGTCCCTTATCGCACCTACTGCATCTTACATCCCGCCATCAGAGGAGACCGAGGAAACGGTGGCGCAATACGTTCCTCTCCTGGAACAAACTGGAGACTCCAAGGTCAAGTACTCATGTGAGTAGCCAATGTCGTCGTGGGGTGGGGTGAAGTGGGGTAGGAGCGATCCATCTCAACCTCAAGAGCGTTGGTGTCGCTGTGGATGTTTGCAAAGGAGTGGATAGCGGAGAAGCAAGTCAATGTGGGTGTGCATATTCCTCAAAGCGGTGGTGCTGGCGAGTGAGTGTCGGCAGGCACCGACATGTGGGGCAGGCCCTAGCTCTGTTCGATAGTCTCGATCATGTCATTCCCAACAACGACTATGACTACGATCACGACTATGACCACGACCACGATAACGATAACGATCAAACACGCCCCTGACGCCATCGTCTCTGTTCCTCAACCCTTGACCGCAGTATCGTCACAAAGCCGGCAAAAGTACAAGTACGGCAAATATGCCTCGGGTTCAACTGGCCAGTCCATTGCCGATTCAAACGACAGCGGCGGTGGCGGTGGTGGTGGTGGTGGTGGCGATCGAAAGGGGCTTGGTGGGAAAGCGCGCCGATACGGGGGCTCGAGTGTCTCGCAATCGATATCGCACGATGCCTCGGCCTCGCAGGGCTTGTCGTCAAATCAGAGTCTGAGCTCCAACAGCATGATGGCCAGCCCAGGGCAGTCCTCCGGGACATCTGCAGCCGCCGCCAACCAGTCCAGCACGCTGAGTCCCAACTCGGCTGCCGCCGGCAAGTCCCCGCATCCTCCAAACTCCAAACCGGACACGGCCAACCCCCGGCCCCCGCAACCCAAGCGCAGCGTGGTGTCGCGCAACTAGCAACCTGCAACTTCGGTGTCGAGAATAATCAGGTGTGGGCATGGGATAGGTGCAGATGGTATGCCCGCTGATGGGACAGGCTGGATGGCACTACGCTATCTCTGGCACGACAGTCGCGAATCGACAGCGTCGTCATTGTAATCATATGGAAGTAAAGTATCGCTTTTGCATAAGGAGTGCAGATGGGCGATTCTGGCCCTGGCCAACTGGAATCATCATGGCTGGCCAATTCCGGGGCATCGGCGGGTGCGCGTGTGTCGCAATGATGATGGAGTGATTGTGACTACGCGTGTGTATTGGTATCGATGACGATGCCCTAAAACCGGCAGTGCTTGCTCATATAGAACTGAGCCAGTGCCGGGTTGCCCTTGCTGTAGTGGAGCATGGCACAGTTGTATGCCGCCTCCTTGGCCAGACTGTCTTCGTCCGCGCTGCTATCTTGAGCCATCTGTGGTGCCAAACACATGTTAACCCGTAAATGAAGGGGTTCGTGGAGCTGAATTGAGGGGGACGGAGAGCATCGCTGCTCCGAGTAAAAGTTCGTGAACGAGAGCGAAGGGGAGTTGGTTTGAACGGAGGCTCGCGATGGCCTCCATCCATCCAAGCGGTTGTTGTGAAAGCATCCATGGCAGTACCAACGGCTCGCTTGCGAGGCCTACCTGTTCGCTGGCCAGACTTAGGACTCGGTCATAGTACTTGAGTGCCAGATGCCAGACACCTATCAAGCCAGGAGATGATTGACAAAGCCAGCCAGGGATGAGTATGTCGGAGTCGAGGTTCGTGATATCAAGACGAAGGAGCTGTTCAGAGTCCCTCAGGAAACTGCTTCACGTACCAATGTGATGGTATGCCCTGGCGATGTTGTAAAAGACCTCTTGTGTGTCGCCGCGTAAATCGGCGTATTGGAACAGAAATGCGAATCCCTGTGGTGCGCGATTTCAGTTAGTCCAGGAGCCCGTATCCGGCAACGCCATAGTGCAACGCCATAGTGCAACACAGCACGAGCTGCATCAGACTGCAAGCCGGCTCCTGGATGCGCGATTGGCTCAGCAGAGCAAATGACGGATCGAACCTGTGCAATGTTTAGATGTCGATTGTCAGTCTTGCGCTGCAGAGCACGGTGGATGTGGCTGATCCCGAGACATAAGTTGGTGATAGGATCACTGGGACAGAGCTTGTATGCCTTGAGATAAAGTCCTGCCACAGGTTGGATGCGTCAGAACACAGTGGATTTGTGGGATTGCAAATGACGGCGTGCAAAGCAGGCTCTGGCTAGGTTTCTATGACGCAAGTAAAGCGAAAACAGTCCACAGACCAAGCCACGCATCGCATATGCCAGCAGACAAACAGCGCTGTGAACGTAGAAGCAGAGCTGTCTTACCGATTGCGTCCGTGTAAGACCGACCACAGCTCAGAATGTGGCCATAGAGCGTGTATACGATCGCGCTCGGCTGTTGCTTGGCCTCCATGTCTCGGATGTTTCGCAGGAAGAGCTTCTGGGCTGTGCCCGATGCATACAAATGCAGCGAGTTTGTGTTGCTGTCGAGATAAGGGATCAGCGATCCATGAGTCGGCATGGTTCATCACCGTGGGTAGGATACCATAGACAATGAAGCGCGGCATCCGGAAGCCACAGAGACATTGGGTGTGGCAGTGGTGTGGCTTACCCGTTGAAAATGGCATTGTAGAGTTTGTACACGCCATCACTCAGTCGAAAATCGCTCTCTATCCCGCGAAGGTACTCCGTGACTCTGATCAAGTTTCCGGCGTACAGAGCGGATGCTGTCGGATTCCGAGCACGGACTGTTAGCAAGCCACGGCGAGGCATGGGCCTCGCGTTGTCGGCCCGGCGAGCAGGGGGACCGTCAATTCTGGTGTTGGTGTCTTACTCATGATATGCAGCCGAAGCTGGTTTCTCCAGACAAGGTCGCTCCAGAAGACACACGAATCTAGAGCCGATTTCAGAGAATGGAAAGCTTCCTCGTGTCGGCCATCCAGGGTCAGGTTGCGAGCATACTGTCGATCGAACCGTGGACTGTGAGCGAGCAGCGTGTGGCTATATCGAAACCACATTCCAGGGCTGTCAAAGGCCACGTCGCATCCACACACTAAGGAAGCGCAATCCGTAGCAGAGGCATCTGAGACTTGCCTTCTCGAATACTTCGAGCCACTGGGAAAAGCGCAGTCCCAAGTAGCCTTCAAAGTTGGCGCCGCTACTGTCTTTGTTCCATCGGGTGCCAACAAATGACTTGTTCTAGAGTAGCCAGGCGGTGATAGGGTAAAGCCATTACTCTCAGCGCAAATGCGTACCTAGAGTGAAAGATGCAACAAACATTGGGCAGCACGTGCAGTGCGCCACACAATGATAAGGAATGCGCGAAATAGGAAGGCTGGAGCTGAGGCGTTACCCTGTCAGACTGGATGGAAATTGAGCGCCGTTTGATCGCATAGCGCGGTTGGTAGCAGCAGAGTTGTTAGTTGCGGAGAACACGGAGCTTCAGGATGCACGAGGACTTCACCATGGAACGTGATATCGAGCCATCACATTGCTGCCGTGCTTACCGGATAGAACTCCTTGGTTTCCTGGAACGATTGCACCAGCTTGCGGGCACACCGAAGGAACTCGTTCTGCAAGAGAGCCGCAAGGATGGGTGTTGGAGCAAGTCGATGTTTGAGGACGTTTACAGCCTGCGGGCTCCAATTCACGCCATACTTCCCAACACCAACGCTATTCCATGGCCCCAAGACAATATCTCGAATAGCAACGATACGTATTTGCTGCCATCCGATTTGCAAAGTCCTGGACTATCCCGTATGCATGTATCGGTCGACATTGCGCTGAATAGCACTGAAGTCATACGCACGCGCTGAATCTTGTTGTACTGCTCAGTTTCATGTTCCAGCATGGCTTGATACTTGGACTGGTTTTCGATGCTTCGGTTCTTGTATTCGATCTCCAACTTGGCAACCTTCTGAGCCTTTTCGATCGGCCGAGATATCGACTTGCTGCGGAGGTTGAAGGCCCGCTCGGCTCCGCCGTAGGAGCGACGCGACGATGATTTCGGCCGGCTGCTTTGGCGAGCGATTGCGGCACTGGCCTCCTCAAGGGCCTCAACTGCATGAGTGAAGCACAAAGGCCGCAAGTGAGCGTTCCTTGGTATCGTCAGCAAGTACTGGCATTCTCCACCAGCGCGCGGCGGCAGTCTACATCAGCATGTTGCGGCGATTTCACAATCGCTCCAACCAACAATGGCGATCTCCTACCTTCACGACGGAGTCTGATCGTGGCGTCTTCATCTCCGCGCTCCTCGTAGATCTGCGACAGCTGGGCCTTGACTTCAATATTTTGGGGGTCGACATTGAGGACTGGCGGAGAAGGGCGTCAGCACATCACTTCAAGGATCCAGGCAAAACAGCTGTACAATAGATGCGCCTACCCTTATTATAGTAGAGTATGGCGCGGTCATAGTCGTCTGTCTTGAGTTGCTGGTGGCAGTATCCCATGAGAGCCCATGCTGCAGCGCTGTGGGCCTAAGGTGCAGCAGAGGATGATGCCGGCGGTAAGTCGCGCGACTGAACCAGAGAAGTGCCTAGGCAGTGTGCTGGACAAATGACACATACAGAATCATCTTCTTCGAGATAGTAGCACACGTCCAGCGCAGTTTGGTACATTCTCTTGCCGACGTATGCATCGATGACGTCGTAGAAGAGCTCTCTGTACTCGGACAACGGACTCTCGTACAGGTATGCAAAATGTGCCTGGATGCAGGGGTAGCGGGAGTGAGTGCCGCGGATTGAGTAGCCAAAGATTGTTGGTTTGGCCAAGTTGCAGCTGCACGCTGTAGACCAGGTGCAAATCAAGATGCATGATCGAGACGGAGGATCGAGACGGAAGATCCAGTGGCAGCAGATCAAGCTGCGAGTTTGAGCGCCAGGCTGTGTCGATTTGAGCAACACACCAGCTGCCACATATCCAGTTCAGTGGCACACACGCAAAGGCAGTTCAGACTGAGCGCTGGCCGACGGCGTCTGGAGGTTGATTGTCCAGTCTTTCCGACAGACTGGACCCGATCGTTATCACGAGCGTCTGTGTATGCAAAACCACTGACCTGAGCGACCTCAAAGTTGTCGAGCCACAGACGACAGATGCCGAGCTTGGTGCGGAGCTCTAGCGGAAGATAGTGCTCTTCGTCGTCGTCAAACTCCTCGTCGTTTTCTTCCCACTCCTCCAAGAATGTCTCTTGCTCGCGGTCTTGGATGCGGCGCGCACCTTCTTTGATCACCGCAATGCACTTTTCGTAATCCCTCATCTCGATATAGGCTTCAGCCATCTGAAGCAGCTCCTCGTAGCCAACGCGTGTCTTGACCGTGACGCGGGCGCCCATGACAATCTCGCCGATGACCTGTTCGTCATTGGAATCGGCGCTGGGCTTGCCGATAAAGTCGTCCAAATCATCGTCGTCGTATTCATTCTGGGCCTCTTCAAGAGCCAGCGGCAGCGTTGCATCCGCCTTGAATGCGGACTCGTAGAGCGGCAACATGCTTTTGCTGTCGCCGACTTGCGCGTAGAGCTTTGCGAGTACTTTTATGATGTCCACGTTGTTTGGGACAACGTGGAGCAGCTTTCGAAAACATTCTATGGCCTGGAGAGTGGTGGTGAAGGACTTGTAAGGAGGCAGCTCATTTGACGCCGTTGCGGTTGTAAAGTGCTGCTCACGCAACGCTGATGCGCAAACCAAGTGCCCCTATACGACGTCGTCGAATTGACGTTGGCCGCTGTCTCATGGACTGTGGTTCACCTTCTCGGGTTCCTCGAGCTTGACGAGGAGATGGGATCGATCCCAGAGCGCCTGTATATCATACGGCGCCTTCTTTAGGGCTTGTTCGAGGGCATAGAGTGCCTGTTCGTCATCTCCCAGCTCGCTACAGTACAAAGTCAGTTGGACGGACGTTCCGGCGGCAAATCGAGTCGAGCCTTATCCTGCATGCACAGCAGCTGCGCTACTACCAGCGTCGCTGGCACGCTGGCGGGCACTCACTTGGCGAGCACAGAGATGTGCTTCCACTCGTCGAGATCGGGTTTGAGATGCACTGCTACCAGCCGCGCATGCAGCTCCTTTTCTTTTTCGCCGACATCGCCCAGCATCTGTGCAAGCGTCGTCCAGGCATAGGCGGAACGGGGCTCTTGGCGAAGGACTGTATGGCAGAGTTCAATCGCTCTCTTCATGTCTCGACGGGCAAAGGCGCTGTTGGCGCTTCCGAGGGCGCTGTGCAGGTCCGGAGGCAAGTCCATGGCTTTTCGGCGCTGAGACACCACCAGACGGCAGGGGGGTGCAATGGAAGCAAAGCCAGGCCATGCCACAAGAATTCACAGGGGCATAGGGTAAATGCCAAGGCTCGTTGAATACCGAGGGGCTCGCTCCCCAGGGTATATGTCGAATGCTCGCACCGTGGCCAGTCTCTGGATCGATCAGATCCAGATTCCGCTGCTCGTCGCATGCCTCACGATATCCAAGCACCCACCCGGCGTCCGGCTCGTTTTCTCTTGCCCTGTTGCTTGGAGGAGACACCAAGAGCCTCGTCGATGTATTCCATGGTCTCTGGATCCTCGTCCTCCCAGAGCGTCGAGACATAGTCTTTGCCGGGCTGCTTCAGATCAGTTCCGATGTCGACAAGGGCTTCGTTGAGGGAGCGTCTGTCATGGAGCGGGCAGACCCGGGGCGAAGAGCAGGTTTGACGAGAGGATTAGTGAGGAGGGAGGCGAAGTCCATCGATGATCGGTCTCGACCATCACGACAGCACCATGGAGGCTGGGATGCAGACGACGGCGGCGCTGGATAGATCCGGAGAGTCCATGTGGCATACCCTACTCCGACGGGCAGCCGGCTTAGGTCGTCGTATTCGTCGTCCATGGGCAGGACGTATTCACTCTCTGATTCGTGGTGGTCATCGCCGCCGGTGAAGACTCTGATTGGATCTGCAGGGCCGGGGATGACGGCCATGGGGCCTCCATCGCTCTCCCAGGTGCCGTCCAGGACGATCGAGCCGTCATCGGAGGCGTCGTCTTCATCGTTGTCTGGCTTGCTATCGTCGAGGAGATTCAGGGCGGCCTCCTTGAGCAAGCTGTCGATCTCTGCGTGGTCTGACATGGCTATGGAGGGAGGGGGCTCGTTGGACCGCGGATGCGTCTGATGCGTCTGATGGCGGACGATGATGGGCGTGTGATGATTGATGACGAGTTATGATCGCTTGAAGGCGGATGCTGGGTGAGGGACGGCAGATGGCAGATGATGGGCAGATGATGGCGCTTTATGGTCGATGACGGCTGGATGACGGTCCCTCGATGCTGGATGATCGGCGATGGTGGGCGACAGGCTGGATGCCCCCGGCGAGATTGATGCCCGACGATGAATGCTCTGAGGCGACGAACAACAGCAACAATGCCCATGAAAACCAGGGCCAAGCCAGGGCCGAACCAGGGCCGAACCAGAATGGAGCCGCCATGGAGCCGGCTCGAGCCGTGGCGGCCACGTGGGTTTGCGTTTGTGACGTCATGGCACGCCGCGCCATCCCGGCTGCCCGGCAACCAACTCCGCCGGCCGTGGGTCGCGGCCGTTTCCCCCGCCCGGATACCGCCCCGGCAGGCGCACGAGAGCAAGCGCAGAGGCAGAGGCAGAGGCAGAGGCGGAAGTAGATGCAGAAGTAGATGAAAAAAAAAAAGATGCAAAACCCAGAGCCAAGCGCTGATCCCTGGCCTCGCTGCTCAACGGCCCGGACCGGACCGGCGAGGGCGTCGCCATCGATGGTGACTCTTCCAGCAATCAGCAACCAGCAATCAGCAATCGTCGATCTTGCCGGCGTCGGCCTTTGCCGGGTCTTTGTCCTGGCCTTTCCGGCGTCCGCGCGGGAGGCTTGGCCGAGGCAAGGCCGTCCCCACGCAGCCCGCTTGTTGCGTCGCGGTTTGAACTCCCGCCCCCTCCCGAGCCACACGGCCAAAGCGATCCCAAACTCACCTCCCTCTGGCCCCGCAAGGCTCCTATATAGATCCCCGTCTCGTCCCTCGCCCGCTCTGCTCCCGCTCGGTCTGAATCCATTCGGCATCCGCCTCTGCTGTCTCCCGAGCAATCCCTGTCCCAGTTCCCTCGCTCCCCATCCTCGCCTGTCCACCCTCGCTGCACAATGATGACCTCGTCGCAAGTCGAGATTGCCAAGCCAGAGATTTCGTCGCCGGCACTCAGCACCATCAAGCCTTCCAAGTCCCTGATATCGGTGCTGCCGGTGGAAATCGGGTCTGCCGTCGCCTCGGCCGCCCTGATCACGCCGTTCATCTCCATCATCGACAAAGCCATCTTCGAGAATGCATCGGGGCGTATGAAGCTGGCCCCGGCAGTCGTGTCGGGACTGCGACTGCTGGTCACCAAGCCCTTGACCTTTGCCCGACAGCCCAGTTGCTATCTCATCTGGGGTCTCTACGTGGCCACATACACTGTCGCCAACACCATCCAGGCCACCTGCGAGTCTGCCAACATTGACTGGTTCTATCCCAAGTTTGTTGGTGAGTGTTGTGCCTGCGTCGGTCTGCACAAGAGCCGGACACCCTGTTGGAGGATTCGCGGCGGCCAAGGGCTCGGTTCGATGGTAGCCACTGGTTTCGATAGCGGGTTAGCCAGCGTCGATGGCGGAACGACGGAACGGCGGAACGACGGAATGACGGAATGACGGAATGACGGAATGACGGAATGACGGAATGGCCCGCGCAGAGCTCAGTTTTGCGGTGGCATCCGTAAAGCAGAGCGATACCAGCCTCGACTATTGGTGCAATTCCTCTGTATCCGATTGATGTTGCGGTTTTGCCCCGTCTGCGTACTGACAGCGTGCTTTTGCTGCTGCTTCTGCTGCTGCTTCTGCTGCTTTTGCCACTGGCAGGCACCTCGTTCGCCAACGTCACCCTCTCCGTCCTGAAGGATCTGTACTTTACCCGAGCCTTTGGCAAGGGCAGCATCAAGCCGGTTCCGCTGCGGTCCTACGGCATGTACACCATCCGTGACACGATGACTGTCTTTGCCGGCTTCAACTTGCCGACGTTGATGGCGGAAACGCTCTCGACCAACTTCCCCATCGAGCGGCGCCATGCCGATGTGATCTCGCAGCTGGTTGCCCCGTGCGCCGTCCAGGCACTTTCATGCCCGCTGCACCTCTACGGCATGGACTACTACAACCGCCCAGGCAACCTGGGCTTTGATCAGCGGTGGGCCTTCATCAAGAGGGAGTACTTTGGCACAACCCTCGCCCGCATGGGTCGCATCCTCCCGGCGTACGGCATCGGCGGCGTCGCCAACAAATTCTTCCGGGCCAAGGGATACGAGATGCTGGGTTGAAACCCCTTCCTGGGCTCTGTGGCTCTCGAACGCTCCTGGATCGCTCCTTCGGACAAATGTACATATTCCAGCATATGGCCGCGTGCGCACGCTGGCCATGCATTCCATGGCGATAGAGGCCATGGCCACAATCGATGATGACGGACTCTTTTTTCTTTCATTTTCAGCAGCAGCTGCTGCATTCACAATATATTGCCGACGGTTGGCCGGCCTGTGCATACCTGAGTCCGACTGCGACTGACTTTGCAGCGCTGGGGGCTGTGCGCCAGAGCCGGGTCGCTGCAACAGACAGGAGGCGACCGAACAAGTTCCAGGAACGCTGGAGCAGGCCGCCCTCAAGCCGCCGCTGGGCTTGAGCTGGATACGCAGGCAGAGCGAGACCAGAAGGCCGCTGGCTTTTGCATCGGGGCTTGCGTCACGGCTGACTGATTTCGAGCCCCGCGTCGTGGATTTGCAATTTCGTCGGCTCGTCGATCGCGGCACATCTTCATCGCCAGCCCTCGAGCGACAGCAAGCAGCGCCCAAGCCAGTTTGCAGATTGTACCGGCTCGTTGCAGACTCTACCCAGGCCCCCGATGGCTACTCCACCCGAAACCTCCTCCAACTTCAAGGTCGCCGTCATCGGCGGCGGGCTCGTTGGCTCCCTCACGGCCGTCTATCTCGCCCGTCGCGGCTGGAATGTTGAAGTCTACGAGCTTCGTAAAGGTAGGTTCAGTGGCCGCTGTCCTGTTCTTGGTCGGCAACGTCGTGGGCGATCAAGCGTCCGCTCACAACCTGCCAACGCTCAATAATGGCTGATCGCTCACTCATTCGCTCGCCGTTACCATCGCCGTTGCCATCGCCGTTGCCATCGCCGTTGCCATCGCCTGTGATTCTCCTCCCCTCGACCAGATTTGCGCAACTCGCCACACTATTCGGGCCGATCGATTAACTTGGCTGTCAGCCGCCGCGGACTGGCTGCCCTTGATGCTGTCGGCCTTGAGGCTGCCATCAAGCACACCATCATCCCGATGAAGGGCAGAATGGTGCACACACTCGATGGAAAGCAGAACTCGCAGCTCTACGGCGTGTTCGGCGAGGTAGCAGACTCGTTCCTGAGGATGTCGCAGCAACAGCATGTGCACTGCTGCTTCGTTGGCCAAGCAGCTCGTTCGCCAAGGCGGCCCATGCCCGATGCTGTGATTCCTAACCACCTGTGTGCGTCGCACTCTTCCCCTTGGTCGCCGTGAGCAGCACATCAACTCGATCGATCGCAAGGTCATCAACGAGTACGTCCTCACCGAAGCCGAAAAGTACCCGAACGTCAGGCTGTTCTTCGAGCACGACGTGCGGGCCATCGACTTTGAGTCCAACCTCGTCGAATTCGAGGCCAAGGACCGCCAGCGTGTGCAGATCAAGGCCGATCTGATCATCGGCTGCGACGGCGCCTTCTCCAAAGTCCGGGGACAGATGATGAGGAAGACGCTGTGAGTGTTGCGAGCAGCTCATGCTGCATAGATGCCGAATTGCCCCAGCCTTTCTGGACCTGGGCATTGCGGCAGCAAAGCCGCATTCTCGCATTCGGCCGATGCATGATCTCCGCGGATGACTTGTTTCTGACCGATCCGCCCGTTTGGCTTCGTGCTTGGCTCTGCACTTGGCCGACTTCTCTTGGACTCGCCAGCATGAACTACTCCCAGGAGTACATCGATACGCACTATGTCGAGCTGCACATCCCACCCACCCCCAGCGGCGACTACGCTCTCGACCCCAACCACTTGCACATCTGGCCGCGCAAGTCGTTCATGCTGATCGCCCTTCCAAATCCCGACAAGTCGTTCACTTCGACGCTCTTCATGCCGCTCGAGTCGTTCAACGTCATTACCACACCCGAGACCCTCGTGGACTTTTTCCGGACCACCTTCCCCGATGCCCTGCCGCTGCTGGGACGTGACGGGCTCGTCAAGTCGTTCTTTGAGAACCCCAAGGGCGCGCTGATCACGGTCAAGGTTGGTGACGATGTGTCTGACGCTGTCGCGAGAGATGCTCGATATGACGGCCATGGACAACTTGCTTCGCCAACTCAAGCGAGTCGTGTCCAGTCGGCGTCATCAGCAGTGCCGAACGATCATGCTCGGTCCGGATAGCATGCGTTGGCTGACTTTGGCAAATGCCCTGACTGTTTGCCGCCTGTTTGGTCGTCCAGTGCCAGCCCTACAACTACCAGCACAAGGCCCTGATCCTGGGCGACGCAGCCCACGCCATGGTGCCGTTCTATGGCCAGGGTATGAACTGCGGCTTCGAGGACATCTTGCTGCTCAACGAGATTCTCGACCGCCAGATCGGATCCGAGAAGAACCCGACCCAGGACCAGATGCTGCACTGTCTGGACGAGTACAGCCGCGCCCGCCATCCAGATGCCACGGCCATCTGCGATCTGGCCCTGTATAACTACCAGGAGATGCGCTCATCGGTGCTCGAGTGGTCGTATTTGCTCCGCAAGGCTGTCGAGGGCTGGATCTACCGCCGCCTGCCGTTCCTGGGCATTGTCCCGCTGTACACGATGGTGTCGTTTACACGCATTCCCTACTCGGAAGCCGTCCGCCGCTGGAAGCGCCAGACACACTGGTTCAACACCATTGGATCGACGACCAAGGTCACCCTGGCGGCTGCGCTGGGAGTTTTGCTTACCCGCGAGACGCTCAAGCGTCTCGGGATATCCGCGGTGTCGTGGGTGCTTGGCCGAGGCATCCAGACGGCGTGAGGCTCGCACCAGGACATGCCATGCCATGCCATGCCATGTCATAGCGCTGTGTCATAGCGCCTGTGTCCGACCCAATCAATATAATTCCAGACGGGCTGCATTCTTGCCGGCCTTCCAATGTTGCTTGGATGTTCCCTGTGGCTGCTCTTGCCCCGTGCTCCATGTTCCATGCTCGTGCGGATTGCCCTGTCGCTCGTGTCGGTGTGGGATTTCGGACCAGGATTTGTTCGGGAGGCGGCTCGGGGCCCGAGCCGATTCCCGCGTCCTTGCCGCGGAGGCCAGTGGCATCTGTGTGTCATTTGTGCGACGGGTGCGGGGTTTGTCGGATGTGCCACAAGGAATAAGGGCCCGTCGTTCTCGCCTCTGTGTCGGTCTCGCTGCGGCAGTGTCGCTGTCGAGGCACTGGTTTGTCGCAGCGCTCTCGGCCCCGTCTCGGCGCCGCTCGTGGCTTCTCGTGGCTGTCCAAGGCTGCGTTTCTGCCGGCCTCGTTCTGGAACCGACCTGCTCTCCCCAGCTCATCTCCAGACCTCCTCAGGCCATCTCTGCAAGCACATCCACCAGGATCGAGAATGCGCCCAGCACATCTCCTGTCACCTGTTGCCCTTGTGCTGCTCGCCCAGGAGGCCCAGGCCCTGGCTCTGACTGACTGCCAGAGGAACATCATCTACCAGCTCACTAAGTATGCCTGTCCTCTTGTGTCGCCCCAGAGCCGAACATGTCGCCCATCGCTCCGACTGACCATCCAAACTCTGTCCGCCTCAGCTTTCTTGGATACTCGACAAACCAGTTCGAGTACGGCTTCTGCTCGCTACACGGAGAACATACCTTCACCTGCGGCATCATTGGGTTCTCGACGTATGTGACCGTGCCGCATCCTATCTTGTCATCCCGGTCTCTGCCGCTTGCCTTCCGCCGCTTCCGCCTCTCGTCGCCTCGAGCCAGCCACGGGCCCTCAGCGGATGTTTGTGGCCAATGAAGCTAACGCCAACTACGCTTGAACCTGCCCTGTCGCCATGCAGCAAAACACAGGACGTCAGCCAGATTGTCGCCAACTATTCGTCGGCACTTTCGCCCGTCACCGCCAATCCCTTCCAGGCGTACCTCGTTCCGCTGCAACAACAGTCCACCTCTGAATCAGCCTACAATGGCTTCTGCGCCGCCTGGAACTCGACTGCCTCGCGCGATCCGGTCTTCCAGAAGGCCCAGGTCAACTACCTTGATCAGAATTACCTGCAGCCCTCGGTCCAGATTGCGCAAAATGCCGGCCTTACCTCGCCGCTGGCTGTAGCACAGGTCGGCCATAACCCATCGTCTGTCGACCGCCTCCCTTCGACGTCGTGCAATCCATGTCACCGGACTGAGGATACCTGTGTCTGCGACGGCATCATGAGAAGTCACTGACTCGCCATGTTCGATCACTCTACACCCAACAGATCTTTGACACCCTGATCACCAACGGCTACTTGGACGCACAAAAGGGCAGCACCGTCTCCACCATGATTAGCGACACCAACAGCCTCCTCGCTGCCAACGGAACCACATGGACCGAGCAGCAATGGCTCAGCACGTTCCTCCAAGTCCGTGTCGAATATGCCAAGACCTCGTCGTCCTCGTCATCGTCCACATATGGTGAAACAGTGACCAGAGTAAACTCGGTAGGTTGTGTCTATATGTATCTACATGTGCCTGCATGCGTCTGCATGTGTCTATATGTGCCTACATGTGCCTATATGTGTCTGCGTGCGTCTGCATGCGTCTGTATGTGTCTGTATGCGTCTGTATGTGTCTGTATGCGGCATCCCGGGCCCCGATTGTTTGTGCGGTATCAGCATGCCTATCGGCTCCGCCATGACCGCTTCGTGCATCATCAACACCTCCATGAATATCTGTGGCCGCGACTGACTCGTCCCTATCCCTTGATCTGGCGCAGTACCAATATGCCCTTGCAAACGGATACATCAACTTCACCGACATGCTGGTTGCCCTGCAGATGAGTGGCCAGGTCACCACCATCAGCTGCGTGCCTTCGCTTCTGCCTGCATCCGGACCTATCCCAGTTTCGGCCAGCGCAGCGGCGGCGGCCAAAACGACCACGTCCACGACTCTCTCATCGGGAAGCACCGGGTCGTCCATCGTTTCGCAGCCTATCTTTGTGGGCAGCGTGGTCGAAGGCTCCCTCATCGGCATCGCCGCCCTCTGTGCTGTCGTTATTGCGGGATACAAGATTCGCGCTCATTTTCGACGATTCAAGCACATTCCCCTCGACGATGTTGAGGGGCGTTTCTAAAGTTCGACTCTGCTCTCGGAGCATTCCTCATCATTCTCTCGCCGGCCGACCCTCATCCACCGCATCCAAGCTCCCTTTGGTTCATCCACAACCAAGCGATGTATTAAGATTTTGCATCCACCCAAACATGATCCAACCCCCCACGATAGAACCCAGCTCAATTCAATCTTGACATGGCGCTATACAGCTAGTGCACAATACAGCTTATTCAGAACGAAACGGGGCAGTGCGTTCCTGAGTGTCCCTGCCAGTAATCTGTTGGCCCCAGCGAGCAGGACATGGGATTGCACTCTTGCTTTGGTTGGCTGATTCGGGAGCGCGGTCTCGAACACATCCAGTCGATTCGCTGTGGCAACTGGGATTGGCTTTGCATTATGGGGTGTGGCACATGCAGTCGATACTCTGTATATCTTGGGTGCAAAGTTCGGTTCCTCGGCATCGATTGATTCGAGCGGCTTGAGTTGCTTGCTCGTCGCCATCTGCTCTGACTCATGCCAGACACGTGTCTCTGGTGCATCACGTGGACGACCGATCCAGCCGGATCGAGTGTCGCCCGTTCGAGCCTGTCTCTCGCCACCATCACTGCTGCAATGTCGCTCTCCATCGCCATCCATCTCCTCTGAAGCCATCGACCGCCAGCGAGCCCCGCCTCACCAACCTCGAACTCGCCGCCGTCTCGCAAGCCTCATCCCCAGTCAGCCATCCAGGTGCCATCGCGGCCCCGATTCCCTCCCCCTTTCTCTTCTGGACTGCTGCCCTCAGCCATGTCTTCCATCAGCCGCAAGGTCATCCGCGACATCATCCGCAAACAGAAGGCTGCTCCGTCAGCAGCCGGGCTCTCCATTCCGGGCATGGACGCCGTCAGCTTCTACCCGGAGCCCGTGGTGTTTCCCGCTTCCAGTCCGTCGCTGCCTCAACCGCCGTCGCACTTTGCTCAGCCGCGACCAGAGCGATCCGATACCGAGCAGGAGCTCTACAACTCGCTCAACGAGCAATTTCTGGATAAGCTCAAGGGCCATGTCGACCAAGAAACCATCTGGGAGAGCTACGAAAAGCTGATGGAGTCGGCTGTCGAAAAGGTAAGTTGCCGTGGATGCGATCTCGACTCCGGCCCCTGCTGCTGCGTTGCGCCTTGTCGAGTGATCGGGTCATGGCAACACTCATCGTCAGCACTCACACACGGGAGAGCCACCGGATTCGACGCTCTAATCGCTCTAATCGCTCTAATCGCATTTCCATACCACTGCTGCTTCCGCCGCCGCCGCCACTTCCATATGCAGTCGCTCCACTCGGCTGTCAATCACAAGCGGCTTCTCAGCCAGCTGCAGTACCTCGAAAGGTTCCTCACCGACGGCGAGCATACCAACGTCCGTGACCCTGAGAGGATCCGTGGCTTCTTCTTCAAAATTCGAGACCGTCTATCCTCCGATGCCAGCTACCAGACATATCTATACCTTATCAAAAGCTACGAAGAAAAGGTGCGCGAATCGTTCCCGGGACGGTAGCCTCAGCCACAGCTTGTATCGCTGTTGCCACCTGATAACCGCCTTGACACACGCAGTTGGTCTTGCGGCCCGCCACCAACTCCTTGGATCGGGCCGATTTTGTTGCGTAGTACGGCTTTTAGAATCATCTAGTTTGTAGACTCACTCGCCCTTGCGCTGTTATATGTAGGGTGACGTTGCCAAAATCAAACAAACCATCCTGGAGATGAAGCGCAGGAAGCTCGACATCCGATCCGAGATCTACAACATTTTGGTTCGCACCTGCATCGCCGTCGGTGATCTGGATGGCGCCCGTCAGGTGCTCCTCGAAGTCAAAGCCCTGCACGAAGCCAGCACCCCGTCGCATATCTCTGTCGATCCGTCCGTGTACGAGTCGCTCATCAAGCGTTTGTCCGCCTCCGGACGCCCAGACGACTGCGAAGACCTCCTCGAAGACATTCCCGTGCTTGGTATCAAGCCGACCTCACCAATGTACAACTACTCCATGATGTGTATGATGAAGCATCGCAGATACGAAGATGTCGTTCGCTGGTTCCAGACAGTCAAGAACGGCCCGGTGCAGCCAACCCTGAGCACGTTTCACATGGCGTTGATCGCATACAGTCATCTGTCCCCCAAGAAGGCCATACAGCTGTTCCGCTCGATGCAATCGTCGGAGGGATCCCTTCCCAAGCCCGATCTCCACGTCCTACAGACCATGGCCAAGTTTTCCATTCGCACCCATAATCTGGATCTTGCTCTCGAGGTTCTGGATCTCATCCACACCAACCCAGATTTCCTCCGAGAGCTTGGTAGAGGCCGCTCTGCTCTGTATCAGGGCCTCGTTTCGCTTGCGTGCAAAATGGAGCGCCTGGACATCGCCACGGATCTGCACCTGTCCTTGAACACCCATCCCAACATCGGCGTCCTGCCGCCTGACTTGATCCTGGAACCAACTCCCAAGCAACTCAACGAGCTGCTGACGTCCCTTGCCGAACGCAGCCGCATCGATCTCTTGAGCCGTGTCGCTGCTAACCAAGTATCGTGGCACCAACTCACGCCCGAGGCAATTCGCTCCATCCTGCAGTGTCAGATTCGTCAAGCACCCACTGATCCAGAAGCGGCAAATCGCGCCGTCGACATTCTCTGCTCCAAAACAACGCATCTGAGCGAGTCCGATCTGAATGCAGTCCTTTCGGTCGACCTTGTTGGCTTGCTTGGTCATCTGGAGCGGGCGCAGGGCGGAGAGAGCATCAAATGTCTTCTCGATCTTGCTGCCCGTGCCAGCGACCCGAAGCACCGCGAGACGCTCTACAACAGCTACTTGCGTGTGCTTTCTGCCCAGCGACGATTCGACCACGTAGTTCGCGTTTACAGCCTCATGAAAGACGACTCAGTGCCCGTCCACGATTCCAACCTCATCTTTGAAGCCCAGCTCCAGTCTTGCGCCGCCTCGACTGACTCTACCCTTCGCGACGGGCTGTGGCCCCTGATGCAGAGGGTCGTCCTCGATGATGGAATGTACCCAGGGCTTGCAGGAATCCTGCGGCTGTTTGAGCTGGCGGCTGAGTGCGAGCAGCTGAACGAGCTGGAGCTCTTTGCGCACAGCATCCGAGAGCAGTCGAAACAGCCCGGCCGCCGCTTGACCCAAGACGATCGACAGCGGCTCCAGAGGCTATGTGACATTACGCAGTATTTGCTGCTCTGTGTGCACCACAGCTTCAAGTTCGACGGCGATGGTGCCAAGATTGACGCCACGCAAATGCCAAACGAGCTCAGTCACGACGAGGTCGATCAATTGGTCGAGTTTCTGATGGGCAAAGTTGGCTTGCGCGGCAACCGTGGTGCCGACAGTCCACTTGGCCAATTGATTCAAGCACGGCTTTCTGCCTGAGTTGTGCTCAGCAATCGACTCTCATTCCGCGAATCGACTTGCGCCCCCCCCCGAACGGTCCGAGAGAGGCAAGAGACAGCCCAAGATGAAGCCCAAACAGTGTGTGCTGTATGGAGCTCTGCACTGCCACTGTAAATACATTTGACTTGATCGAAAGGAAAGCATGACATCTCTGTGATTCCGGTTGGCTGTGTTGGTAGTGGGAATGCCTGCGTCCAGCGAGCCATTGAAAACGAACGCTTGCAGTCTCAACATGACACCTTGGTCCGATGTCTCATCATAGATGATGAATGGGGCATGTTGAATCAATCCAGAAAGAAGCGGGACGCCTTGGTTTTTGGTCATTGACCGAATGATTTGTCACTCGAGACTAATTCGCGCCCATATCCCGTTATGACTGAACCTGGTGTCCAAGGAGACCGATGAGCAAGCGACTCATGCCGCTCGAATCAATCGATGCCGAGGAACCGAACTTTGCACCCGAGATATACAGAGTATCGACTGCATGTGCCACACCCCATAATGCAAAGCCAATCCCAGTTGCCACAGCGAATCGACTGGATGTGTTCGAGACCGCGCTCCCGAATCAGCCAACCAAAGCAAGAGTGCAATCCCATGTCCTGCTCGCTGGGGCCAACAGATTACTGGCAGGGACACTCAGGAACTCACTGCCCCGTTTCGTTCTGAATAAACTATAGAAATGATACCCAGGGCAAAAGATCTGGCGCACCATTTCATTTTGGGAGCATTCAAGTGCAGTCGACTCGCTGAAGCACAGATATGCGATGAGGAGCAGTGGCTTGTCTATCTTATGCAAGTGGGCGATGGTCCTCAGTCGATGGTGACGGCGCAGTTCAGATGCAAGGTGAATGCTGGTGCTAGGTGTCGTCGCCTCCTGAGTCGGTTCATTTGTGCGGCTGGATGAAGGATTGTCCGACTAAATGTCGGGGAACTTCCACGAGAACACCGCGCCTTCTGCCGAAACCGAGACAACGCACCGATGGTCAGGGGAGATTTTGACCTTAGTGATGTCGGTCGAGTGTCCCACGCCGACAAAAACGACATCGCCTTCCTCGTATCGGTACATCTTGACAAGTTTGTCACTGCCGCCGATCACAAAGAAGCGGCCGTCGGCGGTGATGTCGAGACCGTTGATAGTATCGGACTGCGAGGCCTCGAGCTCTCGGATGAGCGAACCATCAAAGGCCTCCCAGTAAGCCACCTGCGGACAAAGAGCGAGGTCGTTCGATGGTGGCACTCGCGTTGATAAGCGGTGCTAAGATGGCTGTGCTGTCCGGATCCAGGGCGAACAGCACCAAAACAGCACCAAAACAGCACCAAAACAGCACCACCGATCTGCCCACATCCAGTTATGTGTCTCATCAAACACTGGTGCACACAGTCCTGCTTCCATCAAGCCCTTACCTTGCGGTCCGTGCCGCTCGTAAGGAGCTGACTTTCGTCCGGAAAGTACGCCACAGCTTTGAAGAAGCTCGGGGCAAACAGTACTTGGTTGCGGACATATCGGGTCAGATCCCAGACGATACACGAGCCGTCTGACGACGACGAGACACACTCGAGGTTGTTTTTGCGGATCTTGATGCAGGTTACCGTTCCCTTGTGCTCTTTCATGGCATCCTCAAGGATCTGTATTTGCTTGGTTACTTTCCACACCCGGACTTGTCCATCTACGAGGGACACATCATGTTGGCTCTGAGTTCATCGACCGTTTGTAATGCAGGCAGTTGATGCGCCTGGAATCTTCGCTTGAACTGTGCCAGCCAAGTCGGCCCCACGACCGGCTCCGTGCGATATCCCTGATGCCAACATGTTGTCAACCACTCTGTGCATACCTCCTCCGCCCGAAACAATGCGAAAGTCCCCGCGCTGATTGAAGGGGTCGGTAACAGCCAAGGCGGTGACGCCCCGCTTGTGGGCATCATGAATCTCGTACTGGAGTCGACCGGACTGTGGCCCGAAAGCCCTGATCTTGCCATCGTTCCAGCCTGCAGTACAAGAAACGTTTCGGATATCACGTTAGCACGACTGTCCAAAGCTGACATTCTGTCCACGAGCAGTATACTTGTGTCAGCCGCAGTCAACGCAATTGCACCCATGCCTACCGCTGATGAGCGATGACCCATCTTTCTTGAAAGTGATGCAATTGCACTCGAGGTTGGGCACTGCAATTCTCAGGAGCTCGGTGGCCGTCATTGCGTTCCAGATTCGTATGTCGGTGTCCGAGGCTGTCGCAAAGACTTCCGAGGAGTTGCTACAGACAGATATCGCAGGACATGAGTCAGGAGGCGCCAGTATTGCCCCCCCCCTTGCACGCGCAGCCATTTTTCTTTCGCACACGAGTAAAGACTCACGGGGGGAAGCAAATGTCATTGATGGCCGAGTAATGACAGGTGGACTTGAGCGTGGCTTTGAAGTCCTTCTTGGTCACATGATAGATGTTGCTGTATGCTGTTCCAGCCACAAACGAGTTATCGTCGTAGACTGCAATCGATGTCACACTTCCGCTGACTTTGACAGTCCTGCCAGAAGTGGATGTTCGATAAATAAATTTGATGACGTCCGTGCATGCGATTTGCTGCAACACGCTTCAATGCGCGGATGGCATCGCTTGCGAGAGCAGCGACCGTTTGTTGATTGAATTGCTTACCTTAGAATGTTCAGTTTTGGGAGTTTGAGAGCCGCGATGGTGCCGTCGCCACATCCGACGACGATCATGTTGTCATCTTTGTATAGAGCAGCGGAAAGAACGCCCATGCTGAACAGATCCTGCATACGCACAAACCCAGGGCGGTCCATAAAGGTCACAGTCAGGGCGAGTACGGTCGAATCAGAGTCGGAGGGCCCTTTCTTAGCGTCGTTCAGACGACATACCTTCTCCTTGGGTGGGCCCGAGACCTTGAATAGCTTTGTTCGCAGGTTCACCTGGAGCAGGTCGCCTGTAGTGGTGCCGCAGTACATGAACTCGTCGTCGCTGTCGACCGTGATGCACTTGACAATTCGCTTGATCTGGCCCGTCTGGCAGTCTGTTGCCCGCACCTTGCGCTGGGTCAAATTCAGCTCCCAGACTCTCAGGGTGCTGTGTCCGCCGGTGACAAAGATGTTATCGTCGTTGTTGAGATAGGCGAGCGAAAGCGTGACGCCGGCGGAATCTTTGCCCGCCGGCGAGCCACAAATGGCTGCGCCCTTGGCCAAGTCCCAGACAATCACCGAGTTGTCGTCTTCACCGCCCAGTGAGGCCAAGTACTTGTCGTTGGGGCTAAATGCCAACGCTTGAACCTTCACCTTGTGGAGCGTCAGGCGATGCAGCAACTTGCGGTTCTCAAAGTCCCAGATGATAATGTCTGCCTAATAGAATCCGACAGAGGACCTTCTGCATCAACACAAAGCCACTCGCTGAAGGCGTGGGCGATGGAGCGCCAACTTCAAATATCGCTCATCGGTCAGCATCACGGCCACTCACCTGGAATCCCATGTGTGTGACCTGGCCGCTTGCGATAAATTTGCCACTCTTGCTCACGGCCAGGCAGCTCACGGTGTTCGTGTGGCCTTGGAGAAAATCTTGGCTTTTCTTGCCTTCGCCGCTGCTTTCGATCACGACGGTGCTGCCAAGGCTGTAGACCATGTGCCCGTCGGAGTGCTTCAAGAGCCCCTGGGGAACGGCACCTGCAAGCGAGTGGGAGGTGAGTGCCACCCGACGCGCAGGTTCAGTTGTCAAACCACAAGTTGAGGCGATAATGATCGATTCAGTGGATTTGGCGAAGGCATGAGTCGAACGGAACCCAGGCGATGGGGATCATGCCTCCCTCGCCGATGGGGTTCCTCACTGGACAGGCGAGTCTGACTATTCAGCGCGGGGAAGTGAAAACAGGGCAGGGAACGCGAGAGCATCGATGAATCGACGCGCATGCAGTCTTGCTTGGGCACAGCACCTCCAAAACCGATGATGGTTTCGAGCTCCAGATGCGTGAAATCCGATGTGATGGGCGGCATGCTCCAGATTGTGTGCGGAAAGTCAGAGGGAATGCGTTTTGGTTGTGCGCTTGTGTGGGCTGGGCGAGAGGATGCCGGGTTTGTGCCGAACGCGAACGGCAGCGACGAGATATGGCCAGAAACGACAGCGCCGGCGCGAGGAGAGTCGGAATGAGGGGCGAATGGAAGGCGGGGCAGCAGCAGCCGATGCGATTCAATGGCGGTGGACTAGAGTCAAGGCGGGCCAGGCCCGAGCCGGACCAGGAAGCGAGGATGGCGATCGGCGTCTTGGGCTGGCCTGGGTTCATGAGCGGTTGCGGTGCCCTGGCTCCCTCCAGGCGACCAACGCAGCAGCAGTTTCATCCTTGGAGGAGCAAGACACTCAAATCACACCCCAGCGGGCAGCAGAGACCAGAGCATGGCTTCTTGGCTTGGAGCGAGGACGATCGGCGATGCTGCAGCACCCCTCGCCACGACATCCAAACAGATTCGGCTGACAACCAAGTCGACAGAAACGGCATGGCAGGACTTGGTCTTGAGATGGCTGTCGTTGCGCCGGGACACCTCTGTCTTTGCTTTGTGCAGATGGGCCGCATAGCAGGCGCAAACTGTGGTTAAGACTGTCATGGGAGTGAGAGCAAGGCGAGCAATTGGTGTGTTGAAATGTGTGAACAACGAGTGAGATTCGACGCCACTCTGCTCAGTGAAATGCATTATCTCAGCCCCGTCAGCGGCGTTGCACTGCTGAACAACATAGCATTGAATAGAATGGAATTGAAGTGTATGCTGTTTGGGGCGTCGTCTCCTGGCTCGCCAGCCCGACAGGGGGAAAGCATCTGGCCTTTCCGTTCTGCCCCCCCCCATCGCTCTCTCATTTCGCTCCTTCGGCTTCGTCGCCGCTCTCCTGGCCTCGTCTGCACATCGTCGATTGCTGCTTCCCCCGCCACTGTCATCCAACCTCTCTGCCATGCTCAGAGCCTTTTCCTGTTGCTTTGGAGGGCTGGCAACCCCACCCAATGGCCGAGATGCCTCATCGCAGACCCCTGTTGCTGTGCAGCCAATATCCACTCCCCCGCCCAGTTCCATGAGCGCCTGGCTCCATCCCGTCGAGTGTCTCATCAACACCGCCCGCGACGAGCCCGATGCCCTTCTGATCAACACTTACGAGAACGGTGCCTCGGAGCGACTCAGCTATCTCCAGGTGTGGAAGCAAGCCTATTCCATCGCCCAGGCCCTCAAGGCTCTCCCTGGCTGGAACGACGACGGCCACGAGGTCATCGGCACCTTCTGTGAGGCCGAATCCAGCTGGGCGATCGACTCGCTCGCCGTGTGGATTCTTGGCAAGTGAGTATCTCTGGTCTGTTGCAGCGGTGTGATGTTGGGATGTGGAGTCGTGAGGATGGGCTCAGGCAAGGGACATGTTCAACCCTTGCTCCGTGCCATGTCAAGGGTCGAGTCTCACCTGTCCTTTGAACTCCATCCAGGAAAACACTCAACCTTGCTCTCAACCTGCCACCTGCAGCCCGCAGGGCCCTGTGCGAGAGGTTTGTGCTGGTTGCTATCGTGAGGATGAGCAGGCTGGTTCCTGCATCCTGGATTGAGCCAGCTTCTCTTCTGGGCTGGTCGACTGAGATCCTGACACTCACATCACCACCAACCGACAGACATGCGATCAAGTACATCCTCCACCATCGTACCAAGCCCGGCCGCACCGAAGGCGTGACTCTGATCGATGCCGCCACCTTCCCCATGCTTGAAAGCGTTCCGCCCCCGTCCCTCGAAGTCTGTGAGCCTCTGAAAGAGTTCGTTGCTGTTGCCTGCACTTCCGGGACGACAGGTATGTGACCCGGGGGATGAAAATGGTGGCAGCTTAAGGTGCACAACTCGATGATTGAAGGACATGGAGCAGTGGTGACATGATGATCGCCAGAAGGTCTTGTTCTGACGATCGTGTGCTATCCACAACACCGACTCTTGATCAATCCCAGGCGTCCCCAAGTCGTAAGTGGCTCGACAATGTCGCTATCGTCCAGCCCATCGTGCCTATCCATATATTCACCAATATTCCTGACAATATCTGTGTTTGGCTAGATACGACTATTCTCACAAGAGCGCCATGGCTTTGAAAAAATCGGCCGGTGCCCCATACTTGGCCATCGGAGTTTGCCAGGTACGAGTTAAATAGCAGGATCATATCTCAAAGATGAATTCATGATCATTAATCTCTGCTTATTGGCAGTTACCATCTTTTGTGGCGACCATCAATGGCTTGGCAAGCGTTGTGAACATCAAAGGATCGCTCTGGATACCCGAGCCTTCCCCCAATATAGTTGAGAGAGTCAAGAGCATGATCACAATGCTGGATGATGGCGTATCGTACCTTTTCCTGGTAAGCAGTCGGGTCTGTCATGGAGAAGTTGCTCACGATGTGGTGTTGACACACAACACCACGCTATCGAACTCCGCCACCAGACCCCCTCATTCATCAAGATGATCATCAGCACGGCCCTGGCATTGAATCCCAATGTCAAGTGGGAGAAAACGAGAATCATTGCTTTGGGTTCCGAGCTCGTGCCTCCGAGCATTATTCAAAGTACAAGACAGGTCTTCCCGAACGCCGAGATCCTGTCCATTTATGCTTCCAGCGAGGTTGGTCGAGGTCCCAGCAAATCAGTCTGGTGGTTGAAGTTTTCCGGTACTAATTCACTACGGCATCAGTCGCTCGTCCTTGGTGCAATTTTGCTCTTTCGCCTTGCGTCAGACACAAGGGCAATTCCTGAGAAAGTTGTCTACGGGCTCATAAAGCCTGATGTGCGCTGTATCCTCTTTGACGAAGAGGGCAACATTGTCGACCAGAAGGTCTCCAAGAGCGGCGTGCTTGGCTTTGCCGTCGACAAGGACCATCCCATCAAGGATCACCCGAGCTTTGTCAGTGCAAATCCGAATGACAAGCTCGCCTCGTTCGGCTTCCTCGAGGATGGCTCGCCCCGTGTCTGCACCATGGACTGGGTCGAGATGGTTGGCGAGAAAGAGTTCACTGTGGTTGGAAGGTGAGGTCGATGGCCGGGTGTTGCATCTCATTGATGGCGAGTGCATATCTGACATCCTGAGGACACATCCAACTCCTGCATCCCGGATACTCACGCCATCCATTCCCTCACTCCACACCATCACTCCAGATTCGACCAGAAGATCAAGGTCAACGGTGTCTATGTCGACCTCAACGCCCTCGAGGAGCTGGCCAACGAAAACATGTCCAAGGTCATCTCGGACTGTGCCTTCATCCAGACCTCCGAGAAGAAGATCGTGATGCTCTTTGTCCGCAGAAGGGGCTCTCAGGTCAACCCCACTCCTGCCGAGCTTCTGCAGCTGACCGAGGACATGTTTGCGCTGACGAACGTCGCCAAGTTTCCGATCCACAACTGCTTCGAGCTCGACGAGTTCCCCTTCAACGACTCGGGCAAGCGCGACCTCAAGAAGCTCAGGCGCATCGCCGAGAATGTCGATCAGTTCGGCAAGTCGGTCGAGTACCCTCCCCTAAAACTCACCAATACTCCCCTGTCCCGCGCTGCCGCCAAGATATCTCAGATCGGCAGCCAGATCATCGACAACCCCGCCCTCGACGGCCGCAACTACTATATCGGCGGTGTCGGCTTTGACTCGCTGAGTGTCGTCCGTCTGGCCCTCTCCATCAAGGACGAGCTGGATGTCGAGATCTCGCCACTGATCTTGCTGTCGAACGGAATGACGCCGCTCGATGTCGCCCAGCTGGTTGTCGACATCCTCGACGACAAACCGATGATTCCCCCGACCGTCCATCTGGCTGCTGAGGCCGCCAAGCTCGACGATGCGAGTGTGACGGCCGAGGGTCTCCCTCCGTTTGTCTATCCCAAGGACCCTCGCGGCATCGTCCTGACCGGTGCCACTGGCTTCCTCGGTGCCTTCCTGGTCTTTGAGCTGGCCCACAAGTTCCCTCGGGCCAAGATCTACTGCCTGGTCCGAGCCAAGGACGAGCAGGAGGCTGTCGAGCGCATCATCAGCACGGCTCAGAAGCTGGTCCTCGATCCGAGCCAGAGAGCCTTCCTTGACCACAACCTCAAGTCTCGACTCGTTGGACTGTGCGGCAACCTGTCGAAGAACAAGTGGGGACTCTCGGACGAGCGATGGAAGGAGATCAGCGAGGAGACCGACATGATTGTCCACAACGGCGCCGAGGTCCACTGGCTGTTTGACTATGACAGACTCAGGGGACCCAACGTCCTCGGCACGACGACGGCCCTGAGACTGGCCACAACCCACCACCTGAAGCCGCTGCACTACATCTCGACCATCGGCACGATCCCGATGGCCAAGAAGGCAGACAAGCCGCTCGAGGAGAAGATCTACTCGGCCTGGAACATCTCTGGCGGCTATTCGCAGACCAAGTGGGTCTCTGAGCAGCTGGTCAACAAGGCACGATCCAGGGGAGTGCCGGTGACCATCATTCGCCCAGCTGGCATCGTCGGCGACAGCCAGTACGGAGGTGAGTCGAGTGTGGTGTGGTGTGATGTGGTGTGGTGTGATGGAGATGTCTCATTCGCTCCATGGACTGGCCATGAATCGATGGTCTCGATTGTCAAGTGCCACTCACCCACCAACTGACACCAACTGACACCTTCACACCTCCATTGCTCCAGTGTCCAACTCTGATGACTACATCTGGCGATATGTCAAGGGATGCATCCAACTTGGTGTTGCTCCGTCGTATGCCACTCCCGTCACCCTGACCATGGATCCCGTCGACCACGTCGCCAAGGTGGTTGCCGAGATTGCCGGCTCTGAGGAGTCCCTGTCCAAGTTTGTGTTCCACATCAGCGACTCGGAGCACAGGTGAGGACTGTGTGATGTGGTGTGAAGTGTGATGTGGTGTGGTGTGGTGTGGATGGTGGATTCCGACTCTGATTACTCACTCACTCACTCACTCACTCACTCACTCACTCACCGCAGTGTCCTCTCCGAGACCAAGCTGTTCGAGATCATCAAAGACCATGGATGGCCGATCCTGTTCGAGACCCGCGAGCAGTTCAAAGAGACATTCCACTCCCATCCCGCCGTCGAGAGCAACGCCCTGTTCCCGCTCATGCATGTGATGATGGACATGTCCTTCAAGATCGACAACGCCAACACCCGCTCGATCTACCCGACTCCCTGTCCCTCGCTGGGGGAGGTTGTCGAGAAGTGTCTCAAGTATCTGCACCACGTTCGCTTCTTGGGCGATCCCCTGGACCCGTCTTCGCCCTTCAAGATCAAGTATCCCGAGACCAGCGCGGTCACCCGCACCGGCCGCAACTGATGTCCGATGCGCCACGGCGATGGTGGGTTCGGGACTCTGAATGCCTCATAATCTTGATAATATCCCGTGTTTCGTGTCTCTTGTTCTATTTGGATCTATCGTCTCTACCTTTTCTTCCAGATGTGCCTTGTCTCCCGTTTCCTTTTCCTGTCCGTTGCTTTCTTTGGTGATCCCAGTGATGGATGGTTTGCTTCGACTGGCGTGTTAATCCGCTCCGCAACACGCTGTTCCATTGACTACCTCGTTGGCCATGTACCCTTGCACACATCCAAGCCAGGACTGAGTGAGAGTGTTGCAGAATACAAGTGGTTCCTTGGTCTCAGCGCTGTTGACCAGACCAACGAGATCCTGGGGATGAACCAACCGCACGACCAACACGGCCGGATATGCCATGCCATCGACGCGGAGGTCATGATGGATTGCCCTTGTTGCGTTCCTGGTCAATATCATTAGTTTACATGCTGTACCGCGTATGTATTGGAATATATCGCGTCGATTGAATGGGGACGCATACGGAAATCAGATCCTCTTTGGCGGCGAACATCATTCTTGATACTTGCCCAGGCGCTTCAGCTCGTGCTTTGCTTCCCACCACCCCTGGTCTGCTGACCTATGATACCACAAGACGGCGGTGTCGATGTCTTTGGCCACACCAAGACCATTCCTGAAGCAGTTTCCCAGCCGGACCTGTCCGTGTTGGTTGCCCTGCTCAGCCGATTTGCGATACCACTCGGCTGCCTTGGTTTCGTCCTTGGTGACTCCCCACCCGTTCCCGTAGCACGCACCAACCATCCACTGCCCGTACGAGTTGTCCTGGTCGGCTGCCTTGCTGAACCAGTAGAACGCCTTGGAGTAGCTTCTCGGAACTCCTCGGTAATAGAAATAGCAGCATCCGGTCCAAAACTGGCTATCGCTGTGACCCTCGTTGGCAAGCTGCTCAAAGATGCTCACCGCCGTGTCGCTTGTCCCTTCTTTGCCGTATTCGATTCCAAATTTGCAATTCAGACACAGGGCTGTGAGGTGCTTGCAGAGCCAGTCTCGCTCCGATCCAAGCTGACACAGCTTGAAGAGTTTGCGTGCAGCGGGTGAGTGGGAGCCAGGCGCATTATATCCGCCAAAGCATTTTCCATCGCCAAGGGAAAACTCTGGAGACTGGTTCTCTCGGATGATCAGGATGCCCCTCTGCTTGTCTTGCTGAGTTCCCCGGCCGAGGTAGAGCATCCAGCCAACCATATGGGTGGCGATGGGCTTGGTGATCCGATCGGTGGACTTGTCGCTGACCTCCTGCCAGTGGCTGAAGGCATCGGCATCGCTCTGCTCGACACCGTGGCCGATGAATGAGACCCAGCCGCGAAGGAATGTTGCTCCAAGGCGAGCACTTTTGTCGCCTTGACTGGCAGCTTTGGTGTACCACTCGATGGCGGTGGTGAGATCTTGCTTGACACCCTCCCCGTTCTCGTAACATTGGGCGAGACTGGCACTGGCCTGAGCGATTCCGCGGTTGGCACATTCATGGAGCAGCCCGATGGCTTTGGCGTGGTCTTGGTCGGCTCCGTGACCGGTGAGATAACACTTGGCCAGACTCAGGTGGACCATTGGATGGCCGGCCCCTGCAGCTTTTTCCAGAAGGCTCAGGATGCGGCCGTTTTGTGAAGATGGCGTGGAGCTCTCGGAAGCGGCGTCATCAGAGTCGCTGTCATCATAAGCGTCATCCGGTTCATCTTCACACTCTGCCCGCCTGTCGATCTTCAACAGCAGGAACCGAGCCAGGAAGAGCGAGGCGACGATGTCTGCTTGGTCGGTCAGGGCGGCAAGCCAAGAGTGGTCGTCGACGGCTTGATCGCCGAATCGGCGAGAGATGGCGATCATATCGCTCGGCAAGATCAAGTCGGGCAGCGGCTTGTCTGGGCGATACAGGCCATTTCCCCTGCACCAGCGGCGGAATCGAGTCTGCTTGGAGTTCAAGATCGGACCAGCCCGTCTGCAGATCCCAAACAGTGCACCGAGCTCGTTCAGCGTGAGCGACAGCGTGAAGCAATCATTGGAGAAGACGATCGTCAGGATGTCCGGGCCACAGCGGTGGTCAAAGGTGAGTCCCTGGGCCATGGCTTGCACGGCGGCAGATGGCAGTCGGAGGGGCAAATGAAGGATACCAGATGTGATGAGAGACGAGATGCCCCCCTTGGACAGAGCCATCGAGAACGAAAGTGTTGGGCTTGGACTGCGGATCCCTCGCGGACTGGTGCATGTGGCGACGATGCCGTGGGCCTGAGAAGCTTCCCTGGACACCCTCACGGTCGATGCCGTATCTGCACCAAGTGAAAACGCAAAGGCGAGGGCCATGTAGGACCCAGCAGATCCCTTGGACAGACGTGCGTAGGCGAAGAAGGCGCCTGGGATGCTCTAGTGGAGAATGGGTCGGTCCCAAGACGAAGCCGAAAGGGCCGGGCGGGTTGAATACTGACGGACATGCCGGGAGAGGTCGACAAGCTGCATAGCGAAGAACCCATCATGGAACAGGCCCTCGTCGACGAGTGAGCTGGTTTGGAACAGATGGTGCGTGACTCGATGTGGATTCTCGCTGGATGGAGACCAGACCTGGCGACTCGAGTACGATGTATGAGGCACTCGAGTATCTCGACAGAGAGAGCGAGGTGCCAGGGTCCCTGGGGTTTTGATGGCCAGTGTCTGGCCGTGAAGACGAACGCACAATTGAACAGGAGCCGGGCATTGGAAGCAGCAATCAGGCCACTGGTTCGGGAGCGCCGAGGCACTCAGCATCCGCATCAACAATTGTCAACAGCGGAGCCAGATGGACTGGCAAGGCTGGAGACCGATCAGGGCTTGACCAGCAGAACGAGACCAGAGCACGAGGAGGCGGTCGACTTGTGGGATGGCGTGCATATCTGCAGCCAGACTACAAACAAAGATATAAGAGTGTCGAACTTGCACATGTGTTCCCACCGAGTGAGCTGATCGCTGAACCAACGGTGGAACTGCAAGCAGCTTGCTGGGCGAGGCAACAGCACAGTATCGAGGGCAGCCGAGAGGAAGCAAGGGCACTCATTCAATGCAATTTGGCAAGCAGCCAGGCCAAGCCGCCGTCTGGCTGCCCAGACCGACAAAGGACGCCCCTCGCCCTTTCCCCTCGTCATTTTTGTCTCGGTTCGCCCTTTCGGCTCCCTCCTCGCTCTCCTGCCCCCATCTGGCTTTGGCATCAACACCTTCGTCGCCCTCACCCCGCCTCTCCGCCATGCTCAGGGCCATCTCCTGTTGTTTTGGAGGGTCTTCAGTCGACGGCCGAGATGTCTCCCAGCAGACCCCTATCTACCTCTACCAGCAGACCCACCCACCAGCAGCCCAACAGAGCCAGCCTCCTGTCTCCGAGCAGACCCAGGATGTCGTCGCCCAATCTGCTGACACTCAAACCCAGACCCCTGTTTCCCAGCAGCCAAAGTTCCCTCCTCCGCCCGATCCGTTTGGCCCTTGGCTCCATCCCGTCGAGTGTCTCATCAACACTGCTCGCGATGAACCCGATGCCCTTCTGATCAACACTTACGAGAACGGTGCCTCGGAGCGACTCAGCTATCTCCAGGTGTGGAAGCAAGCCTATTCCATCGCCCAGGCCCTCAAGGCTCTCCCTGGCTGGAACGACGACGGCCACGAGGTCATCGGCACCTTCTGTGAGGCCGAATCCAGCTGGGCGATCGACTCGCTCGCCGTGTGGATTCTTGGCAAGTGAGTATCTCTGGTCTGTTGCAGCGGTGTGATGTTGGGATGTGGAGTCGTGAGGATGGGCTCAGGCAAGGGACATGTTCAACCCTTGCTCCGTGCCATGTCAAGGGTCGAGTCTCACCTGTCCTTTGAACTCCATCCAGGAAAACACTCAACCTTGCTCTCAACCTGCCACCTGCAGCCCGCAGGGCCCTGTGCGAGAGGTTTGTGCTGGTTGCTATCGTGAGGATGAGCAGGCTGGTTCCTGCATCCTGGATTGAGCCAGCTTCTCTTCTGGGCTGGTCGACTGAGATCCTGACACTCACATCACCACCAACCGACAGACATGCGATCAAGTACATCCTCCACCATCGTACCAAGCCCGGCCGCACCGAAGGCGTGACATTGGTTGATGCCGCCACCTTCCCGGTGTTGGACAACATTCCACCTCCGTCTCTCAAAGTCTGTGAGCCTCTCGATGAGTTTGTAGCATATACTTGCACCTCCGGAACAACAGGTATGCGAGTGGATGTGGCTGCTGTCAAACTAAGCCCCAGCCACAAAGGTCGAGCATGGGCAGTCGAGCGCGGGATGGTGGCTGCGATAGTTACGGTAGATAGCGAATTACCTGTTAGAAATGTGTTTGACCTGTGTCTCAATCCTCGATGCTGCTCCTTGATCAACCCAAAAGGCATTCCGAAGACGTAAGTGACTCATGGCACTGCATCCATACTCCTCACTCAAATCGAATGAAGGATCTCACACTCAGCGGATTCTTTTGATTCTTCAGATACAAGTTCCCTCATACTGGCGCAATTACTGGCCGAGGTGCGCTGGGGCTCGAGTATGTGAGTTCCGGGCTGTGCCAGGTAAGACACACGGTTCTGAGCGACAGAGTTGAGCCATTCATGCATGAGAACTAACGCGGAATGGCAATCAGGCACCTTCGTTCGGTGTTACACTCTTTTTTTTGCTTTGCGCCCTGAATCTCAAAGGATCCGTTTGGTTTCCCGAGCCCACACCCAATACTGTGGACAAGGTTAAGGGCATCATCAGAATGCTGGATGATGGTGTGTGGCATTTGTATGTGGTAAGTAGTATGCATCAAAGGCAAGGTTCCTTCGTCCCAGTGCTGATGGATTGTCCTCTGATACAATCTTCACAGACGCCATCGTTCATGAAGATGATCATCAGTGTCGCTCAGACTCAGAATCCGAAAGTCAAGTGGAATGAGATGAGAAAGATCGGTTTGGGATCCGAGCTTGTGCCCGCAAACGTTGTTCAAATGACCAGAGATGTTTGTCCTAAGGCCGATATCCAGATCTTCTACGCATCCAGTGAGGTAAGAAGCCACAAATGGAGAATGCAGTCGACAATAGTAGGATGCACATGTGTCACATTCTCACACTTCTCCTTCCAATGCCAGTCTACCGTCATTGGGGCTGCCTCTCTTCTCAACTATCCGGCCAGCGTCACCATGATTCCAGACAAGCTGGTTTACAGACTCGTGAAGCCCGGTGTGCGCTGTATCCTCTTTGACGAAGAGGGCAACATTGTCGACCAGAAGGTCTCCAAGAGCGGCGTGCTTGGCTTTGCCGTCGACAAGGACCATCCCATCAAGGATCACCCGAGCTTTGTCAGTGCAAATCCGAATGACAAGCTCGCCTCGTTCGGCTTCCTCGAGGATGGCTCGCCCCGTGTCTGCACCATGGACTGGGTCGAGATGGTTGGCGAGAAAGAGTTCACTGTGGTTGGAAGGTGAGGTCGATGGCCGGGTGTTGCATCTCATTGATGGCGAGTGCATATCTGACATCCTGAGGACACATCCAACTCCTGCATCCCGGATACTCACGCCATCCATTCCCTCACTCCACACCATCACTCCAGATTCGACCAGAAGATCAAGGTCAACGGTGTCTATGTCGACCTCAACGCCCTCGAGGAGCTGGTCTACAAGCACATGCCTGATACCATCAAAGACTGCACCTTTGTCCAAACCATCGAGAAGCAGATCGTGATGCTCTACGTCGTTCGAAAGGGATCGGGCTTCAAAGTAACTCCCAGCGAGATGATCCGTCGCATCGAGGAACTATTTACCCTCGAGAACGTCGCCAAGTTCCCGATCCACAACGTCTTCGAGCTTTACCAGTTCCCCTTCAATGACTCGGGCAAGCGCGACCTCAAGAAGCTCAGGCGTTTCGCCGAGCATGCCAAGTACTTTGGCGAGTCGGTTATCTATCCAACCCTTGACATCGCCAACACTCCCCTGTCCCGCGCGGCCGCCAAGATCTCCACACTTGGCAGCCAGATCATCGACAACCCCGCCCTCGACGGCCGCAACTACTATATCGGCGGTGTCGGCTTTGACTCGCTGAGTGTCGGCCGTCTGGCCCTCGCCATCAAGGACGAGCTGGATGTCGAGATCTCGCCACTGATCTTGCTGTCGAACGGAATGACGCCGCTCGATGTCGCCCAGCTGGTTGTCGACATCCTCGACGACAAACCGATGATTCCCCCGACCGTCCATCTGGCTGCTGAGGCCGCCAAGCTCGACGATGCGAGTGTGACGGCCGAGGGTCTCCCTCCGTTTGTCTATCCCAAGGACCCTCGCGGCATCGTCCTGACCGGTGCCACTGGCTTCCTCGGTGCCTTCCTGGTCTTTGAGCTGGCCCACAAGTTCCCTCGGGCCAAGATCTACTGCCTGGTCCGAGCCAAGGACGAGCAGGAGGCTGTCGAGCGCATCATCAGCACGGCTCAGAAGCTGGTCCTCGATCCGAGCCAGAGAGCCTTCCTTGACCACAACCTCAAGTCTCGACTCGTTGGACTGTGCGGCAACCTGTCGAAGAACAAGTGGGGACTCTCGGACGAGCGATGGAAGGAGATCAGCGAGGAGACCGACATGATTGTCCACAACGGCGCCGAGGTCCACTGGCTGTTTGACTATGACAGACTCAGGGGACCCAACGTCCTCGGCACGACGACGGCCCTGAGACTGGCCACAACCCACCACCTGAAGCCGCTGCACTACATCTCGACCATCGGCACGATCCCGATGGCCAAGAAGGCAGACAAGCCGCTCGAGGAGAAGATCTACTCGGCCTGGAACATCTCTGGCGGCTATTCGCAGACCAAGTGGGTCTCTGAGCAGCTGGTCAACAAGGCACGATCCAGGGGAGTGCCGGTGACCATCATTCGCCCAGCTGGCATCGTCGGCGACAGCCAGTACGGAGGTGAGTCGAGTGTGGTGTGGTGTGATGTGGTGTGGTGTGATGGAGATGTCTCATTCGCTCCATGGACTGGCCATGAATCGATGGTCTCGATTGTCAAGTGCCACTCACCCACCAACTGACACCAACTGACACCTTCACACCTCCATTGCTCCAGTGTCCAACTCTGATGACTACATCTGGCGATATGTCAAGGGATGCATCCAACTTGGTGTTGCTCCGTCGTATGCCACTCCCGTCACCCTGACCATGGATCCCGTCGACCACGTCGCCAAGGTGGTTGCCGAGATTGCCGGCTCTGAGGAGTCCCTGTCCAAGTTTGTGTTCCACATCAGCGACTCGGAGCACAGGTGAGGACTGTGTGATGTGGTGTGAAGTGTGATGTGGTGTGGTGTGTTGTGGTGTGCGATAAGGTGTGGATGGTGGATCCCGACTCTAATTACTCACTCACTCACCACAGTGTCCTCTCCGAGACCAAGCTGTTCGAGATCGTCAACTCCTTTGGCTGGCCCGTCCTCTTTGAAACTCGTGAGAAGTTCAAGTACATCCTTTCCACCAACCCCTTGTTCGACCAAAATGCCCTGTCCCCGCTCATGCACATGATGATGGACATGTCCTTCAAGCTCGACAACGCCAACACCCGCTCGATCTACCCGACTCCCTGTCCCTCGACTGTGCTGATCGCCAAGAAGTGTCTCAGCTACTTGAACCACGCCCACTTCCTTCCCAACCCCATCCAGCCGTCGAGCGAGCTCAAGGACGACGAGTATCCCGAAGTCAGCATCTTCACCCGCACCGGCCGCAACTGATCAGCGGACGGTGATTCAGCAATAGATTGATCAGGTCGTTTCTTTCCTCTTGTGCTCCGTACGAGTCTCTTCTTTGATTTTCTTTCCTTCCCTTCCTTTTCATCTATAAACGGCGGATCACTCGATTGATCCGCTCCCTTCGCTTCCATGATGTTGGTCTTTGGTCAAGTCCTGTCTGAGTCTTCTGATGTGAACACGATTGATTTGCTGAGACTGACTGTGACAGGACAGCGAACTTCCCAGACCGCACTGGGATTGCCTTCTGCGACCCAGTGTAGTCATATCGACGATGGGACTCGATCCTCGGATGATGGTTGTCGCATCTGTGGTTCGGGCACACCTATCCATTCCAGTGTCTGTCATCTTCCCAGACGATTTGGTAAGTGATCGCCACAGGTCGTCACGGACGGCGCACAGACACGAGTGAGTGAACGATCAGGAGAGAAGCAAGGACACAATGCAGGCCGAGCGGGGAGAGCGACAGAGATGAGTGGGAGTGCCCGTTCTCATGTCTCTCCGAACCAGATCGCCTCATGATGGCCGATGGTATCTCGCTTGACCTCCGAATTCACCCGATCGCCGGGGTCACGGTGACTCAAACTCGGCCAGACTCCAAATAGGCTGGTTGAAGACAGGGATCTCTCTGTCACTGACCTTATCGCTCCTGTTGCTTGATCAAGGATTGATTCCTTTGTGGTCCATTGGCAGCCAGGGTATCCATAATTTGGCGACAGGATCCCGATCGACGAGGAATATTGGAGGGGATCAATACATCCAGCCGAGCATATGCGTGACAATGGATTTCAAGACGGGGTCGGTCGATTTGAGGCTGACCTCATCCCAGTAGTGAAGTGCATCAATATCCTTCTTCTGGACGCCAAGTCCGAGGAGGTGCATCCAGCCGAGGTAAAAGTTGGCCTCAACGCTCCTCGCCTCGGATACAGCCTGGAAGTATTTGGCTGCGTCTGTCCAGACTGAGTCGACCGTGGGGTTAGTGGTGGAGCGAACGCAAGTGATGGTCCAGCATAGCTCCACGTTCATCTCGCCCGAGAACATCTCGATGATTGAGGCTGCCGGAACCCAGATTGCACCAGAGCTTGGCAGAGCATGTGTGACTTGGGAAACAAGCTCAATTGCGGGCCTCGTTGCTCATGTCACGGGCAGCCCACTGAAGCAGCTCGGTCACTTGGTCCATGACGGCATTGTCAGCAGCTTTATCGCGAGCGACGATGCGAGCAACTTCGGCGCAGGCATCAAGATCTCCAGCGAGGGCTGCAATGTCCATGGTCTCGGTATGCCCGTCGATCGTCGCCACAGGAGACCGGCCGGGTGTATTCAAGACCATGCTTCCCAAACCAACAAAATCAAAACGATCGCCAACAAAGACCGGACACAATCGCACAGCTTCCTCCACCGAAGCCAGTGGAAGTTCAGCAGGCTTCAGGCCGCCGATGCCAGAGCATAATGGGCACTCCCCCGCTATTTCTGGAACAACTCTGTACAGGATATGTTTGGCGGCGAGCGCGCAGGTTGGCAACCGCAAAGAACCCGCTGGCGCGACGAGCATGTGTGTTTCGCAAACATACACTCGCAGGCGACGAGAGAGAGGTCCCATGGGCAACCTGATCGAGCAAATGAGGGCCATTGCGGTAGGAGTCGCAGGAGTCAGTCGCTCCCATATCCATCAACGTGTCTGTGTAGGCCTCTATCGCAAAAGGTGGCCAGGCAGCATCTCGCGGAGGTTGTCGTAAAACTGAATGACTCGTTGATCAGCCCATATACTCTTGCGGTCCAGGTGGCGGATGCACAGCCCCTCCAGACTCCGGACGCGGCTGAGGGCGACATAGACCTGGCCTGGGGCAAAGCTTCCTCCGAGCTCCATTTCGACGGCATCCAGCGACATGCCCTGGCTCTTGTGGACCGTCAGGGCCCATCCCAGCTTCAGCGGGATCTGGAGCCGCGAGACGCGCGTAAAGTCGCAGTCCATTTTCTGCTCAAAGGCGTGGTACCCAACGACAAACTCCATGTCGGCGCAGGTCTGGAAGCGCACCACGGGGAGCTCGAGGGTCTCGCCTGTCTCGAAATCGCGCATGGTTTCAAACCCGGTGATGACGCCGCGCGAGCCGTTGACCAGGCCCTTCCGGACGTTGAGGTTCTTGATGAGAATCACTTGCGCTCCCCGCTTGAGCCTGACGTGTTTGTCGACATACATTGAACTGAGGGTGCGTGCGATTTCTTCGAGCGGCGGCAGCGGCGGCAATTCTGAGCTGACCGGGGTCGGGGCAATGTCGGCCGACATGCTCAAGCTTCCATTGTCGCTGATCGCTATGGGCTCCTCGTTGACATCGGGAGGCATCCGCAGCAGCCGGTCGCGGGCGCTAAAGACATGCTCTGGCCCCTCAATCTTGTCGAGACAGGACTGGTTGTACTTGGATGCCTGGAAACGCATGCTGCAGATACGCGTGGGCTATGGAGACAGGCATGTCAGTGCTCGTAATCGGGCCGGCAAGAGCCGCGTGAGTTAGAAAAGTGTGCTTATTGGACGGCATAGGACGTAAGCAACCATATGTCTGCCACCATGTTGGATATTCGGCTGCACTGCGCTCGGACCGTAGCTTAGGCGATCAAACAGCCAATATGGCCAATCCGCATCAACGCATCAACGCATCAACGCATCAACGCATCAACGCATCAACGCATCAACGCATCAACGCATCAACGCATCAACGCATCAACGCATCAACGCATCAACGCATCAACGCATCAACGCATCAACGCATCAACGCATCAATGCATGCTCCGGCTGCGGTTGAAACCTGAAAGGAGCTGCGGATCAGCCCACCTGAATGTCTTCCACGGCCGTCAATGGCCTTGAGCACTGCGAGAGTAGCTTCCAGGTCTCGTCATCGCACGTTCCCATCCGCAGGCGATCCAAAGCCGCGACAAAGCTCATGTCGCTCTGGCGAAAGACTTGCGTCAGGTAGCGAACTTGCAGTCCGTCCTTTTGCCCCACCCGCATCAGTTTCCAAGCCGGCGAGTCAAACAAGTACGTGATAATGGGCTTGTCGGTCTTGGCAAAGGTGTTCTTGTTCATGAGCGTCCGCAGTTCGTCCAGCTTCCGATCGTCCTTGGCCGTCGCGAAAGGCTGGTTTATGGGCGGAAGCTGGAAAAAGTCGCCAGTGATGATGATCTGGAGCGAAGAGAAGGGCTTGTGGGAGTCGCTGCGCTGGCGTGAGCCGCGGCGCTTGTTGTGGAGCGTCGAGAAGACTTGCTGAAAGAGATTAAAGTACATGGGGTCGACCATAGACGACTCGTCCATGATCAAGATGTTGGTGTTGGCATATTTGTTCATGCGCCAGGGCGACTGCCGGATGTACTGGCTGATGACCTTGGGGTCATTGGGCATTCCCGGGCTGATGCTGGTGAAGGAGTGCAACGTCTGCCCACCGAGCTGGAGGATCGATGGCCACAAACGTGTTACTGTCGGATGATGCGAGTGGACACGGATGCGTATGTGCAAGCAATCTACGGGCGCAGACTATGCTGCAGATTCGGGTAGTGCTATGGATCCACAGAAACGACCAGCTCGTTGGTCGTTGGAGATCAGCACGGTGGTGTGGTGCACTGAAGGCGGCAGCCTTGCAATACCCACATGCGTTGCCGCGATCCCCGTAGGTGCCTGAGCAAGTCAGAGAGGACAGCGATACGAGTGCGGGTCAGCGAGACGCAGCTTAGTGGAGCCAGAGAATGGGCTGCAGACCCCGTCATGGATGTCGCATGACAGTCAGACACTCCAAAGTAAACAGGATCTCGAAGCTTGCTTGTGCGAGGGCCCAAGACCAGGGTCGGATCCGTCTACCACTTACCGTCACGGCGACCCGCAAACCGTTCTGCTGGGCATATTCGATGAACTTTTTGAGAACCAGGGTCTTTCCTGTCCCTGCTTTGCCTGTGAGCACGCGCATCGAAGGAGGAGGTGGTGGATGAAATAGAGTCAATCGAGCGGCAAATCTCGATCGCCCACCACCCTCTCCCAACGGCGATACAACTATCGCACCGCAGTCCAAAAGGGCGAGTCAAGGGGACTGGGTCCACTTTGTGTTGTGCGGACGCACCTGAGAAGTAGACGCTCTGTCCACTCTTCATAAGATCGAGCAGTTCTTGTTGATCATCCGAGAGCGCAACGTCCAGGATCTTGTTCGCATCCTTGAGGGCTTCAGGTTTTTGGGCGGAGACTTTGGTGAGCTGCGCAAATCTCTTGATCTGCCAAGGTCGAGGAAGGTGAAAGCGAGCAAGGGCGAGCTGATTGAGTCAAGCGGCGCTGTTGGTGTGGATCGCGATGTCCAGACGTCCGAGGCATCGGAGTAAAGGTATCACGGACTCGAAAGCATCGTCGAAGTGGCCGGGAGAGATACAGATATGGGTTCTGATGGCAGCGTACCTCCTGACTGAGATTCTTCAGATCTTGCGAGACAACTGACGACGCCGGCCTGGTTGAGGGCGTTGGTGATGCTGTCGGCACCGCTTGAGCAGGTGCGGGTGCGGGTGCGGGTGCGGGTGTGGGTGCAGGACTCAGGGGATAGAGGGGCCGGCCATCCGGCACGGTTGATGCATGCTTGGATGCCCCCGAGACCATCGGGCGATGTGATGCGAGCTTGGAGGTGGGGTTCCAGATGACGGCCTGCGTTCCGGACGTCGAGATGGCTCTGGGCCGGTGGCTCGACGATGGCGGCGGCAACCAGCGGAGCAGCTGGGTGCCTGCCCAGCCCAAGCTCCGGCCGTTTTTCATGTCAGTGAGTGGAGGGCAAGTGGCCGATTGAAGAGAGGCCGGGTGACCCGGATGCGATCGGTTGTAACAGCTGGCGAGGGCAAGAATCGGCGGCATGCGCTGGCAATTTCGACCCTTCACTGCCTGTGCTGCGCACGGGACATGCTCCTCTGGAGGGACAGCGCACCCAAACGGAAACAGTTTGGCTGGTCATGGCGGGTGTGGGTGTGCTCAAGACCTACACACAGCGAGTCCAACGAAACTGAGGCAACTCATTATGGCGACAAGGCAAGGGCATGTATCCAGTTGCCAGGAGGCCGCGCCACGCTCGACACTTTGGGCAGCTCGGGCACCTCGCAGGTGTGCACCGGACCACAGAAGCAAAGCCGAAATATGGGATGTAGCCCTGTTTTCTCTTTGGCGAGCTAAAAAATATACTGAGTTTATCAGAAAACAGAATAATGAGAGACACAAGCGATCAACAAGACTATGGGATATAGACACAGGGGGGATAATCAAGAGGAAGGAGGAGGGGGGATCAAGGACGAGGGGACTCATCTCCGCACAAAGTACGGACGGGCTCCTCAAGCCCACATGACGCTGGCAAAGCCAAGCATAATAATGGCAACAAGAGAACCGAGCCCAAAGGCAGGACGCACAGGAGCAGCCGAGGTTGTTTGGGTGGGAGAGGTCGAGGCAGTTGGCAAAGTTGCTGTTGTGGCGTTGACGCTGGGCGACGGAGCAGGCAGGTCGCCGACGAAGGGGTTCTGGAATTGCGAGAAGGCGCCAGAGAGCCAGCGGGCAGCAGGCTTGACGGTGCGAGTCAGGGTGCCGTTGGTGTAGTCGACGGCGATGCATCCGAAGCGCTGGTCGTAACTTCCCCTGCACAAGCAAAAATCGATCGATGGTTGTGGTGTCAGTATCTGGTCTGGTCTGGTCTGGTCTGGTTTGGTCTGGTCTGGTTTGGTCTGGTTTGGTCTGGTCTGGTTTGGTCTGGTCTGGTTTGGTCTGGTTTGGTCTCATCGAACACAGCTTAAGGATGGTTCGCGCAACAAGAGACGAGCACGCGGGAACTGGCAACGACCACGGAGAAGCAGCCGGCACTCACCATTCAAAGTTGTCGAGGAGGGCCCTGATACAGCAGGAGGTGGAGGTGCATGTGGGTTTAGAAAGAAGTACTGCGGTTTGGCGACGCGTGTCCCGACCCAGGCACTGCATGTCAACCAGGCAATATAGCCCACCATGCAAGGACAGCCTTGATAGGGGTGCCGTCGTTGATGGAGTTGATAATGTACGTGAAGTGGCTTTGCCAGAATTGGAGGCGGTACGGATCGTTCATGATCTGCTGGAGGGTCATCTCGCCTTCGTTGGGGCTGGCGTAGCCTGGCAGAGGGACCCAGCAATAGGGTCAGCGACCGAAGCGTTTCATGGAATATGCAGCAGCGACGAGTCGATTTCGCAGTCACGGTGCAGTTGTCGGCAACAAAGCACACACCAATCTCAGTGATGTAGATGTCCAGGTTGTAGCGGTCGTAGAGCCAGTTGGGGAACTTCTCGGCACCCGGAGGGTACACGAACTGCCATGGGACACCCGTGGGCTGAGGGGCAGCGATCGCCAAGAGCGAGGGACATGGTCAGAGGCGGAAACGCAAGTCCGATGATGTGCTGTCGACGAAGCAGCCGGGAATCGGGCCACCTACCAGGGACGGGGTATGCTGACCGTTGGCTCCTTCGATGGTAGAGCCATTGCCGCTGACAAACTCGACCGTATAGTAGTTCAAGCTGCAGGCGAGTGTCACGATTTAGTGCACGCAAACCAGCACAGGAAACACCTCCGACGCGAGTCTTCACCATAGCTGCAGGGTTGGTGTTGCCGTCACTGCGTACCCGATAAAGTCGATGGTGCCCTTTAGAATGGACTGCTCAGTGCTGTTGAAGGGCACCAAGCCGGCCATAGCAAACGGACCGCTCAGGATCTCGGAGGGGTACTGGATGCAATTGGGTGGAGATGTCAGTGGCACCGGGGCGAAACGCAAGGCAGGAGAGGGGGGTTAGAAGCAGCCAATCCCAGCGACACTCAGTGACAAGGCGAAGAGACACGAGCATATCGGCATCAAGCTCTGGATTACTCACGTTGCCGGTGATGCAGGGCTCCAGGACACTGCAAATGAAAATGGTTCAAGAGGCTGGTATCAGTGACTGTCCTCCAGCCGTGTGGCGACAACGAAGAAACTGCAGGTGGTCAAACCATGCCGCCTACCTTCCAACGTTCTGGATCAGCATCATCTGCTGGGCCGTAACATCTGTTGATGTCGCGAAGGCAGAGGAGGATGGTCAGCAATAGATGGGGATACCAGAGCGGAACTGATACAAGGGAATGCGCTGCCGCCCCTACCGTTTTCGCTGGTAGGATCGTTCGGCTCAACCCAGGGCATGATAGTAGGGATACTGAAGAGCCACTTGCGGTTGCCCATCTTCTGCCGGCCGAGATGGGTGATCTGGGCGTGGGCAAGCAGGGCATTCTTGACACACTGGAAGCGAGCACTCGTGCCACCGGTCAGGCCAGGGCCCCAGCGAGCTGCATTGTCAAGGCGAGGGGAGGGTGCAACAAGACGAATGTGGACATGTTAGCGTCGCAGCCAGCAACCAAGCGTACAGGTCCGTTCGTCGAGTCACTGTTCTCGTTGAGGTGCGGTCGATGGCGATCCGTACCTGTGGCGTATCCACCATCGCACATGCTGTCGATCTCGTTCTGAGTAAGCCAGTACTGGAGAACGGTGGTGGTGAGCATCATGCGGTGTGCATATCAGACGCACGGGGCAGCCAGCCAGATATGTCACATGCAGCAACAGGTCTCAGCGACGGCTTACTCGGACGCGGTCGCCAAAGTTGTCAAACAGAACCGAGGCGTAGTTGGTAAAGTCGGCGATGATCTGCGGGCTCAGGAAGCCGCCGTATCGGTCCTCACAAGCTGGATGCGGCAACGAGAAGCAGGGCATTGAGATGACGGCTGTGGGAGGGCGAGGAACAACATCGACGACAGCACAGAGCGGCAATGAGATGCACGACGGTCACACGTACCCTGGGGAATATCCCAGTGCAACATGGTGAGGAAGGGCTCGGCGCCGTTGGCGCGGATGGTATCGATCATATTGGAATAAAAGTTGATGCCGGCTTGGTTGACCTCGCCGGTGCAGTTGGGCAGGATTCTGCTCCAGGAGACAGAGAAGCGGTAGGCCGTGGCGTTGAGCTGCGACAGATAGGCCAGGTCGGACTGCATGCGGTGGTAGTGGTCGGCGGCGACATTGCCGTTAGGGGAGCTGGTGTTCTTTTGGAAGAACGCTGATGGACAGACCGTGCCGGCCAAGACGCACGATGGCAGAGTGTATCGACGAAGGGTCGTGGGGCGGTGCGTCGAACGTATGGCGCAAACAGGCGCAGGGATAAGGGGTGGTTGTGGTGGAGGAAAGAAAGACAGCAAAGGCGGCGTGAGCAAGCCGCGGGGGCTTTGGAGCCAGGAACCGGACCATACCAGACCGGCCTTATGTTACAGGCAAGGGGCTGGCTGCTGGGACATTCTGTGATTGAGACCGTGGCCACTGCGGGATACATACTATCTTGGACGCTGGGCAGTTTGCCGTCGACGTTCCAGGCACCCTCAATCTGATATGCGGCTGGACAAGGCAACCAAGATGCAGCAGGGGGGAGAAGGGAGGGTGAGCTGTTGGCGGTCCTCTCGACGAGACAACCGGACATGGGCCGACCAGTTGAATGCCAATGGTACTTTGCAGCAGGTCTTACATCCACCAAAGCCCCAGGCGAGCTGGATAGGAGCGCTACTGCTGTTCCCGGCAGAGACCGAGCCCGAGAGGGCGGCCAGGGCAAACAGTGACAGCGAAACAGGGCAGTGGGTCTTCATCGATGCCGATGCCGATGCACGCTGAGAAGGGAGGGGGAGGAGGAGGCGAGCTTGGCGAAGCGCTCTTGGCGGAACAGAGCATGCGATGGAATCGAAGGGCGATCGCAGCAGGCCTCGAGGGGGTTATATGGACGAAGGGCCTTGGGCAAGCACGAAATGGTGGCCGAGCAGGACGAGCGAAGGACAAGGACGCACGATGCGCCGGCGCACCGAACACAGCCGCGGGAGGGTGAAACGCGTTGCCGCGAAGGGGACGCGTGTTCGACTGCGCGCGTTCGACTGCACGGATGACAGTGTGTGAAGCACTGTGAGGGACTCTGTGAAGCACTGTGAGGACTCTGTGAAGGACTCTGTGAAGCACTCGGCAATGCAATCGTCTTGCTTTGGACATGTCCACAACACTCAACCTCCCCCCATTGCTCTCCTCCCCCACTTTCGGCTCGGCCGTTTGCACAGCCGCTCACGCCCTCCTTCGTTCTTGCGCTCGTCGCGTCGGGGTGGGCGCGGTCGTCGTTGCCCGTGAGACACTGTCGCGCAGCCCCAGCCCTGCGATTGGTCTCGCTGGCTGTGTGCGTCCAGGCATTGGGCGCTGTGCGACGACGCGGGAGCGTCCTCCCTGTCCGCCCCCCGCGCTTGTGTCGCAGACCGAGCATGGAAGGTCCTGTGCATCCGCTTGGAACAGACCCAAGAATCCTCCGGGTCGGCAGCGTGCTGCCCGGCGCGAGGTCCACGTTTCCAAGACACAGTGCAGATTGTTTCCTCTCCCAGGCACGCCCCTGATGGCCTTCGTCGCGCTGCTCCCAGCAGTCTCGAAGACCCAAGGCTTCGACGGCCCGCTGTCAAAGGGCGTCAAAGCGCATCACCGAACCACAGCCATCGCCCCTCACTGTCCAAGGGGGCGGCGCCGGGCTGGTGGATTGCTTTTGGGCGACCGTTGCCGCTCTGTGGTCTCGCGACATGAAACTGTCCTCCCACCCCCTCCTCATGCATCAACGCCGCATAACTTTGCTGTCCGCATTCATGACCCCCTTGACGGACGGAAGCGGCCGCGTGAGGTCGCTGCTCGATCCTGCCGCCTGCACCCCGGCCGCTTTCGGCTCCGATGCACCACGGAGCATGTCCAGGTCCGGTTGGTATCCGGCAGCATCTGGATCTGCCTGCACTTGCGAACATTGTCCGTCTGCATTGGCAAATATTGTCCGGCTGCGCTTCGCTCGGATCATATCCTTTTGATATACATTGCGAAGCGCGGGGATCGGGTCCGTCTGCGTTTGCCCAGGGACATCATCCCCCTCCGCCGCCGCTCCCACAGCGGCACCGACCAGATCGACAGAGTCCGCCCAGGCCCAGTTCGCACTAGGCGGCCGGTCGGCGGATGATGTCGCCGTCGATCTGCTCCAACCACGGCAAGATCAGGCGCACCTTGTTGCGGTAGGTGGCCCGGTTGTTCAGATGCAGCGGGTTTTGCTCAAAGTAGACGGTCGTGAGCTTCTTCTTGTCGGTCAGCTGCCGCTCAATCTCGTCGTATGATTCGAGCTGGTTGCCGGAGAGCTGCATTCGGGTGCGAGATACCGTCGGCGTATTGCCGCACCCGTCCGGGTGAGAAGCGTTCGTCCGAATGGTGGCAGGGCAGGTTCCCGTGTATGCCGGATCGTCATCGGGTCAGGGCAGTTCCGCCGCGAGATGCACCGCAGCCACGGAGCCCCAGTGTTTACGTAGAAGGGGGATATTGCCATTGACGATATTGAAGGGTTGGAGAGTTGGTGGCGATGAGCAAGGATGCCGCCATGGGAGAGGGGCGGGACGACAGCACAGATATTACATGTGGGTTAGCTGCTAACTGCATCCGCTGTCACGACCCATCCGACACTGCATTCGAGGTCCATGTCGACATGACAAAGCCCAACCAACTGGAACCATGACTCAATGCGACTCACACATCCAAAGCAACGCCGCAAGCCACAAGTTGAGCGGCGACGGGGTCGCCACACAGCCCCACGGCCTCGCAGCTGCCACCAGCCAGCCATCCGACTGGCCGACATGGGCAATTGCAAGCAGGATGGCAAACCATGGGGCGGCGGGTCTCGGTCTCCCAGCAACAGCGCCCACTGCCCGCTGCCCGCTCTTGCCCGATACATACCCAGACCTCTTCGAGTTCCATCAGCTTCTCCAGTCCCTCCAGCACCTTGACCGTGTTGCTTGACAGATCGAGGACTCGGAGACGTGTGTTATGCTCCAGGTTCTCAATCTTGGAGACGCCGTTGTGTCCGAGGTAGAGCTCCTCAAGATTGACGAGATGCTCCAGGTTTTCCAGCCTGACGATGCGATTGCTCTGCGTGCGCGGCATAAACCATCAGCACATCGGCACGGGCGCGTGGGATATTCTCGTCTCTGGATGATGGTCCCGTTCGCGCTTGCATATCTCATTCGACCGATCTGTCATCATGGTCCTGGGTTCCTTGAGATGGCCAGTCCATGCAGTGCATCTAGTTGGCGACCGAGCCAGGGGGCCTCACCTGCATGCTCAGGATTTTCAAGTTGGTCAGGGAATTGAGGTTCTGCGAAGCACGGGGTCGTTATCGAGACATGATTAAAGCCACGGACAGGGTGTTTCGAGAGGAGGCTGTCGCTGTCGCAGGTCTGCAACAAACCCGTCCTTAGCGGCTCTAGCAGCCATAGTGGCGCTAGGAGCTGCAGCAGATGTGCTATGACTGCGAACACCACTGCTCATTCGTTTCCACCCACCTCGAGTCGTCGAATCTTGTTCTTTCCGAGCCAAAGCTGTTCTATCGAGACCAGCGTGTCCAATCCCTCGATCACCTGCGATGCATGTTGGGTCCAAGCCGCTGTCAGTATTCACTCAAAGATATGACGAGCCCTCAAGCCGGCCCACCCGTTCAAGCGAGCGTAGGTATCCTGCTGCGCCTGGTATCGAAGGCCGAGAGCCCATCTTATGAGGACACCCTGGCGTGGTCGGCAAAACGTACACGAATGCGATTCGCTCCCAGTTCCAAGTTGGTGACGTTCGACAGTCCCACGAGATTCTCGATCTTGCTGATCTTGTTGGCGACAAAATAGAGGTCCGTCAGGGCCGTGAGCTTGTTGACGCCGTGGATGTGTCTGATCTTGTTGAACGACAGGTCCAGGGATCTGGTCGATGGCGTTTCGTCGGCCCATCAGGAGGCGAGAGGGAGTCACACCAGCGCCGATGCGGTTGCCCCCGTTGCGTTGTCGTGAGTGATCGTTTCGTTTCGTTTCGTCCGACCGTTATTAATGGGTGGCGGTCGTTACGAGTGGATCACGCATTACCGCAAGGGGTTACAATTAGCGAACGTTAGCAACACTGAGCAGCCCGCAGCCCGAAAGCCGCACCTGACCTCCATCATGACGGAGGCATCTCTTACACAAGGGTCTCCTTGAGATGTTCGAGTCCATCGACATCAACAATGCGGTTATCGTAGAGATCCAGTTCCTTCAGTCCGAGACCTTCCAAGCATTCGATCTTGAAGATGAGGTTCTGGCGCACAGAGAGCCGCTGGGATCGCGAGCATTGCATTGTGATGGGGGAACATCATCAGGACGGGATCCGTCGCTGAAGCACCGCCCGAGCCTCCCCGAACCACAGTATAGCACGCGGCCGCCATCGGCCACCAAGGCAATCCTGCGGGCTTCGTCTGCCGTGCTCCCTTACCTCCAGAAGCTTGAACCGCTCGAGGCCGAGTCCCACAAAGGTCACCAAGCGCTCGTGGCTCAGGTCTAGATCGGTGATGTCGTCGGCGATATCGTCCAGGAATCCCTCTAAGGACATGACGAGGCAGAGCAAGCAGACATTTCAGCCTCGCATTGGCGGAAGGTGCACCGCATAGGGCCAGCCATATCGGAGCTCGTCCTCTCAGACGCTCAAAAACATTCGACCCTCAGAGCAGCCCTGGTGCTCTCCATGTTCATTCACCGGGCAGGCTTTAGCTCGTCACGCTCATCAGCCATTGCCCGTTTCTCCCGATATGCTAGCTACGTCGCTGGACACAGCGGAAGCGACGCACGAGCCCCAGCAGGACAGATCAGAGGCTTTGAGGCCCAAGGGACATGCCATACCATTGGAGGTTCGCCCAACGACCTGCTCGGACTGGTCGTCCTCGTCGCCCGAGTGTTGGTGCTCATGGTGCTCGTTGGCGTCCTCCATCGCGGCTGCTCCGTGCAGGTGGTGGTTGATGGTTGTCGTTTGGGGGGCGTTGATGTTGGTGTTGGTGTTGGTGTCGGTGTCGGTGTCGGTGTCGGTGTCGGTGTTGGACGGGGGCCACAGGCATGGCTGCGGGGAGGCGGCTGCGCACGGGGCATCTCGCCTGCTCTCGCTTGCTCTCGTTCGCACTCGTTCGCACTCTGTCGCACACGGTCGCACACGGTACAGCCGCCAAGCGATTGTCCTGGCTGTCTCGCATCCAGGTCTGTTTCTCCATCCATCCCTCCATCCATCCAACCCTCCATCCATCCAACCATCCAGTCCATCGTCCAGTCCATCGTCCAGTTCTTCATCTAGTCCCCTACATCAAAGTCCTCCACCCATCTGACCAGAGCACATCAGAGCATATCAGCATGACCTTGGTGTTCACCTCCGTCATTGTCGCCATCGACTCGCTCGAGTCCATCCCCGTCGAGAGCCGATCGTACCAGGTCAAAGCAGCCCTCGCGCTCCTGGGCCTCTACCGTGAAGAGCTTCAGTCGAGCGACCAGTGGGCCGACCCGTCTTCGCCGTCGTCGTCGCTGTCGGAAAAGACCACCGCCCGGGTTCTGTTCCAGGTCGACGAGACCCCCAGTGCCACCCTGACAGCCAAATACGTCCCAAACAACCCATCCCCTCTCCGGCTCTCGGCCTTGCCCGGTGTCAACCGAGCGCCGACTGTCGCCTCAGGCTTTGGCCAGCGAGCCGGACCCATGCCCGAGCGGGAGATCCCCAAGGAGGATCTCGAGGAAGCCTACCTCCGCTCTGGACTCAAGAAGCACTTGGCAGGCCTCCCCAAGCGAGTTCCTACCACGATCGAAGGTCTCGGAACAGCGCCGCCGTCGATCTTCAGCAACCTCGAGGCCGAGATCGAGTCCATGACCATCTTCAACAAGTACCTTCCGCCATCCGACTCTGAGATCCGAATCATGCCTCTCTCCCCTGAGACGAGTCACGGCACCGTCGCGATGCCGCTCAACGACGGTGAGTACGACGAACTGGAAGACATTACGACTCCCGAGCTCAAGCCCGAGCCCGAGCCTGGCCTTGAACCTGGCCTTGAGCTCGAAACCGCCCCTGTCGAGTCCGGTCTCAGCAGCCGGCGCTCCTCCAGCGGAATCAACCGCCGCTCAGTCTCTTCCCGAAACTCGTCCGTGGGTAGCCTCATTTCCAAAAAGACCATGTACCGAGCAATGCACCACATTCGCTCCCAGCCCGCCGACGACCCAGAGAACGACGACGACACCAGCGGCCGCGCGCTCTTCCAGAACTTTGATGCCGATGGCAAGGGCAGCATCTCAGCGGATGACTTTCGCAAGCTGGTGTATTCCATGGGATACTACCTGAGCGACGCAGAGCTGCAGATTGCCATGGCCCAGCTGGACGCCGACGGCGACCATGTCATCTCCCTCGACGAGTTCCTGACCTGGTGGCGCAAGGACGACCGATTCAAGCGCCTGCAGATGACCATGAACCAGGCTGAGGCTGTCCAGAGCGCCACAGGATTCTTCCAGGTATGCATTTGCTCTCCGGCATCTCTGAAATCCAGCGGCAGATGTCCATACGCCCGTCCTGCGTGGATGCTTGTCCGCGGTATATTTGCTTTGCGTGAGTGCCATCGGTCATCTTGATGGGATCCCTCGATCCGACTGGCTCATGCAGCCGACCCACACGATTGGCTCATCCCGCCTAACACATCTTTTGTTGATACAGTACTTTGATGTCGAAAACAAGGGCTATGTCGATCACGATCAATTCCGTCGCATGTACGAGTACATGCACTCCCAGCGCAACTACTTCCCGCCAGAGATGACTTTCCAGGAGGCCTATCTGACCCTCAAGTCCGACGGCGTCGGATACGTTTCCTTCAACGACTATATCGCCTGGCTGATCAAGATCGGCTCCATCCCCACGTAAATGCCGCTTGCATTCCTGTTCAAAAGTCGCCGCAGCGTCACATTACTTGGCGAAGCGTATTTGCGCCACCTCCTACCATTTCTGCCTCGGTTCTTTGCCTATTGGCTATGAACTACGCTTGTGTTTGTTGAATCTATCGGGCCACTTTGTCGTCTCAGCGCAGTCCCATCCTTGTGTTATTGCTGTCCAGAGTTCCGCTGAGAGGGCTGATCCAAGGGTGAGACGGCATATTTGATGTGTTCTTGACTTGGCACAGGACGGCATGTCGTGTCTCTCCTGTCTGTTACTCGGCACCGTGGTGCTTGCCATTGTGGTGATCCACGCATGTCTAAATCCAAAGGAATATATTGTATTCATGGCTCCTTTCGATCGATAGGATCATGTATGTGTGGTGCAGTGTGATGTCGTGCAGCCAGAGAAGAGGCAAGTGCACCCTCGAACTACTTTGTGCGTACAATGCCGAGTGAAGCGCGGTCTACGGACATGGTGTCATCCGATGGTGCTCGCCCGCAGTTCGTCCTTATCGTCGACGGACATGGGGGGGGGGAGGCTTCCAAAGGGTGAATAATCAGCCTAAAGCCTTGGAGGAGGGGCGCGGTTGACGCCAAGCTCCAGCAGCCTGGCAAAGGCAGCCGAAAAGTCTCTGAAGAAGGCCTCCTTATCCTGGGCATAGAGCTGAGACGGCACAGAGGTTGGCAGCAGTTAGTGTCATTCTTGAGGCATAGCGACTCTGTCGGTGGCTTTACACCGAAAACTGTACATGCGCCACTGCATAGACTGCCATACCTCGACGTATTTCTTGAACTCGGGGTCCCACAGCAGGGCCATGTCGGTGGGAAGCATCATCAGTTCATCGTGGGGATCTTGGTATTGCTCCGGACCATCCCACTGCTTCTTGGTCCACTTGACGTTTTTGAGAAGCACAAAGTACTGGTTGGAGAAGCGAGTGGGGTTGAAAGTCCAGGCTGGAGCAAAGAGACACGGCCAGATGGGTCAGTCACACCGAGGCGGAATATATCGGAGGCTCTAGTATCTCCAAAACACGCACTGGCGCACACTCGGGCAAAAAGTTACTCACGTCCTTTGTATCCGCTGCGATCGGTGTGGCACCGGCCCAGAGCATGCGCACCGCTGAGGGCCACAATCTCCTGATCGTTGAAGCCCATCCTGTTGAAAACATCGCGGATGTGCTGCGAGCCCTGAGAGGCGTCGGGCAGGCGTCCATTGGGAGGGATCTCGGTCTTGGTTACGCTTCGCTCGTTCTTATCAAGGCGTCCTGATGCCAAGAGAACCACATCGCCGCACAATCCATGGAGACAGGAGTCAGCAGCGGCATCGCTGAGATGACATACCATAAACTAATTCAGCCTCTTTGCCCCGCCCCATGCCATTTACTCTACTTCATCCCCTCACTTCCAGGGCCTCAGCACAAGCAGCAGTCCCTGCGTGTGCTCGGTTTGGTCAGGGGTGCGAGGTAGCATCGAATCGACTGGGCTTGACTCACCAGGCTTCCATGGAATCTTGGGGCCACCCATGACTTCGATGGCAGTGACGCCAGCCAGAGTCCAGAGGTCAGCTGTTGAGATCCAAGGGAACTGCTCCTTGACGGACTCCAGGAAGGCACTGTCGATGTGGCGCGTCAGTCTCAGGAGTGAGTCTGATGCACGAGCGTGCGGCATTGAGCGATTCCTATGCGCGAGCCGTCTCAAATCGCACTCACCGTGCGTGTTCCAGACCAGCGTTGGCCGGGTCTGTCGCTTCGGGCTTGAACCGCATCGTTGCTCCGTTGGAGCCGCCCGTGCGCGAATGCTTGTCGTAAGTGCCAGAGGCATGCCAGGCAAGTCGAACGAGCACAGGGCCAATCGAGCCGTCGTCCCACTCGGGTCGCTTGGTAGCAATAAACTTGCGCAGAGTCTCCGCGACAGCCTCGTAGTCTTGTGACATTTTGCGGGAGTAGACCTGGACGTCTCTTGAGTCGGATAACGCCAAGGGCTCTGTGTGGAGACGGGCGAGACGAAGCGTTGGCGTGGGAATGTCAGTATCTGGAGCGATGGGCATCAGCGGAACTGCGCTGCGAGCCATGCGGCCCCAACCAGACTCACCGAGTAGCAATAGCGACGAAGAGAGCGTGAAACGCAGTCGATCGAGAAAGCGCACGATGGAGCCGGTCTCTCCCCCCCCCGCAGGTCGCATATTTTATATAACATCGACGCTGCCTCGTGTCAGAACAGGCACGTGAAGAGCCGGATCAGCGCAGCCACGTGAAGAGCCAGAAGCACACGTGACGAGCAAACCTGATTCACGTGACTATATGTATGTTGCCGCCTATGCCCATGAATCCCATGTGGGCTGAGCCGGTGATGGCCGGATGTGTCTGTGCTGTGGTCGTTCTGGATGCGGATGTGGATGTGGATGTGGATGTGGATGTGGATGTGGATGTGGATGTGGATGTGGATGTGGATGTGGATGTGGATGTGGATGTGGATGTGGATGTGGATGCGGATATGGAACGAAAGAGAACCGCGCACTGCCGAGCATGCTGCCCAGTCTTGTGCAAATTTAGTCTTCTGCGAATTCGCACGAAGCGAGTCGACCGATCTTGTCGCGCAGGTTGAGCCGAGTGTCCGTACTGAGAGCCACGACTCGGTCACCATGCATCTTACAACCCTGCCCCATTTGCGTTGCATTTCCACTCGATTCCCGTCGGCAAGCCAGTCGCCGTCCACTTCATCACTCCCGCGCCGACTTCCCGTGATCCACCTGGCTGCGCACATCCGGCTTTTGGCCCGGCTGCCAGCCCCATCAAGTTCCCCCGCTGCCTCGGCTTGTTCGCAACCTGCATTTGCCCGCACAATCGCCTCCGTCAGCAATCGCAGCCAAAATGTCCAGCACTGCCGGAAAAGTCATTACCTGCCGGGCTGCCATTGCCTGGGCGCCCAAGCAGCCTCTCTGTAACTATCTCGCTGGGCGGCTCGGTGTTTCGCACTCGACGATTGGTTGCTCCCGCGGCTGCTTGCACCATCGCCGGCCGCTGATCGTCGCTGCTATTTCCGCCCGTGCCTCGTGCGTCTTGCGTGGTGCTGTGGACACACCTTTCTCTGTTTCCAGCCGTCGAAGAGGTCCAAGTTGCCCCGCCCAAGGTGCGTGTCGTCTTGGTTCAAGACTGCTGCTCTGCCCCGACCAGATCATGCCGTGATCCTTCGCGTGGCCAGATTTGATTCTGACGATCCAATCCTGCTTCTCGCATCTGTCTTCTTGCGTTGGCATCGCTGCTGGACCTATCTGGCCGCACGGGCCTATCATCCAGAAAGGCGAGGTCCGCATCAAGATCCTTGCCACCGGTGTCTGCCACACCGATGCATACACCCTTTCGGGCCAAGACTCCGAGGGCGTCTTTCCTTCGATCCTCGGCCACGAGGGCGGTGGCATCGTCGAGTCTGTCGGCGAGGGCGTGACTGATCTGGCCCCTGGCGACCACGTCGTCCCGCTCTATATCCCCGAGGTGGGTGTGTGATGCGAGGTCGCATTCTCAGCGCATGGATTGTTGGCGGCTGGGGCGATCAGCAACAGAGCGTGGGGCTCAGGACAGCAAGACTCGCCGCACCGCAATCGCACTCACCTAGGGGTTCTCCCCAGTGCCGTGAGTGCAAGTTCTGCAAGTCCAACAAGACCAACCTGTGCTCCGTCGTTCGCAGCACCCAGGTGAGTCAAGCGAAGCCAGGCCAAGCCGCCCAGAGCGATTCGATGACGATGTCTCCGGATTGCGTAGCAGAGTGATCACCGACTCATGCAGTTTGCCGCTATCCTGGATCTGCACAGGGCCGCGGCGTTATGCCCGATGAAACCACCCGCTTTACCGCCCGTGGTCAGCAGGTAGAGTTGAGCGCTGCTGCTGTTGCATGGCCCGGCGTTGCGCCCGCGGCTCGATGCTGATCAGAGATTGTCTGGCCCAGATCTACCACTACATGGGAACATCGACCTTCAGCGAGTACACTGTCGTGTTGGCCATCTCGGTCGCCAAAGTGTCGCCTTCTGCTCCGCTCGATCGCATCTGCCTCTTGGGCTGTGGCGTCACTACTGGATACGGCGCCGTCCTGAACACTGCCAAGGTCGAAAAGGGCGCCATCGTCGCTGTCTTTGGTCTTGGCGGCGTCGGTCTCTCGGCTATCCAAGGCGCCCGCGCTGCTGGTGCGAGGTAAGACTCGATACAGGCCGACAAAGCCGAGACTGTGATGATCCGGCAGCCCACTTCCGAAACGGTGGCGAGCGGTACAGCGCTGTACTGTCCAGCTACTGGGATCTTACTGGGATCTTACTGGGATCTTACTGGGATCTTACTGGGATCTTACTGGGATCTACTCAGCCATCTGACCGCCTGCCTTTGCTGTCTCCAGCCGCGTTATCGCTGTTGACACCAATCCAATGAAGTTTGAGCTGGGTATGATTAGCTGGGCGGGATGTTCTGTTGGCCGGGCGCAAACGTGGAGTGACGGTGCAGCATGCTCCGCGCTCATCTATCGACCAGCCAAACAAGTCCAGCTGCTGTCCAGACCTGTTAAGCAATCCGTTGGCAGATTGGGATGGGATCACATCCGATCGGTTAGCTGGACTCGTGAGTCGGGATGGCAATTGTGCAGATCGCCTACTCATATCCCTAATAACCTTCACCATCCCCAAGCCAAGAAACTCGGCGCCACCGAGTTCATCAACCCCAAAGACATCTCGGTCCCCATCCAGCAGCACATTGTCGAGATCACGGACGGCGGTGTCGACTATTCGTTCGAGTGCATTGGCAACGTCGATGTCATGCGCGCCGCTCTGGAGTGCTGCCATAAGGGCTGGGGACAGAGCATCATCATCGGCGTAGCTGGAGCCGGACAGGAAATCAAGACCCGCCCGTTCCAGCTCGTGACTGGTAAGCTCGGCAGTACAGTCGGTGGAAAGACGATGCAACACATGATTTCCCAGAAGTCGCTGTATGCTCTGCTGCTAGTCCCTTTGGATCTGCCCGGTAGAAACTTGGCCTGCGACAATTGCAATATTGGTGTCAGTTGTGTCCACGCTGACGTTGTGTTGGCGATGTGGTTTCGTCTTTCACCTCTCTATCAGGCCGTGTATGGAAGGGCAGCGCCTTCGGTGGCGTCAAAGGCCGCACCGAGTTGCCTGGCCTCGTTGAAAAATATATGACCCACCAGCTCGACATCGATAGCTGTAAGTCGAAACGGATCCAGCTCCGCTCTTGTCGCAGGATGGCTGTGCTGACTAGATGCAGCCAGAGTCATCTCATTGCCAGCATGGTGAACATAACCCACGCTGCTTTTGCTTTAGATGTCACCCACAACTACAAGCTTGAGGACATCAACAAGGCCTTTGACGTCATGCACGCCGGAGAGAGGTGAGTTGATCGGAGGGGCACGATACTGCAGACCCAGACAGTGCAATCAATGTCGCCAACTGATGCCACTCCCTCCCTACCCAGCATTCGTTCAATTGTGCATTTTTAAGACCAATCCAAGCTCTGTTGGTGGGGTCCAAGTGTAACGCCGACGGATTGTCGGCTGCTCCCGCCCCGAATTGAATGAATAAACTCCCAGCTTGCGCGACACAAAGCGGCAAGCTCATGGCGGTCCACGACGTCGATTGCTCGGCAATGGCGACTCGGGTGGATGCTGGAGAGCTGAGGATTGTCTGTTCGTGGAGGGCTGTAGAATGGAGTGTTTATTGAGACACTCCCTAGATTACACTCGCGTACTACACATACATGTGCACGAGCCAACTCATGTCGCGGAATAGGAGGACTTGCGCCGTCGAGTCTGCCGATCTCAGACGGCCGACTGCCGGCGCCTGTACCCCTGTGCAGGCTCTGGTGAGATCGAGTACCGATCTTCATCCTCGTCGTCGTCGTCGTCATCGTCGTCATCATCGTCGTCGTCCTCGTACTCTTCGTCCGAAAACAGATCGTGGTCGTCCTGCATCCCAGGCTCCTCGTGCACCGCGCCGATACCCGGCGGCTGGAGACTCAATCGCCGGGCGCCGCCTTCGTCCTGGGCTTCGGGCTGCACGGACGATATCGAGGCGCTTCGTATCGACGCCTCTACTAGCTTCTTGGACTCTTCTTCCATGCGCACGCGCTCCATACGCTCCTGGTAGATGCGGTTGATCCGCTGCCGCATGTCCTCAAACTCTTGCAGAATGATCAAAAAGTCGCTTCGTACGAGCTGATACATGACCGAAGATGTGACAGCGACGACAGTTGCCGTGCGAGGGATCTGGGCGATCAGCGCCACCTCTAAAACGCATTGTTGGATCGGAGGCAGCGCGGACCATCGTCAGTGGTTGCGGTCATGTGGATCCGACATCATCTCGTTGTCTTCTCTCTGTCCCATCGATTTGCGTCAGCTGCTCCATACCTCCAAAGAAGCTACCGTCGCCGAGGTTGGCGACAGGATTTCCATTCACAATGATCTGAACCTTGCCGGTGTGGATGAAGAACATGTCTGTTCCCGTCTGTCGATCAGATCGGTTGTTGCGTGAGTCAGGCGAGCTCGCTCCCCAAGCGACTCGGCACCGATCATACCAACATCGAAGGCGACAAGTAATAGTGTCCGACCGCTATCCAACATGAGCCTGAACCCTCCACATGAGCAAAAGATGGTGCGGGAAAGCATCTCTGAGCGATTTCTTACCTGTCCTTGCGAGAATATAACATCGCCAGCGACAAAGTAGCAGGCCCGTAGGGCTGTGGCAATGCGGCCCAGGAATTGCTCGTCGCGGCCATCGCTTTGCTCTCTTCTTAGGAAAGGCACCTTGGAGATGAGCTCTCGACAGTTCTGGATCGAAATCTCCTGTCGCAGTGACTCGTTCATCTCGGCCAGCAATGTTGCCTTGATCATCGCGATGGCATTGTCAACAAGGCTGTCACGATACGATGCGCTGCCTCCTCTCCATCACTCCCCTTCCCTTTGCATCTGTCGTACCTCTTCAAAGAACTTGCCGCGGTACTTGATTTCGTAGTAGTGCCGCACTTTTCGGCGAATGTCATCGGAGAGGTTCTTGTATCGCATGTACTCGTTGACTTCGTCCATCTTTTGTTTGTAGAGTCGACCGGAGGCATCCAGTCCAAAACTGAAAGACGAAATAGTGCCGACAATCGTTGCATACTAAATCGATTCAAAATCCCAGGGAAGCGCACAGCACGCAGGTGCCAGTACCACAGTGCAACACGGTGTTAGGTTGCTGTACATTCCTCGGCTGATCGGATTCACGCGCCGATGCAGGTATCATTGTTCATCGACGATGAGTGCCATGCCCTGTTTCACAGTGGGTCTCGCGGTCAACTCACAATGAGTGTGCCCGTGATAACGAACGCAACCGTCATCCATTGTTCCAGAGAGTCTGTGGGGCTGGAATGACAAACCAGGTAGTCAGTAACAGAGGACTGTGGCCAGTTATGTCGATACGGGGCATCCAAAGTTTGATGGCAGAGGATCATTTAAAGGCAATGCCGACACAGTGATTTGTGTGCCAGGGAATGGGCGATATAGAACTGTTGCCATTATTGAGTCGCCACTCGACTATTATTGGGCTCGCAGATGTGCGCTATCCCAGTCGTTTAGCACAACACATCCTCGCTCCACGGCGTACTCACATGAAGGCTAAACAGAACGTGTTGCCGATTGCCGTGAACAGTGCCCAGGAATATTGGCCAAAGGGGCTGAGGTACTGGACTTGGCCGTGATTGACTTGCCATCCTGCAAAATTGGTCAACTTGCCGAGGAGCAAAAGCAGGCACGACTCGATGTGCAGATAGGCCACCATGATCCCGCCGAGCATAAAGATGGTCATGAACGATTCGCCGACTCCAAGGAAGGTTTCGACCTCCCTTCGGATAAACGAGAGCACTGGCGACTGCCTCACGAGCTTGGGAAGCCTCTTGAGCTTGAGCAGACGAAGAAACAGAAATAGCTCCGAGAACGGAATGGGGATCAGGTCGAGCGGCAGGCAAGTGATCAGGTCGATCAAGAACGGACCGCGCAGGTATCTGGACTGGTGTTGCTGAAGCGTCAGGCTATTTGTTACCGAGCGGCCGACTTGCTCGTAGTGGCTCACAATCTCAATGTCCCGAGTCATGAGGTTGACAAGGAGGTCAATCGAGAACGCAATGGAGACGCCGATGGTACATGCCCAGTGAAGGTAGTTGAGCTTGATGATGGAGCAGATAATGGGGATCGCTAGCAGTAGGAAAATGAGAATCACTGGTACCAGAAGGTGAGTCAGTCTTATGGCCCTGTTCTTGGCAAAGGTACCAATCGGTGCGGCCGCCGCAGTGGTCGAGTGCAAATCGGGAGCGAGTCTGGGGTCTCTGTCAGCAAAGCAGAGTTCGTACCTATCATAAATATCCGCCACTGAACGACAAATAGTGACCGCGGATGCAAGCCAGCGAATCTGCGGATTCGCTCGGATGATCCAGACTCTGGATCGCGCTTGATGCTTCCGCTCTGCATGATTTTGCCGGACTTTTGCGAGGCAGTTCGGGACAAATCCGCAGGCACCCGGGGCAGCGAAGGTCTGCGCACAGTAGCAACGACGGCTAAAGGTACTGCCAGCGACGGGCGCCTGCCGTCAGTAGAGGTGTTTGACATGCCAGCCGAGAGGATACGCTCTCCCGTGGTTGCCGTCGAGGGAATCTGGTGAATGGCCGTGTTGGCGCTTGGAGGGACGATTTCGTACGCGGGTGGAGGGGCTATCGATATTGGCGGAGAGCTGACTGTGTTGGGAGATTTGAATCGAGGCTGGATCTCATTCTGAGTTCCGGTGATGGAAAGCCGTTGGGGGTGCGATGAGGACGCCGATGCTGCCGGTGATTGTGGCCGGTGGGACTCATCGCCGGTGAGGAATCGCTTCAGTGTGCCCATCGATATGGAAGCCATGTCCTCCATGATGGTATGACCCCGCCTGATTTCCTTCAGAGACTCCTCGGCATAGCGCTGGTCGAAGCGCTTGATGGTGGCGCTGATGGGATCGTCGAATCCTGCTTCCAGAAAGAGGGAGCGTGATACCGACTTATTGTTGCGGTTTATGGAATCGACGGTGTGTGATGAGACACTTGGACTGGCGGCGGCACAGTATCCCAGACCATCCAGCGACTCGTTGTAGTGTTCCTCGGGCTTGATGATAGACTCTGTCATGACTTCGCTTCGGCGGCTCGTCACCTTTGGAGAGGACGGCTTCATCTCGGTGATGAAGCTCCGGTTGGGCAAGTCGCGCAAGGTACCGCTCCCACGGAAGGGGGCCTTGCCTTTCTTTTCGCCAACACCGCCTGGGTGTCGACATTTGAGGCGGAGCAGTGAATGAGAGATGGAAGAGGCGATCCAGAGAAGATGTGAGCATTCGCGCCTGGGCAGCACTGCCATCGACTTGAGCAAGTTTTATCAGTGCCGGTCGCTCAGTCAGTTCAGCGACTCGTGCCCTTTCGGAGCCCCACGTCGCTCTCCCACTCCAACACGGGCTCGCTGCGTCCCTCCTTTTGTAACCCGGCCAGGCCAAAAAAAAATACACACCAGTTATCGGAAGAGACGCAGTGCTGGCGACCGACCGCAGAACGAGCTCCCGCTTCCACCTACTCTGCGGCGACGGTCCTTCCGGCGCCGCAACTGTATCCGGCTTTTCATCGACAGAGAGCGACTGAATAACCTGGCTGACGGACTCTTCGAGCCGACTCAGATCCGACCGAATTCGCCTCAGCTCGGCGAGGACGTGCGATGTGTCGCCCTTCATGGCAACGCGAGTTTGAGCGTGCAGAGTGTTCTTGAGTTTGGAGTGGGTGACGGTTCGCGAATGGGTTTCTCGGCGCAAGGTCTGGATTCGAGGCGCCCGGCCAGCAGATGTATGCCGCAATAATTGTCTTTGGTCGAGCTCGGGGCAGCTCTCGCTGGCGGGATCGATAAACTGCGAGCTTCGTTTGACTTGCTTCAGGAACTTCTGCAGTGATGATGGCGGCTTCCAGCTGAGGGGACCTGTGCTTATCCCCGGCCGGTCACTTGCCTGTCCTGGGTCAGCTTTTTTCATCTCTCGCAAAGAGTAGCCGAGAAATTGCCGAACCCCGCTGCGAATCGGTTCTACGGGTCATCAGCGGCTCCCAGACGTCATTGACCCTGCCAATCACAGGACAGTGACGTATGGAGTGCGAGTGAGGTGCTCTGCCCGCACTCACGCCATTACTCCTCGTCTGTGGATCAGCGAGTACAAGCGTGGACCGCTGGCGACGAGATCGGAGCATGACGCACCATCAGTGGGTCTCAGTTCTCGCTCGAGGCTGGGTCGCAAGACGGTTGATCCAGAGGCAAACCGCTGTACAGTGTGTCCGGTGAGCAATTGCCACCATTTCTTGTTGCGGAGAATGCCCACGATCCCCCATCGTATGCGCCATGGTGGCAGCGCTGCTCAAAGTACTCGGCGAGGCAGCCAGTAGTGATAGTGTCTCACATGGTGCAAGGCAACAACCTTGTTTCCATTGAGGTGGATGATGATTGCGGGCGGCGACTGGGCATATGTGTATTCAGGAGCCGATAGCAAACGGCGATCTGTGACCATCGACAGAGGGTCATTTCGCTTCATACAGAGCGAAATCAAAAGCCGCCGTGAAGAGGCGACATCTTGCCCACCGCGACTAGCTCTTCTCGTCATACCGGGGCTTGCAGTCGCTGCTGGATGAGGGTTTGGAGTCGCCGTCGTATTCCGGCGGCCACTCGCTGCTGGATCCCGCAGACTGCGATGGACGCAGGTTCTCCAGATGCGCCTTGTTCTCGGGCTGAAGGAGGCTCTCGGGGGGCTGCGGGGTCGGAGATGCTCTCCGGAACTCGAGTAGCTGTGGGTACTGAGCGACCAACGACTGGCACAAGCTCAGCGGCGCGCTACACACCTGGAGCGGCAGCTCCAGCTTGACGTTGGATGCGCCTTGGAGGGTGATGACGACCTTGATCTTGTGCGCGATGGAGACATGTGGGGTGTTGACCGAGGGGTTCAGACCAAAGTTTGGGGGGCTCGTCTGGGATGGCACGTCTGGGAGCTGGATGGTGGCCTGTGGTGTGGGAGACGATCAGCATTGCATTTGGCAGGCGCTTGGTGTGCGAGCGTTCCAGTGCCAGATGTGATTGCGTATTTGCATTCGGCGAAACAGGACGAACGAGCAACGAGTCTCACCGTTTGCTCCTGCCAAAAGGCGCCGTTCACTGGCTCGGTGATCTCCCAGTTCATGCAGTATTCCTTCGAGGCGATCTTCTGCCAGACCTTGGTGTCGGTGCGGGGCGGCCAGTGATGCACGGGCCCACTGAATACCAGTTTGTTTTTCGGCACATAGATGGTTTGATACTCCTTGATGCGGATGGCCAGGCTTTGGATGAGGACTTTGCCCCGCGGCACGCACCGGAACTTGACGTGCAGAGCGTCTCCAGGGGCCACGCAGAGCTTATCGAAGGAGATGTGGTATTCGATTTTGGAGTTGGAGTCGGACCATCCGCGGGGATCGTCCGTTGCCAGCATGGCCTTGACCATGTCGATGTTGAAGTGGAGCATGCGAAAGGGAATCTTCAGGGAAATAGGAGTTGACGAGGCGCTGTGGTAGACTTCACACTTGATGAGATAGCGGGCAAATGCAGCATAGTCTCGGGTGTCTGCATCAGGGAAACAACGCCGGAGTATAGAGAGGGCCAGCCATCAGTGCGCCAGATCAAATACCAAATGCAAGGCGCCGGCAGTCCGGAGCCCATATGGGTGCTTGCAAGAGCTGGACGAGATACCTACGCTGTCCCTTATTCGCCTCGAACGAAGACGGCAGCGAGTCAGAGAGGGCTTGATCGAGATTCCATTCGAACGGGAGATCGACGACTCGTCCCGACTGGAGAACCATGGGATACTGTATCAGCGTGATGGGGTTGTTGAGGAGGACCTGCTTGGCGGAGGAAGTGCTCTTGCGGGAGGTTTCGCAATTGCCGAGCAGGTCCAGGACGACGCTAGTGATTTGGGCGTCGTTCCGGCTCTGCGGCGAGGAGTTGTTGGTGATGCGGATGACGCCTCGGATGGTAACGGGTGTGAGTCCAGGGAATCCAGCACACAGATTCGGGTCGCTTCCGAGGAGGAGGACCTGGATGTCTGGCGGACTATCCGAGAAGATGGTTTGGAGGAGGCCAGCGATGGCCCGGAACAGACCCATTGCGTCAGGGAGTTGGTGGCGGAGGGAAGGTGAAGACGAGGATAGAAACGATGCGGGGGCAGCAGACTATGGAGGGGCTGGGACAGATGAGCACAGGAGCAGATGAGCACAGGAGCAGATGAGCGCAGGAGCAGATGAGTGACGATGGGTGCAGACGAGCGATGATGGGTGCAAGAGGACAAGCCCAGCATCCGCATGCATTTGAGGGGGGCAGGATGTCTTGGCGCCGGCCATTCAAAGCAATGTGTCCAGCAACCTGCCCAGCAATGTGTCCATCGATGCCAAGCGACATGCCAAGAGCCGAGCGACGACGGTCCGGATACACCAGCGCTGTCGCAGACCTTGGCTGGCGTTGATGTTGCCGATGCTGTCCAGCATGCAATCCTCCCCGGGATCGACAGCGGCGGTGGTGGTCAGAGAGAAGCATCGGCAACAGGGCGTTGCCGATGTCGGATCAGCACAAGCTAAGCATTCCAGATGGAATTCCATGCGATTCCCACACAAACAGCAGCGGCGGTGGCAGGACGCAAAGAGCAATCGAAGAATGGTGCCCAGCATCGGCACCAGGGAAGAAGTGGGCGAGATGCTTGCCGAAACAAACGGCGAGCGAGGGAAGTCTCCAGCGGACTGACTCTCATCCCTGCCCGATCGACACCCGATATATTACACTGCACGAAAGCCCAAGAGCACGCCACTAAGGTATCCGTCAATTGCAAGCCGGGTGCTTCATAGCCACAAATGCAGTGATCACTGCCCTTTGTACGGACAGCAGCGCTGCATCGGGCGAGGTCATCAGCAGGCTCACAGCGCCGTTGGGTCCGCAGGAGCAATGACAGAGTCCAGGCACGAGCTGCTCAACTGGATCAACGACCTGCTGTCGCTCAACTACACCAAGATCGAACAATGCGGAACGGGTACGGAGGCGTGCGGCATCCAGAGTCAGGCCGGGACATGGATCTTGGCAATTGTCCTGGACGGTGTGCCGCCACGTTGCAAGACCAGGGGCTGCACTGTCTTGACATTGCAGTCGATGATGACCGTGCTGGTCGCATGTTGCGATGTGACGGAACCAAACTGCTGCCCGCCACGAGCATTCCGGGTGGGAGCAGGAGCCATACCATTCGCCGGCCATTCGCAGGGGCCTCTGACTAGGATGTTGCTGACATTCAGGTGGAGCGTACTGTCAAATCATCGACTCGATCTATCGTGGGTATCGGAGCATGCTGGACAGGTCGAATGAGGCTGTGGTAAAGCACATCTGAGACGAGATGGACACGCATATCCTTGGACAACTGACTCGATAGACAACCCTCGACGAAAGGTGATCTGCCCATATCCCGAGTCAAGTTCCACCCCAACCAGGAGTACGAGTATCTGGCCAACTTCAAGATACTTCAGTCCAGCTTTAGTCGATATTCGATAGACAAGGTGGGTGCAACGCAGCCATGCTGGGAACATTTCCAAAGGCTCGCTCTGTCTGCAAGTTTGTCCAACGCTGTCGTTCTCTGCGACGGATGCCGATAGAACATCCCTGTCGAGCGGCTGATCAAGTGCAAATACCAAGACAACTTTGAGTTCCTTCAGTGGATTAAGAAATACTGGTATGGCCGCGGGCACTGCTCTGGTGGGCAACAGGAGAGCCTCGGGCTCCGAGCACCGCCGGGCATGAGTGGTTTCCAAGACTTTGGATTCACCGAGACGAATCGAAATGCTGACAGCGAGGTATCGGCTATGTCGCAGGGACACCTTCTATCCTGGCGGCGCCTATGACGCCGTGCTTCGCCGTGGAGAAGTTCGAGGTGCGACTCTGTTGAAGTCTCGGTGCCTTGCGGTGATGTGAACAGGAGGGCTGTGCAGACGCTCTGGTCGGGAGCGGATCTTTGGACTGCCATCTGGACAATGAGGAGGAGCTCGACCGGGCAAGGGAGCATCTGCCGGGGACTACGAGCTGCATATGTGACCAACGAGTTGTACATGTGGCGAGCCGGCTATCCGTCACTCCTGCCTTGGCTTACAAGCTTGACTTGCAACCTTGACATCCATGGGTCCTGGGTGGTCTCCCGGACGCCTTCGTCAACTGGTCGCCTGAACTCACCGAACTCTGGCTTTCTTGACCGTGGGTCTGGACATGCTAGATATGATCATCCAAGGGCCCGAGTCGCGAGGTATATGCACCAAGCGATTTGAGATATCGATCGCGGGGCTGGCGGAGCTGCTGGATAAGCACTAACGATCCGATACATTCACTCGTCGTGCAGCCTCGACCGCAGGCAAGCAGAGACTGAAAGCCCCGCTCAAGCCTCAGTTCGCTCAGAGCCCGCAGCGGCTCTCGACGCTCGGCCGTCGAGCAAGCAAGAAGACCCCGACACTCGAGCCGCTGGTCAAGCAGCAGCCTCAGCTTCCACTGCGCCCGTCATCGGCTGGCAATGTGCCTGGACGGAGCTCAGAGTCGGCGGCCTTAATGGAGGACATGTAAGTGGGAAAGCAGCACGAACGATATGCCCACATCGGATGGTGCTTCAGGGCAAGCCAAGTTCGACTCTGGCTATGAGCCGACCACAGCAATCTGTAGACAGCAATCTGTAGACAGCACTCTCAATACTGCGTCATTTACCTTGTGCTAATGCGGCTCTCGATCAATGTTGGCTTGGCGCTTCTTCGTCCATCCGTTCATGCTCGGACAGCGAGAAGCTGAAGCTGGAGCTTTCCCAGTGTCAGAGTGTGATTACCGAGCTCAACCAGCAGACAAGCGATGTTCGGACCGTCGCGGAGAGCCTCGAGCGCGAGCGAGACTTTTACTTTGGGAAGCTGCGATCGATTGAAGTCATAATCAATGTGCATGCCTCTTCTAAAGCGGTGGGTTTAGATGTGGATGAGAATTCCCGTGGTGCAGGTGTGTGGATGGGGCTGAGGCGGATCGAGACCTGGACGCTTTGGTACTTGTTCAAGATGAGCTTACAGAGTCAACTTTGAATGTCTGCTCAGTGCTCGCCAGATGTCAAACAGGTCGTCGGCGAGATACGAGATGTTCTCTATCAGATCGAGGTACTGTCGGAACATATGGACTGGGGGTAAAATGTAGTGATGCCGACAAAGGAACAGCTCCAGTCACCGTGTACCGATTCGTCTTGGCCAGATTGTGATTTGAGTGTGGCCGAAAGCTCCGAGCGTAGTTGGCGACGCATTGGCAGGCACTTACAAGTATATCGCACACAGGACGGATTCGAGATGCCGGGACAGCCACCGCCGCTTCTTGAGAGCGTAATAATGGCCGAGAGCCGCAGGGGCTCTCCGAGAGAGAGCATCAATGCCAACGCCGCCCGGGATGTCAGCACAGCACAAGATGGAAGAGTCCGAAATGAAAGTGTCGCCCAAGAAGCCAAGACAACCCAAAGTGTCGATGCAGTTGAACCAGACGAAGACGACAGCCAAGGAACCGAGTCCGATAAGCAAACACATCCCCTCGACCAATTCAATCCAGCAGAGGCCATTCCACTTCCAGATCAGTCCGAGCATGCCCAGCAGCCCGAACGAGAGGAAAACGCCGAGGAAATCCAGGAAAAGAATCCCGTCGAGTCTGCTTTGGCGGGTGCTGAAGACACGGCGTCACCCGCAGACAGTCCGCTGCTCCCAAGTAACGCGGACGCCGGGCTCATCCAAATCATCTCTGACGAGCCGCAGAGCCAAGAGGACGGCTGGCAGACGGCGCCCGAGGGCTCAAGCCTCGTCATAGACATCAAGGATCCGGACAACGACAGCATTCAGCCGTCATCGCTATCGCTGGTCCCGGACGCTGAGTCGAAAACCGGGTTGTCAGATCGATCGTTGTACTCGGGACTGCCCGGTCATGCCCCAGGGGCCGAGAGTGCGCTGGACTCGCTGGACAGCTTTGTGTCGGCCACTTCGCAGATGGATATGCAGCTACCAAGCGATTCACCTGACACGAGGGCAACACAGCAGCCTCCGAGAGAGACGAGTGCCGCAAAGCAGAGAGTAGGCTACCCGAGCGAGCCTGTTGAAGTCGCTGCTCCGATCGCCAATTCGGGTCCGTCAACGGAGCCGCAACGACAGACGGTCGATAACGAGACGGATACAGAGAAGGAAACAGAGGCCGCTGGGCCCGAGCCAGACGATTCAAAAGCCGAAGCGCTGGAGGACCCAGTCGATGATGGCGCTGGAGTAGCCCTTGAGAGTGAAGCCACGAAATCCGACTATGTTGTTTTGGACATTGCAGCGTCGGACTCCCAGCTGAATGCGTAGGCTTGATCGTGGTTCTTCCTGTTGTTGACCTCGGACTTCGGACTTCGGACATGGAGCGGGGGTTGCTTTTGATCTTCAACACGACTGGCTTGATGTCGACGAGCATTTTCGGGCTGCAAACTGGCGACGATGGGGGACTCGCTGGATACATGATTGAGTGCTGGCTTGATTGTCTCACATCGGGGCTGAGGCAAATGCAGATTGGTCAGGGTCGATCTGGGATATGGAGGGCGGCGCAACGATGGGAACCGAGCCGAGGACTAAGCTGCAGCTGAGCAGCAATAAAACAGAGCTACACAGCAAGTGACAGAGCTGCACACAGTCAATCAGATCGAGGCTGGCGATGCTGAATCACAAAGCAAGCTACATGAATCTAGCAGCATCGCCTGTGCTCGAGAAGTTATCTCGGCCGTTGCGGCTCGTCGGCGGGCGTCGCTTTCGTGCTCACAACAGGTGTGCAAATTCGCAAAAGCGTAAACCATCAATAATCATGAAGGTCAAGTGGAAGTTTTTCGAGCGGCTGCATCTGGACTCGCAGTATGGTGAGCGAGAGTGCGCCGGAAGCACAAGTGTTCGCCCAGGAATGAGAGGAGGAAAATGCCCGAGCTGGGTGGTTGACGAAGGAGCTCATCCACAAAATGCACCGTCCGCTGAGCGGACTGGCTTCATCTTGGTCGTCTCCGACAGGTGTCCTCAATGCCCGCTCGGCCTTCCTGGTCTGGGAGGTGTTCAAGCTCCTGGACTGGCGCGGCAAGGGATCGCTGGACGACGTCCAGTTTGCCAGTTTCCTGACGATGGTAACGGATCTCAAGGAGGCCCAGGCAATGAAAGTGTTTGATATTTTCGACTTGGATCGATCGGGATCAGTCGAATTTGACGAGGTGCGCTTACAGACCGAGGAGGGGTGCGAAGACAACGAGAAGGACGCATAGTGATGGCCATGCTTGAAACCCTGATGGGTTTAACATGCAGCTGGAGACGGTGTTCGATACGCAATTGGATGCAGTGCTCCACGCGGCATTCATGATGGCAATCGATATGATACTCATGCCGTTTGCTCCATTGGAATCGCCACGGCACAGTTCTACCTCTTGACGTGCATCTTGGTGGCGATAACGGTACGTCATCCATCCGGAGACTCGCCATACAGTCGACAGAGGAGACAAATGGAGCAAGCCTTTGGAACGGCCGAAGCTACACGATTCTGGACGCATTCTCCGAATGATGATGATGATGATGATGATGATGATGATGATGATGATGATGATGATGATTCCCCCGCTCTCACGCCAGGACAACCAAGGAAAGCAGTTCATGTACCAGCATTGGCGGACGTGTTTTGAGGTGTTGGACGAAGACGGCAGCAAGGCTGTTTCGCTCAAGGAGTTTGAGACGCTTGGATTTCTCTTCAACTTCACGCCGCACGCGATCCGGCAGATCTATGGCGAGTTCGACATCAATGGCACCAAGGTAATAATGCCTTGTAGATGTCAGCTGCAGGAGAGGAAGGGTGTGCCGCGATACAAGCTATGGTTTGAGGCAAACGATTGGTGTTCTGTCGTCTGTCGTTGACACGCATTTGCCTGCCATGGCTCGACTGTCTCAACGGCGACAGGAACTCGACAACAGCGAGTTTCGTCTCTTTGTCCTGGCGGCGATGGATTATCAGTCAGTGTTGGAGTCCAAGAGCAAAGAAAAGTCCAAGACCTTTCGCCAGCGATTCTGGATCCAGGTGCAAAAGTTCTTTGGCGTCTACAGCGAGCCGATGATGGCCCAGTTGCTGGAGTGAAGCACGAGACGACTCCATAGGTAGATGATACACTTGCTAGGGAGCTTCAGGGCAATCCCGAGTCACAGTCGGGTGTGTTTGTTGGTGCATTGATGGCCACGCAGATACACTTTATTCAGGGGGAAATGAGAAACTTGCCCACAACCCATTTGTCAGCGTAGTATGCGATGGCATGCGTCTAGCTATGCCATAAGAAATAGAACAGATCACTTTGGCAGCCTCCGAGTGAACACCACCGGTCGCAGTGCAGCGATGCAAAAATCGAGGGTGCTGTGCTTGGCCATGAATGCAATGAGAGGGTGGGTGTATTCAGGTCACAGAAAAAAACCCTGTCATGGCTCAACGGGGTGTCCCATTTCATTTTGGAAACGCTGTAAAGTAGTCGAGTGATGGATCTGTCCACTCGACACATGCGCATGTCAGGGTAGTATGAACGACTCAGGCGCAACAGGGCCATATGAATAAAGGATCGCCCTCCGAGTGGGACCTGCAATCGCGCTCCGGTCTCCACCATCGACTTGAGCAGCAGCCGTGATGTAGGCCGCATTGGTACCGCGATTCCGCATTGGATGGCCGCTGGAATGGCGGCACCGGAGCGCAGCGATGAATGGGTGTATTCAGGACCAGAAAAAACGAAACCCCTGACCCAAAACGGGGCAGCCCGTTTCGTTTGGAAAAAAGCCGTATGAAGTCTGCCGGATGGGCGTGGGAACTCAAATGGAAGCATGGGCTGTTGACGGGAACAAGCAACAAAAGGCGATGCAAGAAGAGCAGGGCCCGCGACCTGGGTGTGCGCGGGAGATGGCAAGACAGAATATGAGGCCAACGAAAGAGAAGGGGGTGGGATGCAACTCTGACCACACAGTCAAACGCCAAGGGTGGCTGGTGGTAGAGGGCAAGGCACCGAAAAAGTCTAGAGCAAATACAAAGGACAAATGGGCAAAGAGTGGTCCGATCTCGGGTTTGCAACATTGAGACACAGCATCCAAGGAACAAAATACATCATCCCGAGTGCATGGTCGAAGGTCAAAGGAGAATAAAAACGCACCAGCTGGGAGCAGACGTGCAGAGTTGATCCTGATCGGCTCGAGGGCTCGTTCCAGTTCGCAGAACAGCACAGGAGTTGTCGTTTGCTGGTAGCTCCGCAAGGACAGACGCTGGTGAATAGAGGATCGTGTTGCAGCCAGAGCACAAACGATGGATGCGATTGAAATTAGAGCGGAGGGTGAAAAGAAAATAAGAGAAAGAAACGACATGATATATATAGAAGCACGAGCAGAGCGGAGCAAACGCATAGAGGCTGACCAGGCGCTTCAAGATCACGGATGCGGGTCACGATGTGGAGAAGGGCAGAGGGTGGGAGAAAGTAGAGCATGGTGCGATAGCCGGATCATGCGACTGAACACGAGCGCAACTGGACTGCTTGAAAAAGTAAGCAGAAGGGATGAGGTTCGAGAGACGGGGAGCAAGAGCGAGAAGGTGCCCCAAACGGAGACGGGCGGAGACGGAATATGCAAGGAAGAGCGAGGAAAGTGAAAGGGCAGAACGGGGTGAACGACGAGCAGAACGATGATACGCAGCAGCCAGCTCAGCCTTGGAGAGGCCGAGGTCGTTGCAATTCGCTGCTGTGTCGATGTACGCTTGGGCGATCAGCAGTGCTCGCCGGCAGAGCAGCCGGCCACAGTCTACCCGGACAGACATCAAGGAGGTGCGTGGTCCGTTAATATCTACAACACGGAGCGCCGTCGCTTTGCCTGGACCACTGAGGATGCCAGCGCATGTTCGTTCCTCGGCATCGATGCTCCTACGATCCATGTTTCATCCAAACGCAATACTCCGAAAGAGCCAGCACAACATGGGGTGCCACCGCGGAGCCGCTCATCGGTACTCGTCGGCTTCCTCCTCTTCCTCTTCCAGATAGAAGACGAGCTTTCCGAGGTTGGTTTGGATTTGGAGCCGCAGGTCGTCGTCGCCAAAGAGGGGCAGCAGCAGGCCGGTCTCGTCCTTGTAGCTCAGGCCAACGATGCGGACCTGCAGCTTGTCCTCGACCTCGTCCAGGAGTTCGGTGTACCGCAGGTCGTCAGGGATCTTCCAGGCGACCATCTCGTTACCAAGGTCGATCTTGATCTTGACAAGGCCGTCGGAAATGTACTCGGCGATGAGGTCCTGGACAGTGCCTTCGCCCCGGAATTGCAGGTCCTCGTCGGTGGGGTTGTCAATGTCCTGCGGTTGCACCATAAAGAAGCGTTTGAGCGGGAACGAGTCACTGATGGGACGGCCCAGTTTGGTGAGCTCAACAAAGTAGATCTCGAGATGTAATCGGCGGGTCTCGGCCTCAGACGGGGTCATGTCGCGGATGGGGTTGGGCAGGAAGGGCAGGATGCGAGGCAGGTCCTTGCGCCCGCTTTCGTTCGGGAAGGATGTGAGGAGGGCAACGTGCAGCTGCCAGATCTGGTCGTAGGTTCGGAAGATGAGGCCCTGGGCATTGTCGGCGCGCTCAATGTGCAGAGAGTACTCCCACTGGCCGTTGACAAACTCGACAAATGGCACGGTCGCATACTGGACAGGCACAAAGGCCCGGCCGCGGGGGGTGCCAGGGCCCGAGGAAGCAGGGCCGTCCCGGACCGAGGCCGTGGGACTGAGCAGCTCGGGGGCGTTGCGACGGGGAGGCGTGACGGGGCGGCTGGAGGGCTGCGAGCTGTCGTCGGCATAGTCGTCGGTGGGGTCGTAGTCCTTGACCGGGTTGGAGTCACGAGCAGATGGCCCGTTGTAGGGATCGTAGGGGTCGTATTGGCCACTATTGCCTCTGGACGAAGGCATACTCTGTCGCTGGTCGTGGTCCATGAAGGACTTTGGGAGGACAACGCCGATCTCTTCGTGGAAGTTCTCGGGGATTTTGGCGACTCGGTCGAGGTTTTCAAAGTAGGAGGACGGCACGAGGCCGCGGACCTTCTCGATGGGGTTGATGACCTCGTACTTGTTGAGGTGGCTGTCGTCGACGACGTAGAAAAAGTCGCCCTTGCGGAAGGAGAGCTCACCCGAGTACTCTGCGGTGTAGTCGGCAGTGGCTTGGATGACCTTCTTGGGAACCTGGTTCCAGATCATCTTTGGATGCGACGAGCCGCGGGGGGCGAGGTTCGGGGGGCCGCCGCCGCCGGTGCCGGAGGGCGGGACAGGAGCCGAGCGCTGGGCGGGCGAGTCATAGCTGACCTTTTGGGAGTAGCCCTGGCCGGGCGAGGCATGGGACGAGGGCGAGGAGCCGTAGTTGTAACCACCGCCGGAGCCGTTGTTGTAGCCGCCGCCGGAGCCGTTGTTGTAGGGCTGCGAGGGGTAGTAGCTTGGCTGGACGGGGGTCTTGTTTTTGCCGATGTTTTTGAACATGGTGGATGGAGTGGAAGCGATGGCCCGAGCAGGGCAAGCAAGAGCGGGAGAGCACCGGGAAAAGATGGACAGGCAGCCAGCAGAAAGCGGGGGGAGAGCAAGCTCCAAAGCCGGACGGGGAGTCTTGGGCAGGACGGGAGGCGAGAGGAAGGGCGATGGAAGCGCAAGAGCGAAAAGGGCGGCGAAGACGGCGGGACAGAGGATCGCCAGAGCGATCGGCGGGCTGGGGCAAGGGCCAAAAATACCCCGCGTGTGTGTGTGCGGCGCTGTCTTTTCGGGGTGTGGACACTGTGGCTGTGCGGCTGGGGCAGCTGTTGCTGTGTGCGCTGTCGCTGTCGCTGCGGCTGTGCCGGCTGCCCTGTGTCCGTGTCGCACACGCACAGGTGCGCGGGGACGTCGCTAAATATAGACGCGACCGACAAGCCGGGCCGGCTGTTGCTGCTGCTGGCACTGTGGTGCGGAAAGAGCGCAAAGGGGCGGCGCGCTCAGGCAAGGCGGCTTGTTCAGGGCGGATCGAGTCTGGATCAAGCCTGGATCGAGCCTGGATCCATCCCGGATCCATCCCGGATCCAGCCGCGGCTCATTAATTTCATTATTGCTGCGGGCTTCTTTTTTCTTGGCAAGCTCCGCGATCTGGGCGCAAGGCAATCAATCGCGCAACCGAAACCCAGAGCTTCGAGGTCCCGCATATCGAGACGTCGCCCCATCAGCAGTGGCCCTGAGCGACAAGAGCATCTGCCTCCAAACGACACGGCATCGGCATTCGCACTCGCTGCATTGACCCCCATCCGCATCCTGCCGCCATGGTCAAGCTCTATCTCCGATATCGCCAAAAGGCATCGTTTGGAACCATCGCCTCGGCAAACTCCAACATCATCTACGACTCCTCCGCCCAGCTCGCCGTCTGTCCCGCCCTCGAGAACGTCCACATTTACAACCTCAAGCTCGGCGAGCAGACTGCAGCCTGGTCCGACGTGGACAACAAGGCCGAGGTGACCTTCATTACCCGCCAGACTGCCTCCAAAGACCACAGCGACGTCAAATACGCTGTCGGCTATTCGGACGGCTCCATCCGCATCTGGTCCATGGTCTCGTCGTCGACCTTGATTGTCTTCAACGGCCACCGCGCTGCCGTCACCTACCTGGCCTTTGACCGCTCAGGCACCCGCCTCGTTTCGGGATCCAGGGACACCGACATTATCGTCTGGGACATTGTAGCCGAATCCGGGCTGTTTCGTCTGCGCGGCCACAAGGATCAAATCACCGGCCTTGTGTTCTTGGATCGCAACGACCTCAACCACCTCGTCTCGACCTCCAAAGACACCCTGATGAAGATCTGGGATTTGACGACACAGCACTGCATCGAGACCCTCGTTGCCCATCGAAGTGAGGTCTGGGCCCTGGCGGCTTCGCCCGACCAGCTCACTCTCTATACGGGTGCTGCCGACCCCGAGCTTCGTGTTTGGAAACTCGATCCAGACGTGCTTGCGAAGAAGCTCGAGCCTGTCGGTCCGTCGGACGCGACTGAATCTGCACAGACCTCTGCTGTCGCCGACGAGCTGGCCAAGGGTGTCACCCTACATGGCGCTCTGCAGCGTCAAAGCAAGGAGCGAGTCACCACCCTGCGGACCGACCACACCGGTCGCTATATCGGCATCCAGGTGAGCTATGCGTGCCGCACACTGCTCGTGGTGTTGATCTGTTCAGTGGACATCTCATGGCAGTCAGAATGACAGGAAAGTGCCTGGCGGTACACAGGGCGGATCCAGGGCTGTGCTGAAGTTGCCTGGTTCTGGTCCAGGAGCAGTTCGCGTGTATTGATACTCTATCACGGAGCGTGCTGGAACGTGAGCCGTCAATTTAGTTGCGATACGCACCTTGCCCGCACCCAACGGCATTTGATTTCCACGACACCGCATGTCGATGATCTTGTCAATCCGTGTCCTGTTCGTGTCTCGCTGATCACCTGTTTATGCCGTTTCGTCACAACCCCGTGTGGCTGCTGTTTGTGAACGGCCGCTTTATGCTGCGGGACGACGTCTCATCCAGGGTGCTGATCGACTGGTAGAGGTCTTCAAGGTTCGCACTGCCGAGGAGGTCAAGAAGCGCCTGGCTCGTCGCAAGAAGCGGCAAAAGGAGAAAAAGTCAGCCAAGGGAACCGGTGACCCCGCCACTGACCCATCCCTCGATGGCGACGATGAGGCCGACATTTTGCCTACGGTCGCAGACGAGATCCCCACCTTTGCCGCCATCCGATGCTCGGCCAAGGTCCGGTCATTCGACTTCTCGCCAAAGACCAAGGAGAGCGAGGATGCTCCTGTCCAGGTGCTGTGCTCGCTCACCAACAACACCATCGAGCTGTGGTCTGCTGGACTGGACTCTGCCGAGGAACCTACCAAGCTGACATCGTCGATCGAGATCCAAGGCCACCGCTCCGACATTCGCACACTCGCCCTCAGTACCGACGACGATCTGCTTGTCTCGGGATCCAACAGCGGCATCAAGATCTGGAACACCCTGACGCAAAAGTGCGTACAGACCCTGGGCTCTGGATATGCCTTGTGCAGCGCCTTTGTGCCGGGCAACAAACACGTACGTTTCCGGTTGACTGAACGGGGTGTACTGGATGTGGGGTTACAGATGCGTGACGAATGGTCTATAGCGCCTCACGAGAGTTGCCACAGAACTCTCATCACTGGACTGCATCTAGTTGACACCCAGTGCTCGGCGTGTGATTGCCATCGCCGCAGTGTTTGCATCCGTGCTGTGTGAGCGCGACTTGAGGCGCTTCAATCCACGATCGTGAGCTTTGCTCCTGATTCCGTCTGCCTCTCTTGGTCGTATAGGTTGTCATCGGCACCAAAACGGGCGAGCTCGAGTTGTTTGATCTTGCCTCTTCGTCGCTGCTCGAGAGCATCAAGGCACACGACGGACCCATTTGGTCGCTGCAGGTGCGGCCAGACAAAACGGGGATCACAACCGGATCAGCCGACAAGGAAGTCAAGTTCTGGGACTTTCAGCTCATCCAAGACTCGGAGTATTCCAAGGCAAGCGCGCCGTCCCTGATGCTTGTCGTGTCAAGCAAGAGTGGTGGACCAGTCAAGCCGCTCTAGATGACCTCTGACACGCCGATTAGTGGCATTCTGCGGCGTATCTGAGGCATGTCTGGCGATCACCCAGACTGCAGCTTCTGGGCTGGTTCATTTGGCCGCACAGCTAACGTACGACCCTTGACCTACCCATTCGCATTCAGGTGGCTCGTCGACTCACGCTGGTGCCGACCCGGATCCTAAAGATGTCTGACGACGTCCTGAGTGTGTGTCACTCGCCCGATGGCTCGCTGCTTGCTGTCTCGCTTCTTGACAGCACCGTCAAGGTGTTTTACACCGATACCCTCAAGTTCTTCCTGTCGCTCTATGGACACAAGCTGCCTGTGCTGTCCATGGACATTTCCTCGGACGGGGCCCTGATCGCCACAGGCTCAGCCGACAAGACCCTCAAGCTCTGGGGGCTTGATTTTGGCGACTGCCACAAGAGTTTGATTGCTCACGAGGACTCTGTGATGGTCTGCAGATTTGTGTGGGGTACACACTCGCTCTTTACCGCTGGCAAGGACAAGACCATCAAGTACTGGGACGCCGATAAGGTTGGCACAGTTATGGGTCCGAGAAGAATCGGACTAGCTGCTCTTCAGTACCGTAGGATCGATCACCTGCTGTCCTTTGGATCAAAAATCTGCGTCTGTTGCTCGCACTGACTGTATTCGCTGCATTCCATCTCTGTATCACAGTTTGAGCAAATCCTGAAGCTCGAGGGCCATCACGGCGAGGTGTGGTCTCTCGCCGTGGCCAAGTATGGTCGGTTTATTGTGACCGGCTCCCACGACAAGTCCATCCGCATCTGGGAGAAGACTGACGAGCAGTTTGTGCTGGAGGAAGAACGCGAGCGGGAGCTGGAGGAGCTCTACGAGAAACAGCGGGACGATCGCGGATTCGAGGAAGAGATTGGATCTGGCGCTCCCGATGCGAACCCAGATGCCTCGGCATTCCAGGGTCCAGAAGTCGGCAGTGCCGGCAAACGGACGGCCGAGACCCTGAAAGCCGGCGAGAAGATCATGGAGGCGCTCGATGTTTGGGAGCAAGAGCGTGCTGCCCTGGATGTCTTTGAGATGGTAAGCGACCGCGAAACTGGTGCGGAGTGCCCAGCAGAACTCGGAATGTGGAGAGAATGGGAAAGCCAAGGCCACTCAGGCGACGATGGGCGGCTTGGTCTTGATCCGCTGTTCTCGAGATCCATCTGGTACCCACGTCACCCCAAGCTCACCCGATGCTCTGTCTGATAGCAAAAGTCAGCCAGCCCCGACGAAGACATTGCGCCGCCGCCACGTAGCCCCTACATCCTTGCCTTTGGCGATCCAAGCATCACTCCAGAAGGCTACGTCCTGAAGATGATTGAACGAATCCGACTGAGCGATCTGAACGAAGCCTTGCTGGTGCTGCCCTTTGGCAAAGTCGTGTCGCTGCTGAAGGTGGTCTTGTTCTGGATCGAGAAGGTGGGTGTTGACTACGATGGCGCGGGGGGCGACTCTCTTCGCCAAGCGGATAGGCCGTTGGGTCTGAGGGTGCTGCTTGTCAAGTTTGAGATCGAGCTGACAGAGGCTGATTATTTGCTTGCCGATGCCAATCCAACAGCGCTGGAACAAGCTGCTCTCGTCACGAATCCTGTTCTTCCTTCTCAATGTACACCATAGCCAACTGGTGACGACACGCACGCTGAGACCCACTCTCATCCGCCTGCGGAAAGAGATCCACAACTCGCTGCAGGAGCACCGGGACATCATTGGCTTCAATCTGGCGGGGCTGCGGTACCTCAGGACTCAGTGGGAGGCTGAGCATAGCACCGAGTTTTATGATGACGTCGGCGTCGATGGGGCAGCCAAGGGTCAAGGGAGCAGTGTCGGTGGCCCGACTAAAAATGGCAAGAGCGGTGCCAAGATGCGTGTGGTGGTAAAGGGATGAAAGCAGCGTGGCAATTGATTGATGGAAAGACCCTGAGCCAAAGAACAATCCTGTCGTTCATGAATACAGTCCTTCGATAACAAGGCGAGACACTGTTCGATTTATAGAATGCCGAATGGGGTGGATCTTGGTTTTTTGTTTTTTTGTGTTTACAGTAGTTTTTTTTTTTCTTTCTTTCTTTATTGTGCGCCGCCGTGGCGGCGCACTAGCCATCAGGACCCCGTGGTCCCCGGCATCTCGCTCTTCATGGAGTACATCGAGTGTTTAAAAGTCCCACTCAGGAATGTCGCCGGGCCTGGCTTGCCATCCAGCGAGTCTCCACATCAGGGTATGGAAGATCTGTTCCAGATCAGTCCACAGACCGTTGAAGGCCTGTCCCACGATGGGTTCTTCGTATTCCAGCTTGCCAACCTCTCCCAGCATATCCAGCAATTTATCAATAGGCCCGACACCTTCGGTCTCGGGCTCGGTCCATCCAGTGAAAATATCCTTATAGCCCTGTACCAGGGCGTCCAAGGCGTCTTCCTCATCCACACACGTCTGTGCGTGGGATCTGCTCAGCTCGATTCGGCCTTCGCCGTTGCGTTTGCACTTTTTGCAGAGGCGGTACTTGCCGTGTGGGTGCCAGGTGAATGCCCCCAGTCTCCACCACACCATTACTACGTGTAGTCTTCGTGGGATGCTTGGTCCAAGTTGGGTCCAGACTCCCGACATCTTTGTTCTTGGTGTGCACGCAGCCGTCAGCTGCTGTCCTCGCTTGAACGATGTGTGGGCATCGTGGGTCAGCATGAGTGTTTTGACCGACAGAATCTGTGTGCGATCCGTGGTCGAGTCGTCGTCCTTGGCAAAGGCCATGGACATCGAGAACGTGGCGTTCTTCTCCTTGCGGGTGCAGGTCAGGTTCCATTGGATGCTTTCGTAGAAGGGCTTGCCAAGGTATGGCTGGTCCTTCATCGCCGTGGATCGGATAAAGCGGGTGATGAGGGCGATCATCTTGTCGTCGTGTGTGGCGACGTCTTCCCATCGTGCTCGGCATTGGATGCCGAGGACCTTTGCTCTTGTCGCCATCGTGGGTAATCCGCAATTGAGGTGCAGTGCTCCGTGTGAAGTCGTGCGAGCTGTGCGGAACAGCAAGTTCAAGCAGAAGGTTTGTGTCCGGTGGAGCCGCTTCTGTTCGTTCTTTGGGATGGCGTCGAGGGCGAGGCCGTATTCCATCATCGGCCGCAGGAACGTGCGGTATGCAATCGTTAGGGTCTTAGCCGTGAGGTTCCCAAGGGTCAGGCCCATCTTGGCCATGTTGGATGCTGCTTCTCTTGTCCTGGTCACCATTCGGTCGACTTGTTTGTCGATGCGGAATCCATTGACGTCGATCATGGCGCCGAGGTACTTGAAGATCTTGGTCTCAGGGAGGTTTTGGCCATAGAGGCGCAAACCCGTTTGTTTGTCGGTGCAGTGGTCTGAGAAGATGACCTCGCACTTTGGGGGTGAGAACCTGTACCGGTTTCTCCGGCTGTGGGCCTCGCACAGATTGAGGAGTGGTTGTGCTTGTCCAGGTTTACAGATCAGGACACCGTCGTCGGCGAACCACAGTGAGTTCACTTTGATGGTGGCCCCGTTGTGTCCCTGGAGGGGGGTGCCTCCCATATCTCGGAGGCGTCTTGGTAGATCGTCGATGAAGGCGCTGAACATGAGTGGGCTCAGCACCGATCCTTGGATCAGTCCTTTCTGGAGCCATACTGGCTTGGATCTTCGGCCCTTGCTGACCATTTGGATGGATACCCGGTCAAACATGGCTTTGAGGAAGCCGAGGGCGATGCCGTTCATTCTTCGCTGCTTGAGCTTGGTCCACAGTCGCTCGCGCCATACTGTGTCATAGGCGGCTTTGATGTCGAGGAACACCAGGGAGTACTCCTCACCGTTCATCTTGTGGTGCTTGATCAGGGTGTCCAGGGCGACGATCTGGTCAAGGGTTCCTCGTCTGGCTCGGAATCCGCCTTGGGCGACGTCCATGTCTCCTGCCTGTTCTGCCAGGAAGGGGAGCATGATCCTTTCCACGATCTTCCTGCAAGTCTGAGTGAGGCCGATAGGGCGATACACGGCCGGGTCCAGGGTCGATCCCTTCTGCTTGTACACTGGGTGGATCGGCACGCTGTTCCATTCGCTTGGCACCACACTGGCCTTGAGCGCCGCCATGATGATCAGGCGGAGCCACTCGGCTATCACTGGTGCGACTGGTATGAGCATTTCGCTCTTGATCTTGTCGGACCCCGTTGCCTTGCGGCGTGGTGCCTTCTCGATGGTCACTTGGATGTGCTCCAGCGATACTTCTGGGAGCCGCTTGTCGGGCGGCAGGAGGGTCGCCTCCGTGCTCAGGGGTGGCGGGGTTATACTTCTGTCGTACTCTGTCCCGCTGTCCTGCGAGGCGGAGGATACCTTGCCAAAGGGCACCACGAGATTCTCGAGAGTCGGGTCCGAGTTGTCAAAGAGGTGGGATCCCTCTCTCTCCTTCCTCGTGCGCATTGCTCCGATGGTCTTGGTCATCTCGGAGCACTTCTGGGTGTCCATGGTGGCCATGGATTCCTTCCATGACCCTATGCCGTTCTTGCGCTTGAGCTGGGTGATGGCCTTTCTCGTGGACCGAAGCTGACGACGCAGGTCGTCCAGTTCTTCCGTGTCGTACTCGGGGGTCTGCTTGATCATTCTGCTCAGGCATCGCTGCTCTCGTTCCAGGCGTCGTATGTCGAGCCCCTGTGGGCTTTCGATCCGACCAAGGCTGATGCTGGATGGCCCCTTGGTAGGTTTCTGTTGTTCTGCGCTTTGGCGACCATCGCTGGCAGTGGGATAGTCGGCAGGGTGCGGTTCATTCTCCGGTGTGCTCTCTCACCCTGATGATCCCGCGGATATCGAGATCAAGTAAGGACATGCCACTTTTCATATCGCGGCTTGTCGCCATCGAACGACAAACAAACCCTTGAGCACGGCCTCGATGATATTGAGCAGCATTGACTTGCCGTTCTGGGTGTCAACCACAAGGAACGTGATCATTTCCCCGTTGCGTTCGGCAGTCAGTGCCGCATGGTTGTATCGGACCTCGAGCGTCGTCGTGAACATGTCCTCTGCCGTGGCCATGCGCCGTATGCCATTCAGGAGATTGATGAGAGTACCATCACTGAACACGACGCTGTCCGCCGATGTGTCCAGGGTGCCCACAAAGGCCTTGTATCCTTGGCGAAGACGGTCTTGAACGACGAGTGATGGTTGACGAGTCTGTTACCGTACTTGGTTTTTTTTTTTTGATAGTTGTATATTCAAGAATATTCAACATGCCATCAGTATCGCAGGATACCCGGCAGTGGGTGGCCAGGCTCGCTCATACACCCCTGTTGCGGCCTTCGCCGACTCTCCAGCCCACACGGCGAGCCATGCGGGTGAACACTTCTTCTAATAACTCCCAGAGGGAGTCGCATGTCTCCAAGTCCCGCTCAGGGATGTCGGGGGTTGGTTTATCCAAGTCTCCCTCCAGTATCATCTCGAACCCACTCCAGGGTTTGCTGTGCGGTGTTGGGTCTTGACTTGCCCTCAAGGGAGTGTGAGTTTGTCTGTGGGAGGGGTACTCGGGATTTATCTCGTATCCTGGGGTCTGACCTAGTCCCAAGTCATCGTCGGACTCTGGGATCGGGTCAGTACTTCGTCCTTGGGAGGGCGTGGGAACCTCTATGGTTTCGAGGCCAGAGACTATGTTTCTATTCGTCTTCCTGGCCCGGTTTCGGTCTCCATTGTCTTCGTTACCATCAGGGGAGTACTCTGAGCCAGACTCTGAGACTGACTCTGAGGTTCCTCCCCAGTTCGACCCCGAGGCAAGGTCTGAGCTCGGTTCGGGGTGGTGGGGCTCTAAGTCCACACCTGTGCCCAAATGCACCAAGCCCACGCTCTGGTCGGAGTGAGGTACTAAGTCCCCACCAAGGTCAGAGTGAGGCACTAGGTCCCCACTATGATCGGAGTGGGATACTAAGTCCAAACTCTGGTCAGTGTCCCAGCAGTAGTGTCCTCCACTATCGAGAGACAGTTCGTCAAGCTCGTCCCAGATTGGTCTCGGCGTTGGGTCGGTTCTTACCAAGAAGTCAAAGTCAATGTCGTAGTCTGACACTGAGCTGACTTCAGAGCCAAGGTCCGAGTCCACTTCGGGACCAGTGAGTCTGAGCCTCCCCATACGAGCAATCACTCCCGGTAGGGAGCTCCAGAGCCGATCTCGATCATCAAAGTCGTCGTCTACATCAGCATCACTGATGCCAGTGTCATCATCTGTATCCGAGACTATTGATGCGATCAAAAGCCCCGGTCTCTCCCCTCGCTTCCCCACCGAGTGATTATTATTGTTATTGCCATGTCTCTCTCTCCCTGGTGTTTGGGTTCCCACACCAGTGTGCTGCTGTTGCTCTTCTCTATCCTTCTTGGCTTCAAACTCCAGCAAGTCAAGCAGCATGTCTATAGGCCCCACTCCTTCGACTGTGGGTTTGACCCAGCTTGGGTGGGTCCGTGCGAGTTCGTTGACCTTTCTTGCCAGGATGCCTTTGGGGTCGACGCATCTTTGAGCGTGGGAACGGTTAAGGTCTACTTTGATTCCGTTCTTGGAGCACCATCGGCAGGGTCTGCTTCCTCCCTTGGTGTGTCCTGGGAATATCCCAAGTCGCCATCGAATCATTAGCTCGAGGATAGGCTGACTACCTGTGTATCCCTCGGCTCTCCACAGTGCCGACATCGAGGTTGTCGGTGTGCATGCGGCTGTGAGTTGTTGGTCTCGTTTGAACGCTGTCCTCATGTGTTCTGTGAGGATGGCTTCTCGCAGAGGGATCGCCAAGTCGTCCTCTTGGGCAGCCTGGGCTCGCTGTCGATGTCGTGCTCGTCCGTTAGCCGGGTCTGGGAATGCTCGAAGATACCTGTTCTTCCGTAGGTCCCGGGCTAGTCGCAGTGTCCACTCTGGGTTGGTGCAGAGTAGTGGTCTATCGGGGTCGAGGAACGGGTGGAACCAGCTCCTTTGTGTCCCTATGGTTTTGTCCTTCTTCCTTAAGGCCGACGCTTCCGTTCCAAGGAAGGCCTCGGTCGCTGTCAATTCAGGATTGGTGTCCTGCCTGGCCATTAGTCGTTGCCAGTGTTTGTCTTGCAACAGCTTGTGTCCAAGGAATTGCTCGCCTGTGAACGGGGGTGAGCGGGTGTTTCTGAGGACGATCGATATCATCTTTGAGTTGTCTGCGATCTCGTCGTCCCATCTTGCCCATGTCTGGAGTGCCAGTATCTTTGCTCGCATCGACATCTTTGGTAGTCCACAGCTGATGTGCATTGCTCCTATCGATGTCCCTGGTCCTGCGCGGAAGAGTGTGCGGAGGGCCGTCATCTGTGCTTCGTCGATACGTGTGATGACCAGCATCACAACGGACCAATGAGATTGTCCCGCATGCTCTCGCCCTCCGCACCAATCATGAGTCCCCACGTGTTTGTTTGCCCCCATGCATGAGCACGCGCCGTTGCCACCCGCGTCTACTGGTTTCCTGCCTCCCCCACCGCTCGGCACATGTCCCCGGGCTGTGCCAAGCCTCTCTCGCTTGCACACCAGCCACTCTCGCACCCCCTTCTCGCTTCTCTGTGATGCTCCACCCTTCTCGCCCACTTTTGCCCCTCGACCTTCTCCCGGTCTATAAATAGCCCTGCATGTCTGAGCCTATGTTGAACACCAGTTCGAACAAAACTTGTTCTTTGGTGTTCGGGGCTAAAAGCTAATAAAGCTCATACCAAGCACTTGGTCTTCGTCCTTGCGCTTGTTCACTCCTTACACTTTGTTCGAACTCTCTTCTACTGATACCACCTGCTTGGTATCTTCCGCTCCTAGCCCCGCCCCTTTCCTAGTCCTGTCCGAACCTCAAGCACACTTGTGTCTGAGCCCTCTTCGCTCTCCTGTTCTTGAACCTCCTCGCTTTTTTTTTTTTTCCCAGTCCCAGTCCCAGTCCCGCCATGGATCCTGCCCTCGTGGACCGCCTCCGTGCCTTGGAGGCCGAGCTCGCCGAGCTCCGGACAGCTCGCGATGCTCCTGCCGCTGGGTACAGCGTGCAGATGCCGGACCGTTACGACGGTAACCGGCAAGGGTTCCGGGCATTCGTAAATCAGTGCAAACTGTATATACGAATGCAGCCCCACCGGTTCCCTGCTGACCCGATTAAGGTCGGATTCGTCATTAGTCTGCTCACTGGACCGGCTCTCCAGTGGGCGACTCCGATGCTTGAGATGGGTGATCCCCGACTCAACTCTTTTGGCGATTTCCTAGAACGCTTTTCCAAAGTGTTTGACGACCCTGATCGGGCCAGGACTGCCGAGTCAGTGATCACCACACTGTCTCAGGGCAACCGCCCGTGCGCAGTCTATGCATCCGAGTTCCTTCGTATTGCCGCCGATACGACTTGGAACGACGGTGCAAAGATCTCGTTCTTCCGACTTGGCTTGTCGGATGATGTCAGAGACGAACTTTCGCGAGTTCGCCCTCTGCCACGAGATCTGGAGGAGTACATCGAGCTTTGTAACGAGCTCGATGCACGAATCCGCGAGCGCCGTCAAGAGCGCCGAAGCACGCCTGCCCGCTACCGGTCTTCCCAGTTCGCCTTTGGTTCCGCCTCCGCTGCCGTTCCCGCCATCGCTCCCGCGCCCGTCCTCGCTCCGCCGCACCCCTCCTACATTGTTTCCGAGCCCATGCAAGTGGACTCTGCCGTCTCTGGACCCCTGACCGCCGAGGAGAAACAACGCCGCCGCCGCTTTGGACTCTGCCTGTACTGTGGCAAGAAGGGCCACTTGGTACGAAACTGCCCCGTCAAGTTTGGATCTACCAGAGCTACCGGACCGCCCCCTGGACCTCCCGGCCCGAGGATCATCCGCACCATCGTTTACGAAGATGGAGAAGTGCAAGACTTCAGTTCGGGAAACGACCAGGCCCGGTTCTAAGTGAAGGCCTTGAACCGGAGCCGTGCCCACCGCCTTCCGAAAGTGAAGACATTGGTAAGGTGCCTTTGGTAAGTACTGGGGAAGCAGTGATGTGCGGACAGCTTCGCCTTGCCTCTGGACCGGCGGACACTCTCAGCTCTGGCATAGTACCCGTGGCACCTCTGGTGTCACTGGGAACTGCACCTCATCCACAGGTGCAAATACCTGAGCTGTCCTGCCAACCCTCGGCAAAGTTAACTGTCTGTGCTAGCCGCAACCCTGGTGCCGAAGCTGGTACCGAACCAAAGTCTTGTGTTTCGTCTGTTCGTCGTTGCTCGTTGGTTGTTCCCGTCGCTGTTCGTCTTCCTTCTGGTGATTCTCTGTCGTGCGAAGGACTTGTCGATTCTGGTGCCTCTGGCAACTTTATCGACGAGGACTTTGTTGCTCGACACTCTGTCCCCACCTGCTCCAAGGCTTCGCCCTTGGCAGTGGAAGGCGTGGATGGTAAGCCGCTGTCGTCTGGCCCCATCCTCCGCGAGACTGCTCCACTCGAGGTGATTCTCGGGGACGTCTCGCAACGCCTTCGGTTCGATGTGATCAGGTCTCCACATCAACCACTTATCCTTGGCTTTCCTTGGTTGCGCACCGCCGAGCCCAAGATTGTCTGGTCTCGCGGTCTTCTTTGTCTCCCTCCTTCTGTTGATTCCGACCCCTCTCCATGCACTACTTCTCTTTCGTCTTGCTCCACTTCCTCCAATGTCACTCCCCTTCTTGATGATTCCACTCCTTTGATTGATCTAAGCTCCTCTCCTACGCTCCCACCTTCGTCTTCCCCTTCTTGTCTTGTTCCTCCCGAACCCCTTCGCTCTTCCCAAACCCCTTCTTCTGTTGTCAGTTCTCTTTCCCTCCTTGATGTACCTCCTCCTGTTGTTTGTTCTTCGGACATTGTTCAGAATAAAGTAACCGTCGAACATTATTCTGACCTTGTCCACGCCCCTCCTCTCAGCTCGGACGCTCCTCTCCGCGTCTGCAGCATTGATTACCGCTCGATGCGCGAGTCTTTGGATGCATGCAGGCATGGAACGCAACCCCTGACCATCTTTCAGGTCCATGTCCTGCCCACTGACGAGCCGAGCACTGCGACTGTCGAAGTGCCTGCGGAGTACAAGGACTTCCTGTCTGTTTTCTCTAAACAGGAAGCTGACTCCTTGCCTCCGCATCGCCCTTATGACTGCCCCATTGACTTGGAGCCGGGCAAGTCGCCAAAGTTCGGGCCTCTGTACTCACTGTCCGAGCCCGAACTTCACGCTCTGCGTGACTATCTCGACGAGAATCTTGCCAAGGGATTCGTTCGTCCTTCGTCGTCCCCAGCAGGCTCACCAATCCTCTTCGTCAAGAAGAAGGACGGCTCACTTCGTCTTTGCGTTGACTACCGCGCACTGAACGGTATCACGGTAAAGAACCGTTACCCTTTACCGCTGATCGGCGAGCTGCTGGACCGACTTCGAGGCGCGAAGGTGTTCACTAAGCTGGACCTTCGTGGAGCCTACAATCTGCTGCGCATCCGCTCCGGGGACGAGTGGAAGACAGCTTTCCGTACTCGATATGGGCACTTCGAGTACTTGGTGATGCCCTTTGGGCTCACCAACGCGCCAGCGACGTTCCAGCACTTCATCAACGACGTCCTGCGCACCGAGTTGGACCAGTTCGCAATTGCGTATCTTGACGATATCTTGATCTACTGTTAGGGATAGCTTCTGCTTGTTCTCCACTTTGACTGCACACTTGGCTGTTCTTTTGCCTTTCTGTTTGTTTGTGTGTAGCTTTGCAGTTCCCCTCCAATTTTCCGCCTTTTGCCTGCCATTTCCGCTCCTTCCGCACTTCCGTTTCCCCGCGCTGCTCCGCTTCCTTTGTCTTCTTCGCACGCGCCGGTTTGTTTGTGCACGCGCCTTGCTGCGATTGGTTGCAATTCGGCTGCCGGTCATGTGTCCCACCACCGGTGACTCATGACCTGCCTGACCGCCCCGATCTCTTGTTCATCTCGCATGCATTTGCCCCAACCTTATACTTGACCAATCCGCTTCTTGGACGTTGAGTCACATTGCTTCGCCTTTGCACGTTTCTCCTGCCAGGTGCTTCGCTTTTGCTTGCGCCTCCCTCGCTTTGGTTCTCTGCCTGTCTCGGTGGTCCTTCTCGGCCCTCGTTCGTGCATCGCCCCCTTCGCCCTGCTCGATCGCCCACTTTTCCCTCCCTTGGCCGCCCTTCGCTGCCAAGTCCGGACTTGTCTATAAATAGCCTGACCCCCGCGATGTGTAGTCGAACCTCAGCGTTCAAAATAGGACTAAATAAAGTGCCTTCTACTTTATTCTCTGAGTGTTCCTCACGTCTCATTTCGAGACTAGTCTTATCTTGAACGGATCTTTGCTTCCCTCGCTCCCTCTCCGAGTCCACTTCGGACTTTACCCTTGCCTTCCCTGAGCCCACTTCGAGCTCACTTCTTCTTTTGCCGTTGAGTCCCCTTCGGACTCTAACATCATTTTGAACGCTCCCTCTTGGCTTCCCGGCCTTTCTTCTTCTTTCGCCTCTCTTTCCCTCGTCGATCCGATGGCTGAGCCTGCTGCACCCCCTGCAGACCTCAACGCGTATCTGGCGCGCATGGAGGAGCGTATGAACGCCCTCATGACCCAGAACGCTGCTCTCCATCGTCAGATCCAAGATCTGCAAGCTCCCGCCGCCGCTCCCCGCCAGGTCTACCAGGTCAACAAGCCCAAGGAGTTCCTAGGTTCCCGCGATGAAACGACGGCCTTCCTCGCCCAGTGCCACCTGGTTTTCCTCGCCGATCCTGCCTTCTTCGCGCCCGAGCGCCAGAAGGTCCTGTACGCCACCTCCTTCCTCCGCGGTGAAGCCTTCAAGTGGTACGAGGCCGCCTTCTACATGGCCAACCGCTTCCCGGCTTCCTTCGCGGATTTTGAAGTTGCCCTCAAGTCGACCTTCGGTGAGGACACGGCCTCCTCGCAAGATAAGGCCTTGAACGACCTCAAGCGCTTGGTCCAGCTCAAGTCCTGCCAAGCCTTCGCCACCCGCTTCGTCCAGCTCGCCGCCCGCGTCCAGACTGATGAACCCACCAAGATGCACTTCTTCAAGGAGGGTTTGAAGTCTGAGGTCAAGTTCCACCTCATCGGTCTCCGCCCCGCTCCCGCTTCCCTGCCTGAGTTGATCAAGGCAGCGGTCGAGTACGACGATGCCCTCCATCGTCTCAAGATCTCCTCCCGTTCCCAACCTCCTCCTCCTTCTTCTCGCTCTGCTCCCCATCACCACCATTCTCCCGCGCATGTTTCTTCTTCCTCCTCTTCTGCACCCACTCCCATGGACCTTGACTCTGTCTCGGTCCGCCCTGCTAAGCTCTCCGACGTCGAGAAAAAGCGACGTCGTGAGCAGGGTCTCTGCCTGTACTGCGGGGAAAAGTCTTGTCCCGGCAGTCGCGATGTTCAGCAGTGCCCGGTTCTGGTCAAACGGAACTCGGGAAATGCCCACAGCCGAGCAGCACCTCGCAAGTAAGCGAGGTGGTCTGTTCGGCGATACGAACATCTTCC